TTCATTGAGGAGATCTTGGGCATTCTTCACTCTCACCACGTCCACAGAACCCTCTGTCAACCATCCGATACCCTTCAACCATTCCAGGTCTGATTTGTACACGTTCTACATGAAAGAGAGGACCACGGTGTGCAGAAGAGTCAAATTTGTAGTAGAGCACAATGCCAACAAACCACACACAAGATCTCTATTTAAACCAGCTGGGTGTCCAATCCCATGAAACTCAAAGATCAGCATTAAATGTTAACATTTGGGTGTGATGGCTCTGTCACACGTCTCTGGGAGAAGTCCACAGGATCTATCCTGCAGGAATTGGAGCAGGGTTGACAAGTGGCATTTGGGAAATGAGAGACTGCAATGGCATAAAATGCAAAGCTGAGCTTTTGGGCTCAGCACTTGAAATCTGCCTTTTATGTAACACTGGGGAAAAAGTCCTTAGATGCATGTTTAATGAGAAAAAATACATATGTAGCAACATTTTTCTCTGTATATGAAAACACAATAAAAATATGTATTTTCCTATATGCCTTGTGCCAGATAAGCCTGAAAAGCAAAATTTTCTTATGATTAACCTGTTTCTGAAACAGATAATGTATCACAAATGTACTGGATCAGAACAATGGGGACTGAAATGTTTTATCTAATTACATAGAATAGCAGAGTGATTTTCATCTTGATGGATAAGGCCTTGTTGCATAAGAAGGAATCCTCTATAAGAATAAACAATACTCAGAAAAACTCTACTAACATGAAAGGTACACATGATGCTAGGTTCTTTCTATGAAGATTACCAGTTAAATTCTATGCCCGGGGAATACACCGTGATTACACACTCAGGCACACATCTCCCCAAGGGTCTGGTGGTAACATACGCACATCGCTCTGCAGTTCGTAGGCTTTCTTGGCCTGGATCACATCATTCTGATCTGGCAGGCATGTCCACTGGTGCAGATAATTGCGATAATCCACGTCGCTGACCAGGACCTGGCATTTCTTGGCTTGAACAATCGACATCATGTCCAAGGGCGTATTGTAAATTCCTTTAGACTTCTCATAAGCTTTCCTATACTCGCGGTCACTCTGGATCTTGGCAGCATGGATAGACCATACCAATTTGGGGTCGTCTTGTAGGCTGCGGAAACCCACGTGGTGGCCCAGTTGCTTTCGGTAACCTTCTTTGTATTTGTACTAATGTGGTGGAAAAAACACAGACAAAAAGACATATGAAAATAATGTGTTAGAGAACTTTTCATGGCAGGTTTCAGAATATTTCCTTTTAAAAAAATGAATATATTTTATTGATTTTTTTATAGAGAGGAAGGGAGAGGGATAAAGGGAGAGGGATCAATAAGAGAGAAACATTGATTAGCTGGCTCCTGCACACTCCCCACTGGGGATGTGCCCACAACCAAGATACATGCCCTTGATTGGAATCGAACCTGGGACCTTTCAGTTCATAGGCTGACACTCTATAAGCTGAGCCAAACCAGCCAGGGCAGAGAATATTTTCTTAATGTAAATTGGCTTGACATTGGGAGTAATTATGTACATCAGTTCACTTTAAAGAAATCAGAAAGGGCTGCTTAGATGGCTTTATAGAGGATGTGAGTAAATCGGGGGGGGGGGGGCAGTATAGTGAACAAGAGTAATAAAAAAATAATAATAGCTAACATTTACTGAGCCAGACTCTATTATGAGTGCTTCAAATGTATAAGGTTGATGTATCTGATACTGTTGATTGTTTTAGTTAAAAATAGTTGACAGTAGCAATTTTAAGTTCATTTAATCCTCACAACATCTTTATGTGGTAGTACTATGATTATCACACTAGAGGCCGAGTGCACAAAATTTGTGCACTGGGAGGGTGAGGGCCCTCAGCCTGGCCTGCACCCTCTCACAGTCTGGGACTCTATTGCTTACTGCCCACCTGCTCACTGCTCCTTAGCACTGCTGTAAACCCTGCTCTGGCTGAGCAGCACTCCCCCTAGTGGTCAGTGCGCATCATAGCGACCTGTCATTTTGTCTTTCCATCGATTTGCATATTAAGTTTTTATTATATAAGATATTTCAAATGGGGGGGGAGGGGAAAGCACAGTAAAGGTAACCATTGCCCCCAAATTGAACAATGGAATTGTTCATTTAATTCTCACAACATATAAATTCATTTAATCCTCACAACATCTTTATGTGGTAATACTATGATTATCACATATTTCAAATGGGGGGGGGGCACAGTAAGGATAATATTGTCCCCAGGTGGAACATTGTCCTCTGGCAGGTGGAAATATTAGATCAGATGGTCCCCCAAGAGTACTGAAGGTACTTCAAGTAGGAAAAAAATCATGTATGATTTAGGAGACAGACAAGATGTACTAGTATGTTTCAGGAATGGAAAGCAATGATTCTGGTTTGAATCAGAAGATAACAGTAAGAGATCCATGGATAAGAGTTTATGGTCCACACTTGTCCTAAATGTTTTAGGAATTGAGTTAGATAGCTTCTCTTTCCCATGTTTAGATCTGATAGGCAAATTTAGACAAAAAAGAGATAGAAAGAAAGGGAATAAAGCAGATGCTATGCTCAGGTATAGTTCTTAGAGATAAAAAGGAGGAAGAAGATAAAAAGAAACAGGTGGATACATGAAATAAAAAATGGAGAAGAATGGGGAGAAAGGGAACTAAGATGGCTTAAAGATTTGGAACTGGGATGGGGCGAGGGGCACAAACTTGATAGGATAATTGTTTTGACCATTAGTAAGTTTTAAAAGTACTATTAAATGAACTTCAAAAGGTTACTAAGAGCATTATACATAAGCCTCCATGATAAAAATCTTGTTTATAAAATGTGATTTCCTTCTAAGTCTTCTTGTTTGAATCTTTCACCTGTGATTTATATTTATGGAGAATGTCATAAATATTTTGGGAGTAAAAATCACATCATATAAGTTCCTGACACAGACCCTTAGTGAAGGGTCTGTGTCAGGAACTTATATTTTTCTTCTTCTTAGAAACAACTTAGAAGATATTTACACATATATCTCATTTATGCTTACCTTAATGTTTTTTTGTCCCACTTTAATGTTTTTTAAAATAATGTCTTTAGTGTAAGACAAAACATCATCATTTGTATAAATCTTTAAAAAACACTCAGATTCTTGAAAAATACTCTATTTGTTGCATGGAGGAGGAGAACCACCAGGAAACAAGGAACCATACCTCACTGGCGATTTCCCTAGAGGCTTTGGCATGCTTGATCTCAATGGCATCTGCTCTTATGTCATAGCCTTTCTGCTTGGCCTCATTCCAGTCTTTCTGGTAGAGTTTCTATTGAGGGGAAAAAACAGATATGTTTACAAGAAATGAAAATAAGGGAATATACTCAAAGGGGTCATATGAGTCATAAGGCTTAATGTCAATGATGGCAACATAAGAACAGAACCTATCACTTCTGAGTTCTTCTCTTGGTTATTTACTTTGTGGAGTGCAGGACACTTCCGATTAAATTTTCAAAGGTAAACATCTAAGCCTAGCAGCTAAACACCTAAATCTAAACATCTGAATCCAAACGAATATTTGAATATCTGCATTCATCACAATATGGCCCGCATCTGAAGACATCTCATTACACAGCAGATGAAAACTAAGAATTAACAGTGAACCTTCTTCACAAGGAAACATGAAACTGATTAGATTTTCTTCCTAATGTTGTCCTTTGACTTTTTAGAGGTCTCTGCTAACCATGTGACAGATATATCATACATAGCCTGCACTTTGCATATAATTAAATGTCGTTTGGCTTTTCTTATGGCATTTAAATGTCAAACAAGAAAGTTCTGGATCAATCAAAAACTTAATAAAGGCAATAGAAAAAAAGATAATAGAGACTGTTACCTCTTAAGAGGCATTTAACCAGGGATTTCATTATTCTCAAATGAGACACAATGAAACTGAGCTGTAAACATGAGGTACAGGTCAGTGATTTCAAGGTTGAAAGAAGTACACCGATAAGATTCAGGCATCACACACGTTGCAGTCCAGGGACTCAACCATGTATCTAAACGAACATTTAAAAGATAATTTCCATTCATATTGCCTTGGGAGAGTGGTAGCTAGAAAGTGTCAAGCACCAGAAGTCATAAATATTTCTAAGATACTAATTCTTCAATTATAACACCCTCCATAGCAGGCAGATTGACACTTCGTATCCATGCCACTTACATTGCTGATTTGCAAGGCATTGAGTTGGGCCTGCAGCATAACTGGAGTGTCGGAAGGAATGCTGATGTTGGTTTTGTCTTTATTCCAGGCCTCTTGATACAGTTTCTGTGGAGAGAAGGGAAATTTTATTTCAATATTTCATAGAGAATGAAGATCTGAGACATAAAGTCTAAGTGACCATTTAACCTGGAAAAATGTGGTGGTTAATTTTATGTGTCAACTTGCCTAAACCACAGTATCCAGGTATTTGGTCAAACATTATTCCAGATGTTCTGTGAAGGTATTTTAAGATGACATTAACATCTCAGCAGTCTTTGGGTAAAGCAGACTACCCTCCGAATTGTAGGTGGGTTTTGTCCAGTCAAAGGCCTCAGTATAAACAAGTCTGACCTCCCTGAGCAAGAAGGAACTCTGCCTGTCCATGCCTTTGGGCTTGAACTGCAGCTCCTTCCTGCCTCCAGTCTGCTGGCCCACCCTGCAGATGTTGGACTTGCTGGCTCCACAACAGAGTCAATTCCTTACAACCAATTTCTCTCTCCTACACACCCTATTGCTTCTGCTTTTCAGGAGAACCCTGATGAATACAATCTTACACCATTCAATATGCAGCATTGTGCCACAGGTTTTAGTCTTTCATAGAACTTAAATAATTGTTTTCCTGGCTCACAATGGAGTAATTTTAATGCTTCCAAATGTGTGGCAGGGGTCAGACACGCTGGCATGTGTCAGAGTTTTGCTTTGCATGCGCCCTCACTGAACTAGTCAAGAGACTCTTGGAGGTGCTCCCATCACCACAGTCTTTGAAGAGGACAGCCCACCTGTCCTCTGTGCTGGCCTCATTTGATAACTAAGCCCACGAAAGGAAAGCCTGAGATAAGAAGGTTCTTACCTCACTAATTTGCAGAGAATTGGCTTTTGCCAGGACAACCTCCGGAGTGTCAGTAATGCAAGTGAATTTCAAGGCCTCTGGACGTGTCCGATAGAGTCTCTCATTCACCAGGTCTTGAGCACCTTTCACCCTGGTCATTTCTACCGAGCCTTCTGGCATCCAGCCGATGCCACGCAGCCACTCCAGGTCTGCCTTATACACACTCTACAAGGGGTTAGAACAAAATGTTGTCCCCATGTTATTAAACAATGTGAATGGTGCCCCCCTGAGGTTGTGCACAGCCCATGGATCTGTCCACAGAAGAAATGACAGGACAATTACTAAATCTACATCCTCCCATCCCACCTTTCCCAGCGTTCACATTACGTACATCACTCTGCAGCTCATAGGCCCTCTTGGCTTGGATAATGTCGTTTTGATCAGGTAAGCATGTCCAGTGATGCAGGATATTCCGGTAGTCAATGTCACTGACCAGGGTCTGACATTTCTTGGCCAGTAAGATGCCTAACATATCCACTGGGGAACTGAACTTGGTCTTGAATTTTTCAAAGTCCTTCTTGTACTCTCTTTCACTTTGAATCTTCCCTGCATTTATGGCGCACATAATTTTGGGGTCATCTTCAATGCTCTGGGCTCCAATGTGGTGGCCTTTCTGTTTTTCATATGCTTCTTTGTATTTGTACTAAAATGTCAGAAATACAGGTTTAGAATTCCAGTTCTGTTACCATATACACTCTGACAATTACAACATGAACATCCAATAGCACATGGATAAGGATTTTACTTTGCAAATATTTTGGCATCTCTGTATAACTTTAAACTAATGTTTTATGCTATCATTACACTAATAACTGCAAGTGTAATCATATGTCTTCATTGGTGGAACCCTTTCCTCCATCAAGTCTGTGATTCCAAAATGTATTTTTCTTCTCTCTGACAACAAAGGGGAAGGTCTTAGAATGTAGCAAGCAGGCTTGGAGGAATACATGTGGAAGCAGTTACAAAGTGGGGCCCGCCAGCTGCACTAGGGTTGTTCAGCCATGTGAGACCAAGGGGGTCAGATCGAGGGCACTTACGTCACTGGCAATATCCCTGGAGGCCTTGGCGCTTTTGATGGAAATAGCATCAGCTCTCAGGTCATAGTCCTTCATCTTTGATTCATCCCAGCCCTTGGTGTAAAGTTTCTATGTGGAGGATAATACACAACGGAAAAATAAAACGGTTATAGGAAGTTACTAGGCTTATTCCAGAAAGGAAGGTGGTAAGATAGAAAAAAGTATTTTAGTTACTCCTAGAGAAGCTTAAACAAGAACCAGAAAATCTCTTACTTGGCTGATATTGACAGAATTGCTCTTGGCCAGCAAGATTTCCGGGGTGTCTGGCATCACATGGATGGAAGTTTTGTCAGCATCCCAAGCTTCTGTATATAAATGCTGTGAGGGAAGTAAGGGTAGACCCATTTTTTTTTTTTTTTAAAAAGGCAGTACATTAAAGCTATTATCAAACTTAACTCACTTAAGTAAAATAGTTTATTTAAGGTTATTTGGAGGTGAAGCAAAAGTGTAGTGAGAAGAGTCAAACATGGCAATATTTAAACAGCCATATGATAGTTTTACAACTAATATGAAACAACAGGATGGTCTCAATAATTAATTCTTTTCATCCAATAAAACTCAAGCTTACTCATAGTAACTGGAGCATAGTGATACAGAAGAAATCCCTAGACTTCAGAGTCAATCCCAAGTTCAAACCCCAGTCTACTATGTACAAGCTATGTGATCTTGAAAAAAGCATGTAATGCCTCATATTCCTCATTTCTTGGAAGGAGATAATCTTATCTTTTTTATTGAGTATTTTTTGAAAATTAACAATAACATATAAAGTGCATCAGTCATAATAGGCACTCAACACATTTTATATTTTCTATTGCTGTTATCACTGTAGTTACTGCTGATAGGTGTGGTATAGAGCTTTAATACCCCTAATTCTGCAATTCATTGAGAGCCACCTTCACCTTCTTCACTGAGCAAACACTTAATATCACCACCTGAATGTTTGGAAGATGTCCAGGCAGGTGTGGGAGAATTTAGATAAGTTGAATTCCACCTAATATTAGCCCCATCTCAATAAACAGGTTGCTAGAAATCTGGAAAAAAGAACTGACCATCTATCTGATGTAACAAAACTGAACGCAACAATAGCAGCTCACTTTTCAAAACGGATTTCCACAACCTAAGAAGAAAGAATAAACCAAGCAACTAATTTGAGTTGTGTATAAACATTGGTACTTGTATAAACACAGTGTGTTTCCCAGACTTTAGAACAAAAGGCTAAATGTTATATATTTCTCACTTTATGAGCTACATTCATGAGAGGTATGACTCAGGTAACTGGAAAGAGCTGAAGACTAACCTTGCTCATTGTCAGGGCATTGCTCTTTGCCAGGACAATTTCTGGGGTATCTGTAATGCATGTGAATTTGAGCTTATCTGCTGGCAGGCGGTACTTCCTGTCACTCAGGATTTCTCCAGCTCTCTTCACCTTTTCGACCTCTACAGAGCCAATAGGCACCCATCCAATGCCTCGCAGCCACTCAAGATCAGCCTTGTAAATAGCCTGAAAATGAAATAAAGTAAAATATTTATAAAAGTTACTTAAACAACTTGGTGTCTGACACTGACTTAGCATCTACAGAGGATGTATAATTCTGAATCTTACTTGAGTAAATTTCTGGGAAGACCCTCTGTACCACACTGTACAGAGGAGCTACTTAAACACTTTGTTCCTGAAGGTAACCTTGTTTTAAAAACTCTGAAATTGCTATAATAATATGTGATTTCATTGATACAAAAGCATTTTAAAGAAATTACTGTCCGCCTCCTGATACAAAGAGCTAATTTTCTGATTTGATTGCCCATATTTCCTTGTGTGGGACTAATAGAACACAGTTTGTTCTGATCTATTTGGACACTGGCCTTCACAGCCAGTCCTATAATCTAAAGAAAGGATGACCACATGTTGAATTAATGTGCTTTCTGGGAACAACAAAAAGGGTGTCTTTTTTCATATAATTCTGTATACATGCTTCTAAGACAGAGGGTACATATGTTTTTACTCTAATTTATCTTATTTTCAGTCCTCTTTTCTGTCATAATTCAAGTAAAACAAGATATTTCATCTTTCAGTTTTAGTCTTTGAATTTAAATAAATGCTTGAAGGATAATTTTTTTTCATTATTAAGGGTAAAAATCCTTTTTATTTTTATGGACTTTTTGATAAACTCTCTTTTAACAATGGCACTAGTTTATCATTCTTTTGAAAGTGACTATTTTTGAGAGCCTGATTTAAAAAACAACAAGGAGCTACTAAACCAATAAGGTAGCATTTAAGTGCTCAGGACAATTTACTAAATGACGACAAAAGTACCAGACATATTCCTAGGAAACCGCTGTTTTCAGTTTCTTGGATAAATTATCTCAATGTATAATTCATTCCTAAACCTTCTTTTACAAGTTATAATAGATATTTCCTGTAAATTAATTAGTTAGAAAAAGGTAATGCAATTAATTCATTTGGAAAATTAGGTTGAGTTAAACTAGAACATCAATGAACTTAGATAGAAAAAAATATATATATATATATTTCATTACCCTTTAATGGAAATATAGCATTTCTTTCAATTATGAGTTTAGTCGAGAGGTCATAGTAGTAGTGACACTTCATGGGATTAGGTTGGCAATAGAAATCACAAATATTTTCATTTCCAATTACAATTGTGCAGATATCTTGAAATATTTATGATCATCAGTTTTTTGAAATTAAGCCAGTTACTCACTGCTAGATATTTTCACTTAATGTGTTAATAAAAATTCATATATATATATATATATATATATATATATATATATGCACATATGTATGTAGATATATATTTTAAATTTATACATTTTATGACATTGTCCTGAGAACTTATCCATAGGTCTCATCAGATTTTGCCAACAAATTCCATGGCACACAAGAAGTTAGACCTCTTTAGGTTTTAAAACACATTCTGAATAATAGTAGACCTACTCACATCACTCTGAAGGTCATAGGCCTTCCGAGCCTGAATGACATCGTTCTGGTCGGGCAGACAGGTCCACTCATGCAGGGGATGCTTGTAGTCTATGTCGCTTACAAGGATCTGGCACTTCTTGGCCAGCACCACCCCCAGCATGTCCACGGGGCTGCTGAACCTGGTCTTGGACTTCTCAAAGTCCTTCTTGTACTCCCTGTCGCTCTGGATCTTGGCCACATGCATGGACCACATCATCTTGGGGTCATCTTTGATGTTCCGGGCTCCAATGTGGTGGCCGAGCTGTTTACGATAGCCTTCCTTGTATTTGTACTGAAAAAAAGAAAAGGGATGTGAGTCTAATGATAAGAACATCTCATTTATATCACATTTCATAATTTCATACACAAATTCCTGTGTTTATTTTGATCTTTGCTACCATTAATGTGAGAGAGAAAGGTAAATATTACCAAACTCATTTTATACAATAGGAACCTAAAACTTAAAGGGATTAATTTATTCAAGGTAACTTCATAAGTGGGAGGCAGAGTTCAGACTAGAATGGAGTAGCTTCTGGTTCCTAATATTTCCCCCTTTCTCTTAAACAATACTACCTATTTTACATTGGAATGCTTAACAAGTAAAGGTAAAACATCTTATATAATCTAAAAAAAGCATCTACTTAATTTAAAGATGTGGCTATTTTTTTTTCTAAAAAAAATGCTTTGATGCTTAGACTATGTTAGAATATCTTCCTTGTAGTTAGAATTTATGGTGAATTCCTTGATTAAGTATATGGGCCACATTTAGATAGTTTCACCAGAAAATGCCTCTCTTATTAGCCTGTTAATGTCATTGACTTTCACTGTGAGAAAGTCATGCGTTGGGTCAACACTCTGCCTACTTTTAAAATTCAAGAATAACATCTTATGGTCCATTTTGCCATGAGATGATCACAGTATGGGCTTTTCCAGTTTAATATCCAGAAAAAGTTCAAATAATTGAAGGAATGAAGCATAAATCTAAAGCTTGGGATCCTCCCAGAAGAAGGAAAATCTGGATTTGGGTTCTAAGCAGCCCTGGAACATAATGAGGACACTGGACACCCTCCCTAGTTGTTTCTCATGAGAAAGCAAGAACCAAAGAGAAGAGATAAGCGGGTACTGAGAAAAAAGCTTTGCTTACTTCTCAATTTATTCTTGTAACCAGTTAGGGGCCTCTGATAGGAAAACTTCACTGAAAGTTAATTTGTATAAACTAAAACTCTAAACATCCATCATCAAGTCTTCTTTTAATGCCAGAATAAATGGATTGTAGTAGAAAAGTGATCACATTTATGTTGGTTGATTTGCATGTGCTATCTATTTTTTCTAAACAAATATCTGGGTCAACTGCTGCTCAATTTCTGACACTCAAAAATATGAACTATTTTTTAGTATGCATAAAATATTTACTTTTTAAGAAAACCTCTCTTTCTTTAATTGATTATTAGGTATAATGGACATAGTATCTTGTGCTTTTCTTTGCAACTGTGCACATTGGGAAATCACTAAATGAAATTAAGACGTGTAGAGACAACAATTCTGTCAAGAAAAACCACAAAAGCTTCCATTTATGAACACCTTTGAACAAAAAATGCCTCTTCTAAAAACATCAACTTACATCACTGGCAATATCTCTTGAAGCCTTGGCTGCCTGGATTGGAATGGCGTCCACACGCAAGTCATAGCCTTCCTTCCTGGACTCTTCCAAAGCAAGTTTATAGAGTTTCTGCAGAAAAGAGAGTCATTAAAGCACTCCTCCTTTCATAAAAAGGAAAACTGTTAATTATTAAACTTTCTCCACCCTCATTTAAACTACAGAAACAAATCCACAAAGTGAAGTGTTAGGGTGGGTTTGTACAAAATTCGGTTTTATAGGCACTTCAAGTTTTTAAGGCATGTGCTCTAAACTTTGGAATTTTATTGATGGGCAAATTTCAAAAATTTGGGATTGCCAAAATTTTGTCTTGTCAAACAAACACACGCTAAGAAACCTATTTACTATCACTATCATAAAACAAAAGAAAGGCCATTTTAATATTTAAAAAGAAGGAAAAATAAGGAAAGTATTTTAAAACTAAATATATTTGGACACAGACAGAACTCAATGCCTTGTCCTTTTTCTTCCTCACTTTGATGTGGATTATCATTATAGACTGTGATCTATTTGTAGAGTTTCAGAATCATTGGCTGGATGAAAATGTTGTTTATGAATGAAACACCTGGAAAAATGCTTGCAAATAACATTAAATGGTAACCAGAACATTAATAAAACAGCAAAAACAATAATTAGAAATTGAGTTCTAAGCCAGTGCCTGCCTGATAGTTGTTGAACCAAATAATGACTTGATACCCACATTGTCATATAGGGGAAGGATTGAGGAGTATAATTCCTATTGGAATATTCCTCTATAAGCATTCCATTCCCTGATATTCTGTTACTATAAGGCTGGCCTACTTTGTAGATCTAATATATAGTCCAAAGTTGAATCAAGGGAGAACTATCTCTTACTGGCAATGTTAGTTTGGGGTATATTATATATAATAAATTTGTCAAAAGAGCTCATTAAGAAGAGTTACAACAGTTCATTTTTGCCTTTCTGTTCATTATAAAAGCAATAGTTTACTCACATCACTGTAGTTTATTCTGTTAAGCTTGGCTAGCATGATTTCTGGAGTGTCAGGCATGACATGAATTGTTTTCTTATCCTTGTCCCAGGCTTCAGTATATAAGCGCTACGGAAAAAAAAAAAAAGATGCAGAAAAATTATTTTGGAGTTCACAGATACTTCTTTGATTATGTGCCAGTCATCTCTCCTCTATATAAAGTAGAAACAAAATTACCAAAGTTACATACAGTCATATCTTTTATGTAGATAAATTAGTATTTCTAAGAGTATTTATCTCACTATTTTGTTCACTCAGTTTTTTGTTTCTTTAAAAAAAGTTATGAAAGTATAATTGGATTGCAGCATTTAAAATCTGTAGTTATAAAATAATTATAGCACATTGCATTTTTAACATAAGTTTAATATAAGTAACTATGATATTACAATGGAAAAGTAATTTTTAAAAGAATCATAAACCCTATGGGAATTTTTAAAATGTTGTAATATGTCAGCATTTTTAACTTGTTCTAAGGAGAATTTTGGGATCTAACAGGGAGGAGTGAAAACTCACCTTATTCATGTTTATAGCATTGCTCTTTGCCAGCACCTGCTCCAGGGTGTCAGTGATGCTGGTAAATTTCAGGGTATCTGGACGCTGACGGTAGATAGTATCACTCAGTATCTCTGTGGCCCTTTTGGCTTTAACAACTTCCAAGGAGCCAATTGGAACCCAGCCAATGCCTCTCATCCATTCAAGGTCTGCCTTATACAAATTCTGCAAATCAACAGATTAAAAACCCACTCTCATTAATTAATGTTTCAGATTCTCAGTCACAAAATGGCTCATACTAGAGAAAATAGGAACTACTGATGAACAGATAAGGCTCCCAGCACAGTCAATCACTCATTCACAAACATTAGTGAATCCAGAGTATATTTTTTTCCTAAGTATCTTTTTGTACAGAGGATTATACCAAGAACTAGGAAAGATTTTTTATATATAATAAAAGACACAGTCATGTCTCTGAGTGTATTATAGTTTTTTTACACAAGATAGTATATTAGATTTTTTCCAAATTACTCCTTTTATTTTACTCTCAATAGGACATGCTAATTGTTAATAAAATTAGATTATTGTTTTCTTAAGAACCAACTTTATATTATATTTTATTGAATTTATTGGGGTGGCATTGGTTCACAAAACCATACAGGCTTCAAGTATACAACTCAACAAAACATCATTAAAAAGATAAGAATACCTTAGAATTTTCCTGTCAGTAGATATAAAATATGAATGTTTTAAAAAATAATTTAATGTAATATACTTTTGTTTCCTAATTCTCCCCACACTACCTTCCATTGACATATACATACATTTCTGTCACTTCTGCAAAAAGTAAAAAGAAGTGTAGCTAAATATTTTTTGAGGATTAAGTTTCATCTAACTCAGACAAAGGGAGCCTAAATTACCAGGAAGAAATATACCTGTATAAAATTGATAATATATACTTTATTTCCTCTTTTACATATAACATTTGGGGAAGAAAAATTGTGGAATAATTTGTAATGCTACCAATGGGAAACTGTTTTGGAGCATTCAGTTGTCTACTATTTAAAAATATGCAAACATATTCCAGTCCCTTGGTACTAGTCAGAACCCACGGACATGCTTCAGATCTGCTTTTCACATGTGCAACCAGCATCAGGAGTACTCACATCGCTCTGGAGGTCATAAGCTTTCCGAGCGTGAATGACGTCATTCTGGTCGGGCAGGCACGTCCACTCATGGAGGAGATGTTTATAGTCCACATCACTGACCAAGGTCTGACATTTCTTGGCCAAAACGATGCCAAGCATGTCCACCGGGCTGCTGTATCTGGTCTTGTACTTCTCAAATTCTTTCTTGTACTCGCGGCTGCTCAGCACTTTGGCAATGTGTAGGGACCACATCATCTTGGGGTCGTCATGGATTGCTCGGGCACCAATGTGGTGACCCAGTTGCTTACGATAAGCTTCTTTATATTTGTACTGAAAGAGAGAACCAGTAACAGAGGAGGGTACTTGATGAGCTGTTTTCCCTGCTGTTCTTGCTGTGGGGTTGCTTTTCTGTGGAACCCTTAAGACACTAGGGACGTTTCAACATGTGATGCTGTGATGTTACATATTGGGGCGTGCTGACTCCCAAGGAAGAGGTTGGTGTGCCTACTCTCATACTCCCACAGTATAACTCCCCAATGACTCCTTTACATCATGCTAAAAATTACTTGTTGGCAAAAAAGTGATTAAATGTGAACATTGAAAAGCTGAGCTCAATTAGAGTGACAGTGTCTCAGAAGTCAGTCATGTGGGTGGGTACATCTGGTATGTGTTTACATGGTTCATTACTTTTATTTTCCTAAGGCATGCTGAGAAATTTACTTTGCACAAATAATCTGGAGGTGGGGGGTGTAGTTTAAAACCAGGCGATTTTTGTTGTTTGATGGATATAGAGTTTCAGTTTTGCAAGATGAAGAAGTGAGAACATACTTAACACTACTGAACTGTACACTGGATAATGGTGTTATGTGTTGCTTTATCATGCTAAAAAATGAAAAACCTTAAAAAATGGACAATGTTGTTACTCTTGGATTAATTTCTAGATTGTCAATAAATCTGATATTTTTATTTTTGGGGTAAAGGAATATTGATTTTGTGGACCACCCAGCAGGAAAATTTATAGCTTTCTTGCTATTTTATGTCCTTCTTCAAGTCATAAGGAGAATTCAATTAAACTTACTTCTTTCCTGGGGTTTTTGCCTTGGGTGTATCCTGAGGAGAGCTCAATACATGTCCATCTAACTAATCAAAGCAGTAAGTGACAAGAATCAAAGGAACCACATTCCACACCCGGCCTTTGTTCTGTGATGCTTGTGACCTTGGGCGGGTTACTACTATTTGCCTACAGAATAAAGGTGGCTAAGATGGATGATGACTGAAGAGACTTCTGGCTGTGTTACTATACTGTGATGCCCATGTAGAGACTGGCCTGTTGGAAACAAAGGTAGGGACTTCATCAGCTCTTACATCACTGGCGATGTCCCTGGAGGCCTTGGCAGCTACAATAGAAATGGCGTCACTTCTCAAGTCATAGCCTTCTTTCTTGGCTTCTTCCATGGCCTGGCGATAGAGGCTCTGAGAAGAGAAGGAATACCTTTTAGATATAGCACTTGCTAACACTCTAAAAATGTATTTTTGCCAAAGAAAGACTACCTTTGGATGCAGAACTGCACTAGTATATTCTTCTTTGAATATATTTTAAAAAGATATAAGCATGCCTCTTCTTTATAGATACATTGTATTAGGCAAAAGTAATCAATAAAACAATGACTATGGCTAAGTCTTGAAAATGAGTACTTAAATTTTCCAGTGTGCTCAAATGGAAGAAAAGTCTGCTTTCCCACTCTCTTATTAAAAAACGAAGACACACACACACACACACACACACACACAAAATCAAGATTTTTCCTGAATAAACCAGATAATTGTTCTTTGTTAAGAACAATTGGCAAGAAGCTGTTTCTACAACAGTATTTCTGGACTGCAAAGATATATGATGACAAATTTAGCTAGAGATAATGCATAAAAATGTATTTTACTGTTTCAGACAATTCCAAAATGGATAAATCTAAGAATTCTTTCAGTTCTTGTAAATAAACAAATAAACTTCAAGTTATTTTGAGCATGTTAAAAATTTAATTTTCATGATGACTTGAGTGTGAAGGAAAAAATTAAAATTACTAAGTAAGTATTTTGTACCAGGCTCCACACTGGGTATATAATATATATGACCTTATTTAGTCATCACAGAAATTATTCAAGATAGGCATTTTTATATTGTTTTACAGATGAGTAACAGGAAAAATTTACAGAACAAATTTGTAGCAAGTACTAACCTGATAAGAGTAATAAATATTTTTAATTAAAATTACAATTTGTTTCAATCATTAATAATTGACTTTGAGAGTTTTCCCCCCTTTCTGGAGAAATTTTTGTATTTATCCATTTCTCTATCTATCTATCTATCTATCTATTTTTTAAATTCAGCAATACATATATTTAGGATAAACTAATGGGCATAAAAATAAAATTATTTGAACCACATGAGAATTAAATCCATAATTCTGACCTTCTTATTACACCAACAAAGATCAATGTGGTCAGATCAAGGAAATAAAGTAAATAGTCTTACCTCACTATAATTTATTTTATTTTGTCTTGCCAACATAATTTCAGGTGTATCAGGCATGATATGGATTTGGGTCTTGTCTTTGTCCCAGGCTTCTGTGTATAAGCGCTGTGAAAGATAAAAAGGTTAATGAGTTAGAAACATATGCTTGCTGTAAGCAGGAGTTTGCAATTTAGAGATCATGACAAAGATGAAAGCCAGCATCATCACTATCTGTGCTGTGCGCTTTAGTATACCATACTGTTCAGTCGCTTTGATATTACAAGATATACACTGAGTAGCCAGATTATTATGCTATCTGAACGCATAATAATCTGGCCACTCAGTGTGTGTGTGTGTGTGTGTGTGTGTGTGTATACATATATACAAATACATACATATATATATATATATATATATATATATATATATATATATATACCTATTAGAGGCCCAGTGCATGAATTTGTGCATGGGTGGGATCTGTCCAGCCTTTCCAGGAGAAGGGGACATGGGTGATTGTCTAGCCTGCCTGCTGGTCGAAATCCTGATTGAAGGGACAATTTGCATATTAACATTTTATTATATAGGATATACACTGAGTAGCCAGATTATTATGCATACAGAGATCACAATAATCTGGCCATTCAGTGTATATTATCACTAAATATAAATGTAAACTAAGATATGACCAGTAAACATGTGTGTTTCATTTCAAGATCACCTCCATTCCAATTAAATGAAAGCAAATATTTCCAAGCATATATGCACATCCATATGCACTGTGGCTATACAAACAAATCCTTCCCGTAGTTCTGTTGTTTGTTTGTTTATTAACTGCAAGTGTACCTGGATTAGCCATCTCCAGATTTCTTATCTTATAAATGTTTTGGAGATGTGCATTTGACTTGTTTGTTCTATATTTACCTAGATGAGAACCCAACAAGAAAGAGACCTTCATACAAAACCATGTACAGCTCTCACAGACTTCAAACAGTTTGCACACCAAACAGCTGTCCTGTTCTTAATTCTGGCTCTTTCACAAGAGACCTCAAAGCAGACATTCCGACATATATTTTTGAAATCCTAATGTAATTGAATAGAGAACCCAACCAAATCACTATATATGGATGGCAATGAAATAAAACAAAGAAGATGAGTTAATTATCAATATCTAAGAGCATAGAGCCCTGTTTTACTTTTCCCCAAATTGGGGGCTCACCTTGTTCATGGTGATGGCATTGTTTTTTGCCAGCACCTGCTCCAGGGAGTCAGTCACACTGGTGAATTTCTGCTTGTCTGGAGGCTGGCGGTAGAGGTTGTCACTCAGGATCTCTGCGGCTCTCTTGCACTTGACCACATCCAGAGACCCGATGGGGACCCAGCCAATGCCTCTCATCCACTGGAGATCTGACTTGTACATGTTCTGGTGAGATAAACACAAAGGCAAGTATTACTCAAGCTGTTATGACACTTGATTTGGAAAACAAAAGAAAAAGACTGGAAACCTTGGATAGCCAGACTCCATGTCTATGTCTTTTAAAATCTAAAGGCCAATTGGATAGAGCTGCATGTATTATGGTCTCTTTAAAAGAAAAGGCACAATTAATGAGGGGTGAGAGGAAAAGCATTATTCTTTCTGAGATCTTTGTCTAATCCTAGATCACTATCTATGTGTTACTACAATTATTTTCAACCTTTTAAATCTCATGGCACACAAAAACTAATTACTAAAATCCTATGGCACATGAAAAAATGTTATATTTTTTGCTGATTCAAAAAAAGGTATTTAAATATATATATATATTTTATTGATTTTTTACAGAGAGGAAGGGAGAGAGATAGAGAGCTAGAAACATCGATGAGAGAGAAACATTGACCAGCTGCCTCTTGTACACTCCCTACGGGGGATGTGCCCGCAACCAACATACATGCCCTTGACCGGAATCGAAAACGGGACCCTTCAGTCCGCAGACTGATGCTCTACCACTGAGCCAAACCGTTCGGCCAAAAAAAGGTATTATTTTGACTCATTCACACCAGACGGCCATTGTTGTGTTGGCTGTTGTCAATTTTAATTCGACAATTGAAGGGAAAAAAGGTCACTGCTCCTGGCTAAATAGCCAGGTATCGCATGTTTTAAAAATTCTTGCAGCACGATGGTTGAATATCACTGTATCACTATCTTGAGGTTGGTCACCATTGGTATTTAATGGGTCTCAGTACTCACGTCGCTCTGGATTTCATAGGCCTGCCGAGCGTGGATGACGTCGTTCTGGTCGGGCAGGCATGTCCACTGGTGCAGGTAGTTCTTGTAGTCCACGTCGCTGACCAAGGTCTGGCACTTCTTGGCCAGCACCACCCCCAGCATGTCCACGGGGCTGCTGAACCTGGTCTTGGACTTCTCAAAGTCCTTCTTGTACTCCCTGTCGCTCTGGATCTTGGCCACATGCATGGACCACATCATCTTGGGGTCGTCCTTGATGTCCCGGGCTCCAATGTGGTGGCCCAGCTGCTTGCGGTAACCATCTTTGTATTTGTACTGAAATAAAAGCAGTGATTTTTAAAATAAAATAAATAGAAAGGGCTAAAGGTTTCATTATCTTAAAAGTTTATTATTTCAAAATTGGTAATTCTTTCGGAGAAATGGAATCATCTGAATATCAACTTATCTCCTTATCCTAAACTCTGATTAGACTTTACAATACTCTAATGGGAAGCTATGCCAAACTACATAGTTTTATAGTTCGCAGACATTAAGTCCCTAAAGCAAAAGAAGCAACACTTTTAGGAAGAATCAGTCAGATTTATATACTGCCTTTTCTTCATCTTGGGCCAGGGAAACCAGAAATTTTACATATGATTTTGAGAATGCTACTCCTGAGTACACAGGTACCATTTCACCCTCCAAACCACCTGTGACCCCTCCCAAACCCGGCTCTGCTGACTTTTATTTGACTCCCTGAAATGGACTAGCTTGGGTTTTCCACCCAGTGTATCGGCTCTGTCAGATGATAACTTTGGCTGAGGTTTGTTGGGATTCCTCAATTAAGAAATTAGATTCTGTAACTACAAGAAAGCATATTGTGGGAAGTGCTGACTCTGGATATTTTCTCTCCACCTCAAATTATTACTCACATCGCTGACGATGTCTCTGGAGGCCTTGGCTGCCACAATTGGGATGGCATCGCTTCGCAAGTCGTAGCCTTTCTTCTTTGCTTCTTCATTGGCGAGTTTATACAGAGTCTACAGAAAGAAAGTCAAGGTTAAAGCAAGAGGCTTGAGAGCAACCACTTGGAGATTTCAAGTGACAAACTGTATCATTTAAAAAAGGACAGGTTCTGGAAACAATTTAAAATTCTAGCAATATTGAAAGTAAACAAATCATATCTTACCAAAAAAACTAAATAACATTAGAAACAAATGAGATATATCAATGAATAATAACATTGACATATTAATATGTTATTAATCTATTATAATACATAAAAAATTAATATATAATATGTAGATTTATATGATATGTTATGCATAACAACAGAATAATATAAACTAGTAATATAGATCAATGGATAAAACATCAATCTATACATATTTTGAAATTAAAAAGAAATTACAGAACATCTTTAATTTATTTGTTTATAATATATACTTATATTCTTTTACTTATTTCTTTATAACTTAACATTTTTTGATAATCATATAATATTTTATCATTTTTAGAGAAAAATGAGAAAAAAAATTGAAGTACAGTTTAAAAGGTAGATAACTTGACCATCATCACAACTTTGATTCTAAATTTTAGCTTTATCATGTTCGTAACACATGCACCTATGACACTGCATTTTACTTAAAAAAACACATAGCAAAACACTGCTTTTCATGCCTGAGGCTTTCTTTCTATAAAAGGAGCTCAATTATTTTATCTCTGGCCTTACTCCTTTCCCGATGCCTTCACTCTCCGCCGCTGGAGAGCTGTGGTGAATTACTGATTTATCTGACTGTAGGGCTGGGATAATTGGGTATGCCCAGCTCAGCCGTAAGCTATTCCCTCTAGGAACAAGCTCAGTGCCCTTCTCCATGTCCCTGGGCTCTAAGCGGGACCTCACCCTGAGTGGGATGGAGCTGATTGTTTTGCTACAGGGTGGCCTGCGCCTGGATGAGGAACCCAGTTCCTCGGTTCAGTGAGCAGACTGCCTCTCCTACAAATGTGTCCTTGAGTCTAACTTTAGTAGTAACAAAGGTGAGATTTTAGTTTCATTTTTACTCTTTAGTTTTCCTTCTCAATTTTACTGAGGATCCAGGTGGGGAAGAGGTGCATATTAGCAGAGCCTCCTTAACACATTGCCAGATTTAGCAAATAAAAAGATAGTATGACCAGTTGAACTTGAATTTCAGATAAGCAGCAAATACTTTAGAATAAATATTGAGCCAGTGTTTTATCTGGCTATCCTACCTCTAGCAATGCCACACATACTACTCAGTCCCACTACCTCACACTAGCATTGGCCATACTGAAAAGGCAATGTGACTTCAGTTTGCCTGTGGTGTCCTATAGCAACCCAGATCTGAACGGTCGGATGGGCTGACTATTCATATCACGGAGCTGCATAAACCATGATAGCCGAGCACCTCCATAAAAGTAATGAAGCAACAGTGTCGAACCACAGTACTTCGCTCCTACCTCACTGTAGTTGAGTTGGTTCTGCTTTGCCAACAGGATCTCCGGGGTGTCCGGCATTACATGAATTTGAGTCTTGTCTTTGTCCCAGGCCTCTGTATATAAACGCTATCAAAGAAGATATTGATGGAAAACCATTTAAAACAAGAATCACAAATGGTCAACTTGCAACAAGATTACTATCGATCTAATTAAGAAAAATAAACTGGACTGGAATATAAGATATTCAATTGGAGGTTTGAGTCTTAATGCTGACTATCAAAGTTGTAAAATGGGAATAGCAGAAATCATTTAAAGGCTTTTCAGTATGCAATTTAGGAGGTAAATGTGACTCCACACTTTCATGGATAATACAACTCCACTAGTGATGAAAGTATAATAGCATCTTTTGCATCCTGAAGAAGGTTGGCAGCTGGGGCTCACCTTGTTCATAGTGATGGCATTGTTCTTTGCCAGCACCTGCTCCAGGGAGTCAGTCACGCTGGTGAATTTCTGCTTGTCTGGAGGCTGGCGGTAGAGGTTGTCACTCAGGATCTCTGCGGCTCTCTTGCACTTGACCACATCCAGAGACCCGATGGGGACCCAGCCAATGCCTCTCATCCACTGGAGATCTGACTTGTACATGTTCTGGGAAGAGGGGAAAAAAAAAAGCAGAAATTCTTCACTAAGACCAAAAGATTTAGGGAAAAGATAAAAATGGATTCAGTGATAAAGTGCCATTCTGGTTGTTATTGTTTTTCACAGAAAACAAGCTCACTGTATTAGGCAGACAAAAAGAGGAACTATGCTAAAAATGACCCCCAAAACTGTTGCCTATCCATAAAAAAAAATGGTCAAATATTTCAGCTTGGTAGGAGAGAAGTGAATCCAAACTAATATCTTCTGTAAGTCAATTTGGTGAATGCTATTGCAATGTTGCAATGTCCATGTACACAGAAAAAGAGTGCCAACCAGAGTAAATAAATGTTAGTCCTCACCAAATCAAATGGTCTGCACCTACTAAAAGCCATATTTTAAGAATATTGGTGACTTGTTGAAATGTCAGTAATGCAATATTAAGTAAAATAATAGCACGTAAATTATGTAGATATATTGTCTGGATAAATTATAAAAGCAGGAGTGGACTTTTTCAATGGTTGGATTATGCTGGATTATTATTGCCTTCTGTGGATTTTTTCTTATATTTCAAAATATCTGTAATGCTCTTTTTTTTTTTTTAAAGAGAGAAGTTCAAGTATAATGATGATTTAGAATCCCTGAAGCCCGTGGCAGAAATTGGACAGTTGTCACAGTGTCCAAGATTCAGGGCAATAAGGGACCATTTCATTGGTCCAGGGCCCAGTCTATTCCCTACCAAGTTCTCAGGAAGGGAAACATTAACTTTTTTCCAGAATCATCTTTTCATATTTTTATTTCTCACTTTTCTTTAAATCATTTTTTCCCTGCTAAAGATTTTTGTAAAGAGCAATGAACTCTTAGATACAGAGAACAGACTGATGGTTGCCACGGGGGCAGAAGGGCTGGGGACTGGGTGAAAAAGGTGAAGAGCTTAAGAAGTACAGATTGGTAGCTACAAAATAGTCACAGGGATATAAACTACAACAGAGGGAATATACTCAGTAATATTGTAATAACTATTTATGGTGCCAGGTGGGTACTGGAAATTTCGGGGAAAGACTGTAAAGTATATGATTGCTTAATCACTAGGTTGTACACCAGAAACCAATACAAAATAATATCCATGTAAACTGCAATTGAAAAAAATAAATAAAAAATAAAAATATTTATTTTAAAAATTGTGTGTACCTATTATATATTTACAACTATGTCACAACAGAAGAACTGGATCTTTGCCCGACTCATTAGAAGGATTTTACCTGTAACAACAATAAAGTAGGAAAAAAGACTGATCCTTTACAGTCTAGACAAGAAGCCTATTGGAATTGTCCTGTGCTGACTAGTTGTCCCCTAAATAACAGCAGGAGGAATGAAAACAATAATATGTATACCTTGGAGGGGCTTTTAATGTTCAAATGCTTCCACATTATTAAGACGGTGTCACAGTGTGAGGGAGGCAATCATGAAAAGAGGCTCAACAGACTGGAAGAATGCAAGCTGTCTGTCACTGCTGTCACTCCATGGAGGGCATGAGCCATTCTAACTGCCTTTCTTTTTGGAAAGGATTTCAAAACACAAGGTTCTGTATGTCGAAAACTACCCAACAGATGTGCGAGTTTTCACAGGTGGGCTATCCCGTTTCTAAGGACAGCCCATTAATGTATAATTATTATCAATTAGTTTTATTCTCCATAGTCCTCTAATGTTTGATGATTCCTTCAAACGTTTATAAAATAGGTGCTGCAGGAAATGTGCTCCTCACACCTTGTTTGAGATGGTGCACCTGCTTCTCTTAGGGCCAGCTTCTGTTACTGCCATGTGACCCTCCACAAAGAGCCAGGCCAGGAGGAGAAAGGATCACTGAAATGATCCCATAGCTTGCAGGCTCAGTGATTTTTTAATTTTTATTTCATAAGAACATTTAGTGGCATAGCAGGCATGAGGATTCCATCAATTACAATGCCATTTGCTTTGTAAGGAGAGCTAAAAACCAATTTCAGGGTAATTAAAAAGAAAAAGAAAAAAATGAATGTGTTGTTGCCCCCTTAAAAGAATAAAAGAAAATGTCTCCCTCTTGTGGACTCTGAGTTCTAACATTGCTTAATTCCGGTTTTACTTTTCTAAGATCAAATTTAGTTTATAAACTCACCTCCTTATAAATCCTATTAACGTATTCACAATAAAGCCATAAAACTATAGACTGATTCAGATATCAAATATCACTCAAAAAAATCCTAGTTTGATAGGCCATCGACTGTATACAAAGAATAATTTTTGTATAGTTGGTTTCTGCACACAGCTCTGTTATAGATGGTGCACTCACGTCGCTCTGGATTTCATAGGCCTGCCGAGCGTGGATGACGTCATTCTGGTCGGGCAGGCACGTCCACTGGTGCAGGTAGTTCTTGTAGTCCACGTCGCTGACCAAGGTCTGGCACTTCTTGGCCAGCACCACCCCCAGCATGTCCACGGGGCTGCTGAACCTGGTCTTGGACTTCTCAAAGTCCTTCTTGTACTCCCTGTCGCTCTGGATCTTGGCCACATGCATGGACCACATCATCTTGGGGTCGTCCTTGATGTCCCGGGCTCCAATGTGGTGGCCCAGCTGCTTGCGGTAACCATCTTTGTATTTGTACTGAGATGAAAATGGACAAATCAGGTTTTTATGGTAAACCCTTAGAGGCCCCAAGACTATACATAATCATCTTGCTTACATTTTAGTTGTAAGTTGATTTTTGCTAGTAAACACTAACTCAAGCTAGGATCCTGACCATTACCCTAGAAGTTTACAGAAGCAGTTCAATAGATGTAATCAGTATAATTGCAGTGTATGCCCTAAATCCATGGTAGCAAACTGTGGCTCTTGAGCCACATGTGTCTCTTTGGCCCTTTGAATGTGCCTCTTCCACAAAATACCACGGTCTAGGTGAGTCTATTTTGAAAAAGTGGCGTTAGAAGAAGTTTAAGTTTAAAAAATTTGGCTCTCAAAAGAAATGTCAATCATTGTACTGTTGATATTTGGCTCTGTTGACTAATGAGTTTGCCGACCACTGTCCTAAATCACTTATAGCCTGGTAATAAGAAATAGTTCTGGAGGCAATATGTGCACACAGTAGAGAGAGGTTACCTGTGAAAGTGGGGGAAGGGCCACTTGGACCTTGGAGAAATGGATCTTATGTGCTAGCAGCGTGTCAAGAAAGAGATGCCCTTGGTGACATGGTGTGTTTTCTGAGCAATGACATGACTGTCTGGTTCCTGTGAGGGTAGTACTCTAGGTCAAGGGCTATCTGCAGCAGCAACTAGGAGAATTTATTATTTTATAATGGATCCATGCATTCTTTGGTCATGGCAAATGTAGGCATCACCTTGAAAACTGGTTATTCTAGTAAAGTAGTAGGCCAACTGGGTAGAGTGTGCTCCTAACATGGGCCAAACATGTTTTTATTAGTCTATGTCCAATGGTTTTATCTTTAAATCTGAGCCAATTATCTAAAATATATGCTTCTAGCCTTAAATAAAGCTGAGAAAGTAGAGATGAGTCAGCAGGAGGCAATATGGTACAGTGAAAAGGAATGAGGTTGTCTGGAGTTTCAACTCCATCATCCATGAAGAGTTTAACTTTAGACAAGTTGTTAAGCAATCCACAAAATGGGGATAATGACAATAGGGTTTATAGTCCTAATGCAATTATGAACAGTAAGTAAAATAATAAATGAAAAGCTCTTAGCAGAGTTATCAATACTTTGGGTTATTTATTATTTATTATTTATTATTATTTATTATTTCATTATTTATTATTATTGGCATAAATCCATTTGTAGGGGAAGTCCAAAATACACCAACTAAAGTGAGTCACTCACATGGCTTTCCAATAGAAAGGACCATGTGTTACCATATTCCTGAATTTGGGCCTTTATTTTTAGAGCAGTGTCCTGTTCCTCAAGAATTTCCTTAGGCACTAGGAAAGGATGCTGACTTTATTCTGTGAGGTGTGAGCTACAGAGCCAGGTGCTGGTTCTGATCAACTGCGTATAAGCACTGTGATAATTTTTACATAAGAATTTCCAAGCCTGCAGCTACACTCTGACCATTTCCACATGAATGCATCTGTCCCTCTTCTTTGTGGACCTGAGTTAACTATGTCCTAAAGGTTACAAACTCCTCTTATGAAGATCACATTTTTCATTTGCCTCAAAATTAGGTTGTTTTTTTGTTTTGTTTTGTTTTGTTTTAAATCCCCACACAAACTCATCAGGGTGTATTTTCAAAGGGCTAGAAATGTTCTTTGTAAAGTTTTAGTTCAGTGAAAATGTCACTTCTAATGGGTCAGATACTTGGATAAAACAGACAACTCACATCGCTGGCAATGTCTCTGGAGGCCTTGGCTGCCACGATTGGGATGGCGTCAACTCGCAAGTCATAGCCTTTCTTCTTTGCCTCTTCATTGGCGAGTTTATACAGACTCTAAATTTAGGGGGGGGAATTAATAAATAAATTTAAAAAATCAGTTGGATGTTGACACTCATATCAAAGAACTGATGGGGGAATTGAAATAATTCACTATGTTTTACCCAGGTAGGTGCCTATAATAACCTTGCTTTTGAGAGATCTAAGCCTTCTGCATTTTTAGCTTTTGGTAACAATGAAGAACTAGTTATATAAGCACTAAAATTATAGGTTGCACACCCCCAGAATAAAATGACTTAAGATGGCGACTAACCTATCTCAATTCTTTAAATTATATTTTGCAGAAGAGTAATATACTGCTGATTTACACTGTCAAAGAAACACCATTTTCTTTGCTGGTAGTACAAAGCTCAGAGAAATAACTAATATAGTCTCAGACAGAATCTTAGAGCCACAAACACTTCCACAGGCTTAAACAAAGAGGTTCAATATAAGAAGAGATTGCAGAGAGATAAATGTCGATCTTTGAACTGAGATTTAAATTGCCAACTGTGTACATGCAGGATAGGGGAAACTCAGCCTAAGTCCATGTAAGATGTCTTAGGTTTTAGCTGATCCCAAATTCTCTGTGCACGGCAGGGACAACTGCTACAGCGTGCCCTGAGACACATGGTGCAGAGATGGAAGTCAAATGTCTAAAAAAGGAAATTGGACATCAACTGTAGTCTACTCTGATCATCCCTCACTTGCAGAATTTTGTTTGTTCTGAGAGTCATGTTCTAGCAGAGATGTCATGGGAGCAACGTCCAGGCACTTGGGATGTTTGGATTAGACGAGAACCTGGGGTGAGGTGGCAGGGGAGGTACCATGTTGCTATCGGCCTCTCCATGGAGTTGGCACAGATTGGTTCTGCATAGCCTCAGAGGACTATATGTGTCTGCAGAGAGAAATCTTCGATTCAATACATCAGAAGCACCTTCTAAGGGAATTTTCCAGAACAAATGGGTTGATTTATGAGATAAACTTCTTTTCACTGAGAACAGTTAAGCAAAACAGGATGACAACCTATGGGGCGGGGTCTCCTGTACTAGGAGAGGCTGACCTCTCAGCCTAAGCATAGGTGCTTCTGTGATTACATGCCCTGTGCTCACAGAAGGTGAAAAGAAAATGGGCTTGCTAACATGTACACTGCCAGGTCCTCTCTGCCTCTGTTTCTCTCTTTCTCTGTGTTATTTGGTACTACTACTGTTATATTTGTTCTTGACTAAAAAATCTTAAATTTTGATCCTAAAATATAATTTAGGAAAAATATATTACATAGGGAAATATTTTTAGCACGGCTATTCAGCACAAGGATGAAATAAGTGTATATTTGGTCTATTGCTAATTTCATAACTTAAAAAAATTAATAATAGGAAAAGGTCTAATTTAATCTTACAGTTATTGCTGAAATCATTAGTTCTTATAATTTGTACTTCCTAAAATGTAATCTGTGTTAGGATGTTTGATGTTTAGGATGGTGACTGAGAAATGCAAGAGTTGCTCTTCACATGGAGCAAAAAGAGATCCTTTATGAAGCTGTCCTTTAGTATTACATTCCCGAGGAACAGATGAATTGAAGCAAGAAACAGCATGCAAATGTTATGGAATTAGCATCTGCTCCCACCTCACTGTAGTTGATTTTGTTCATTCTTGCCAACGTAATTTCTGGGGTGTCCGGCATGATGTGGATCTGGGTCTTGTCTTTGTCCCAGGCTTCTGTGTATAAACGCTATCAGAGAAAATACTTAATGTCATCAAGAGGAAAATTCAGTATATAATTAGTAGGAATTTCAGGACCATAAAAACTTTATAAACAAATTAAACAAAAGGCTATGCATTTTTTATATTATGTATTTTATATATATATATATTTCTCAAGTGAAGTAATTAGCTCATAGTAAAATAAATATTTCTAATAATATGAAATACAATTTAACAAAAAGAAATTGAGAGTATCTTTTATGCAAAGATGATTTCTATAAAGCTATGCCATTTTATAAAAAACCATAACACAATTACTAAAGTAAGTGTTAGAAATAACATATCAGATTGATATTTTAGGTAGATATCTTTCGTTGCTCAATGCTCTCTTTCTTTCTTTCCTTGACTATGCTTCTTTTTCTTTAATCCAGCTCTAGAAGTCCTACCTTGATTCCCTGAATTTTGAAGCCTCACCTTGTTCATGGTGATGGCGTTGTTCTTGGCCAACACTTGTTCCAGAGAATCAGTCACACTGGTAAATCTAAACTGGTCTGGATGCTGGCGATAGATTTTATCACTCAAAATTTCAGTTGCCCTTTTGCACTTTTCCACATCCAAAGAGCCAATGGGAACCCAGCCGATGCCTCTCATCCACTGAAGATCTGACTTGTACATATTCTGTGGACATAGTCAATAAATGTTTATCTTCATTGGGAAAAAGTTTTCATCTAAAGCATATGAAAAAAAGTAAGAGCATTCTTGAAAACATAGTAGACAATATTTCTTTTTGGTCTGGAGGGTTAAACAATTAACACAAGGGAAAAGAGATACTATTCCCCCCTTTGCAGGGCTAGTGAATTTGGTGCCACCTATTGCTACCTTCTCCAAGGACTATGAGTTCACTGATTTCCCAGCTTCACATGTCTTTATGATGTTCAGGTACTCACATCGCTCTGGATTTCATAGGCCTGCCGAGCATGGATGACGTCATTCTGGTCGGGCAGGCACGTCCACTGGTGCAGGTAGTTCTTGTAGTCCACGTCGCTGACCAAGGTCTGGCACTTCTTGGCCAGCACCACCCCCAGCATGTCCACGGGGCTGCTGAACCTGGTCTTGGACTTCTCAAAGTCCTTCTTGTACTCCCTGTCGCTCTGGATCTTGGCCACATGCATGGACCACATCATCTTGGGGTCGTCCTTGATGTTCCGAGCTCCAATGTGGTGGCCCAGCTGCTTACGATAGCCTTCTTTGTACTTGAACTAGAAGAAGAAAAAAATGCTGATAGTCACCTACTTTAAGGAAAAACAATTACTAAGGCCACATTTTTCTGTTCTTTAAAAGATAATGATTTGACCTAACTACATAAATATGCATCTTGTAAACCATTTGGAAAGTAAAGAATATATATATATATATATATATATATATATATATATATATATATTATATAAAAATAAAATAAAAATGAAGACATTATTCTGCCATTCTGTGATAACCAATGAAAAATACTGCTTTTTGTGGTGTGTGTGTGTGTGTGTGTGTGTGAGAGAGAGAGAGAGAGAGAGAGAGAGAGAGAGAATATGATTAAAATAGGAATCATACTATACATGGATTTGTGCTTGCTTTTTCAATTATCATATCATTTCTCTTTGTCATTAAATATTCTCTATAAATATGAATTTTAATGGTAATAGACATTATACTGGTACATATTAATACTTTTAACCCTTCTGTGATTGTTGAACACTTATATTGAGTTCTGATAGTTACTTCTCATGTTTGGAAATAAAAAATATTTTGAGCAAATTTATGTTTTAAAGAAAATAAATATCTATAGTCAACCACTAGATGCAGAGACAAACATATGGTCCATATGAATGGCTGGGCTTTGAATAAAATAATGTGTCCCATTTATTCAGCCCTTATATGTTCACTGGTTCATAGGGCATGGGTTAGGTGTTGAAGGAATCCTACAGTAAGGAAGGAATCCTAAGTGTGGTTATATATAAGAATACATTATGTGGAAAAGCCAAAAAGATGTCTGAACTATAGTCAAATACCCAGTGCTTTTCTTCAGCAGGAAATAGACAATATTTTGAAATGCATGTTTCCATGAACTCAGACATAATGAGGAATTAGCCTTCGTGTCAAGAATTTCATTACCATTATTTTAAACTATCTACTGAGAAAAAGACTGTTAGCAAGAACGTTAACCTCATAGATTAATGCTCTTCCATGTATTCAGGGAGAAAAAAAAAGAAACCTTTCAGCCAAAGCTAAGGCGGAGAACTTTCCAGGTGCACTTACTTCACTTGCAATGTCTCTGGAGGCCTTGGCCGCCTTGATGGGAATAGCATCTAGCCGCATATCATAGCCTTTCTTCTTGGCTTCCTCTAGGCCAAGTTTATATAGTTTCTGAAATAGAAATAAATAATCATAAGTTTGATTTATAAAGTGCAGTGCAAGGAAAATGTATCATGCACATAATTATAGTGCTTACCTCACTGTAATTTATTTTATTTTGCTTAGCTAGTAAAACTTCAGGGGTGTCTGGCATAATGTGGATACTGGTTTTATCTTTATCCCAAGCGTCGGTATAGAGGCGCTAAAACAAACAAAAAAAGACAGGACTATTGCAAACCAGTAATGAATAGATACATACAACTGATCTGGTTCAGCAGAGAACAGAGAATCTGCTATGTGAGCTGGTATTTGTGAAACCTTCAGGTCCAGATATCTCATGTCAGCAAAAGCAAAACACTCACTTAAAAAACACACTATAACACAAAGCAAATAATTGAATATATTTCTTTTATAGAAACAGATTTCAGTGTTTACATTCACACACACACACACACACACACACACACACACACACACAATTAATACTCCTCCCAAGGAAAAAAAACTTACACGGTTCATAGTAATAGCATTGTTTTTTGCCAAAACCATCGGCATGGAGTCCATCAGGCTGGTAAACTTGAATTTATCTGGATGTTGACGGTAAACATGCTCACTCAAAATATGCATAGCTCTCTTGTTCTTCTCATCCTCAAGAGAACCACTAGGTAACCAGCCAATGCCTTTTAGCCACTGAAGGTCGGCTTTGTACAAATTCTGAAATTGTAAGTGACAAATCACTAAACATAATAATATGCCCCTAAAAGTATAGTATAGTATAGTATAGTATAGTATAGTATAGTATAGTATAGTATACATTTCAATGCTTGAATTCATGGTAAATTAAAATTTTTTGATACGTCTTGTGAGTCAACAAAATATTCAAATTTGAAGCAATATTTTGAAAACCATTTTAAACAGCAGCATATATAGAAAGATCCAGTTCTTCTGGGTCAACAATGTAGAGACTTCTACCAAAACAATTGAGACTTTGATGGCTCTTTCTTTGATAAGAAAGATAATATTTGGGTGCCTGGATAGAGTGTAGGTATTAGTCCAGGGAAGTTGTATAAACTCAACTCCCTTCACTTTGGGGGAACTTGATACTTAGGAAAGCATATGTGGTATTTTGTTAGCGAAGCAAAATCTTAGACTCACATCACTCTGGATATCATAGGCCTGCCGAGCGTGGATGACGTCATTCTGGTCGGGCAGGCATGTCCACTGGTGCAGGTAGTTCTTGTAGTCCACGTCGCTGACCAAGGTCTGGCACTTCTTGGCCAGCACCACCCCCAGCATGTCCACGGGGCTGCTGAACCTGGTCTTGGACTTCTCAAAGTCCTTCTTGTACTCCCTGTCGCTCTGGATCTTGGCCACATGCATGGACCACATCATCTTGGGGTCGTCCTTGATGTCCCGGGCTCCAATGTGGTGGCCGAGCTGCTTGCGAAAGCCTTCCTTGTACTTGTACTAAAGGGAAAAAATGTGTCATCTTTTTAGAGATTAACTTATATTGCCACCTTTGTGGCAAATTACAAAGCACATTAACTCCAAATATTTCACTAAGCCTAAAGAGCCACTGATACACGTTCTTTTGATAGGAAAGATTAAAGACTAAATCCAGTTCAAACTTCATGCATAATAAATAAATCCTTGAGCTATCTTCATCCCACACTGCATCTCGAGTCATTTCACTCTGTTTTAATTGGTTACTCGTTGAAAGATTTTGTTCAATTTAAATTGAAGTTGAGACTGCTTCGAAATGGCACACTGCAATCAAATCAATATAATTGGGATAAAGTCTTACTTCACTGGCAATTTCTCGGGATGCTTTTGCTGCTTTGACTGATATGGCATCAAGTGGCAGATCGTAGCCTTTTTTCTTCAGCTCCTCATAACCCATTCGGTAGAGTTTCTGTCAAAAGATGAAGGTCACTTTGGTAAATGAACAATGGAAGCCTAATGAATCCAAGGTGCTAAATCTTTGAAGAGTCCATGGGAATAGTATCTGTGCTCTAGAATACTCAAATGCAATGGGAAATTATGCCCATGGATTGCTAATGATGCTTAAACTTCAGAGCTCTTCAATTACCTAGATCAACAAAATCAAATGTCAGCTCCTTTCAAATGCTTATGAGAATGATGCAGAAGTAAATTGATAGAGAAATGAAATTAAATACCACTTAGGTGCTGTTTTCCAATTAACTTAAAGTGTTTCATTAGAAATTTTTGTTAGAAAAGAGCAATATATGAGAAAGTCACTTAATGCCTTTTCATCTAACACCTCTAGTGGGGCAAAAATCATGCCTAGTGAGTTGTCTCCTCTGTGTAGCGATAGCACTGGAATATACTAGTAGCATCTATTTCACAGTACAAGATCATCCATCGTAGGATTACATCTGTAGGTATGAAATGAAGTCCTTCATAATTTTTTAATGTAAGAGCTTTTGAGGGAACTTTAAATATTGAATTTGAAAAGCTTACGTGAAATGATGTGTTTCTTCAATTCTCTTACATAATTGAGAATGCCATTTAATGCACTTTATCCAGATTGTTTAAAATGCCTATTGATCTTGGATTTGTGTTTATGTATAGACTAGAGGCCTCATGCATGGACTTGTGCATTGGTGGGTCCCTCGGCCTGGCCTGTGTTGATCGGGCTGAAATGTGCTCTCCAACATCCCCCAAGGGGTCCCGGATTACGAGAGGGTGCAGGCCAGGCCGAGGGACCCCACTGATGCACGAATCTGTGCACTGGGCCTCTAGTATGCATATAAGATCTTTGGTTAATCTCTTCCTGTCCTTCCCTCCCCCTTCCCTCTGAGATTCATCATTCTGTTCCATGATTCCATGCCTGTGGTTTCTGCTTCTGCATTGAGCATCTGCTCTCTGGCCAGTGTGCATCAGAGCTATTGCCTGTCAGCCGATTACTTAGGCTTTTATGTATAAAGATAGTTTTCTTTTTGAGGCATTTATTTAATACTGTACATTGCTTCATATTAAAGTCTTTCTATTAGACTTTAGAATTTGTCTTTAACATATTTAATTTTTATGTCTAAAAAATTCAGAAAGTTATGCCATGTTGACAATAAAAATAAAAATGAAATTGTCCTGCATGAGTTTTTTTATGCTCATTCATTTGAAATTTCATTGAATTTTGTGTGTTTCAGGCAATATACTAGTGAAGGACTGCAGATCCAATAGTAATTGTCTCTGCCCCCAAGGAGCTCCTATCGATGTGGGGAGAGTGATATAACCCATTACATTATGACCATATATGTAATGATGGACTACAAAGAACAGACGGCACACATTCCCACTCTGCTTGGGATAGGGAATACCAATTATGTTGATATTCAAGCTAAAAGCCACTAAATGAGGAATCTAAGTTACATGTAGTTCATTAATGGAAATAATTCAGGCATTCTAAATAACTTCCAAGTAAATTTACTGCCTTAGAACCAATTAAAATGAACTTTCTGAAAACACATGCTGAATTGGAAACTCACATCACTTGTGTTGATTAAGTTTGCTTTAGCCAGAATAATGTCAGGTGTATCCGGCATGATGTGGACTTGAGTCTTGTCCTTGTCCCAAGCTTCTCTATAAAGTCTCTAAAAGGAGAAATAAGAGTTTTTCAGTGGTGTTGTTAGATTAGTGAATGACATAGTTAACTTCAAACAGGATTACTGAATTCATCTGAATTAAGCCTTATGACTGATAGCATAAGCAGATAGCATAAGCAGAAAACAGCTCCAGTATTTCTTGATTTATCTGGGACATAATTGCCTTTCAAAAGAGAGATTATGGATTACCTTTTTTGAAGTTACAGATAATCCTGCCTATAAGAAGTCAACCCAAGTAATGGGAGCCTTTGCTAAGATCATCAAATGGAGCAGCAATTCCCCATCTATCAGACTGTAAAAGTTTCCCTTAGTGTTTCATTGGGAGACTGGCCTTGCTTTCTCAAAAGATGACATAGTCCCGGTGTGTCTAGAAATTATGAGTCTCATTTCCTCTGTGGTTTATTATTTACTAGAGGCCTGGTGCATAAAATTCGTGCATGGGAGGGGGGTTGGGGGGTCCCTCAGCCTGGTCTGCACCTTCTCCAATCCAGGACCCCTCGAGGGATGTCTGACTGCTGGTTTAGGCCCAATCCTGCTGTCAAACATCCCTCTAGCAATCCAGGACCACGGATCCTAACTACTTACCTGTCTGCCTGCCTGATCGCCCCTAACCACTTTGCCTGCCTGCCTGATGCCCCTAACTGCTCCCCTACCTGCCTGATCGCCCCTAACTGCTCTCGCTTGCCGGCCTAATCACCCTCTAACTGCTCCCCTGTCAACCTGATTGCCCCCTAGCTGCTCCCCTGCCAGCCTAATTGCCCCTTACCTCCTCTGCCTTGGACCCTGCCACTGTGGCTTTGTCTGGAAGATGTTTGGTCTAATTAGCATATTACCATTTTATTAGTACAGTCATACCCCATAATTATTTGAGGGGGAGGAAGGATTCCCAAAAACATTTTATATGAGAACTTATAAAAAATCTTTTTACATCCCAGAGATGTAAAAAGATGTAAAAAGAAAGACATCTCTATGTCTTTCTTCAGAGAAGATAAAGGGATCCAAACAAAAATCTTACTGATATACTAAAACTAAGACGTTAACATTGTCAGAGAATCTTTCTACATACTCATAAATTACAAAGTATAAAACAGTAATAACAGTGAAGAAACTTGGAGATGCCATTTTAAACAAGTGATCAAAGTTTAAATATCAGTAAAGGGACATTGATGCCATGTATCTCCTGATATAATGTATAGAAGAGGATACAACAAGTGTTATCCTATAAAAATACAAAACTTGGATCTAATCTAAACCCAAATTAAGGGTGATTCTATAAAATAACTGGTTTGTGCTTTTCTCAGATATCAAGGACTTGCAAAAAAAAAAAATACTAGTGAGGAACAAATCCACCTTCAAGAAGACTAAAGATGTGACAAGTGAATTCAATATGTGGATATTGGATCAGAAAATCTTTAAAATTGTGTCTAACGAACATTAGTGGTAAGATTGAATAAATTCTGTCAACTAGTATTGTTTTAACATTAATTTCCTGATTTGGAGCATTGCAATGTGGTTATGTTCTTTTGAATGTTCTTTTTTTCAGGAAATACACAATGAAGTATTTAGTTATAGAGTGGCATGGCATGGTGGGGAAAAAAAAGCATTTGTAAAATTATTTATACTATTTTTGCAACTTTTATGTATGCCTGAAATTATTTCAATATAAAAAATTTGAAAGTATCATTGATTCCTTGAACACAGGAATTTCCTTTTGAGGCACGCAGAATGGAGTGTGTGGGGTTGGCACTTTTCTCCTTCCTGAGCATGCTTACTCCAGTCCATATAACCCAGAGAATCTAATTAAGACCTTCAGGGCAAAAAAACAAGCAAGCATGTGAATTCCCATATGCATTTTTCCTGGTTCTGTGCTAACCTTTCTGATTAAATTCAGAGTTTCTCAACCTGCACTATGAGTGCTGTATCCTGGGAGATTCTTTGTAAGGGTGTGTCCGAGAAGGGGCTGTCCCATACATTCTGAGATGTTTGCAGCATATCTGTCTTCTATCCACTAGATGCCAGTAGCATGCCACCCTCAAATTGTCACAACCAAAAATGTCTTTAAGTGCTGCCAAATGCCCCTGTGTGACAAAACTGCCCCTGGTTGAGAACCTTTAAGTTGGGCAGGATGTTTAATGGCATGTGTCACTTTTACTCCATGGAAAACTGAGAAAATGCTAATATATCTTTATTCTGAGGTAGAGGTATGGTCTATTCAAAAGGAGAGACAGCAGGGCCCCTCTTCTGAGACCTGAGGGGAGTAATATCTCAGCATTTCTGTGACCAGGGCACACTGTTGACAAGTATGCTTTGAGGCATAGATGTTGATAAATTTCATGACCCAGGGTTTTTCTCTTGGCCACCTTATTAGCTCAGAGCTTTGTAAACAGGCCTGTTTCATGGAGAAAAAAAGAAACTTGTTATTTTCCATAACTTTGTTGCTTTATGAGCCAGATAGTTCGATTAAAATTTTTATCATAAAAAAAGCATGAACATTCACGATAAAGCTGACATGTCAGCATTTACTATAAATTTTGGATACCAAAATTGCAAGAGATCTGTGAGAGGTAGAATAGGAAGAGGGGAGCTACAGTTTATCAAATGTTTTCTATAAGCTGATTATGAGCTTATATATATTATTAATATTTGAAAATTAAGTTGTCTGACATGTAAAATATATGACATATTATATATATTTAGATTCTTCTATGACCCAAATGGTTATTATTATGTATTAATTTAAGATTTCTTACCAGTTTCAGAATCTCAGTGCACGTAATTCAACTGATCATAATTTTCAGGGTTATATTTTATTTTATTTTATTTATTATTATTTTTTAATATATTTTATTGATTTTTTACAGAGAGGAGGAGAGAGGGGTAGAGAGCTAGAAACGTCGATGAGAGAGAAACATCGACCAGCTGCCTCTTGCACACCCCCTATCGGGGATGTGCCCGCAACCAATGTACATGCCCTTGACCGAAATCGAACCTGGGACCCTTCAGTCCACAGACTGACGCTCTACCACTGAGCCAAACCAGCTTCGGCACAGGGTTATATTTTAGAATTACTCTATACTGCTATCTTTCCTTTATTTTATTCACTAAATATTTATTGAGCACCTAGTATGTGCCAGCTACTGATGTCAGTGCTAGAGAAGGAAGTTAAAGATGGAATATATATATATATATATATATAAATTTTTATGTATGATTCAACTAAACAAAATGCATTGTAATTATCAGGAAGAAAATAAACTCTTTAGAACCTTTCCATTGTATCTGTTGTGTGAGGTACTGAGGCTATCTCTCTTATAGACTATACCACAATAATAGCACACGACAGTAAAATCTGGGGTTTAAATGCACTCAAGTTTCAAAGAAAAAAAAAGTATGTTTTATAGTTTTCTCATTACATTTTGAATAAATGAACAAACAAACTTTGGGGCACAAAAATTGATACCAATTTTTACACGATCCAGTGTGGGGATAATTCAAATTAAGCAACTAAATATAAAACATTATGCTGTGTTGTGCTATCTGTGTGATGTGCTGCTATTATATTGAATACCTACCAAGTATCAGGCACTATAAGTTATTTCATTTATTTCCAAAGAATTATACTCACATCACTCCTATTTTTGGCATTGGCCTTTGCCAGAACTATATCCATGGCATCAGGAATGCTGGTGAACTTGTTTTTGTCAGCAGGCTGGCGATACTTCTTCTCACTGATGATTTCTGAGGCCCGCTTGTTCTTTTCTGCCTCCAAAGAACCCAGGGGACTCCATCCTATGCCTCTGAGCCACTCCAGGTCAGACTTATACAGATTCTGTGAAAAAACAAAGCAAGCCTCAAAATCCCATCCTCCTCTAGGCCCTTGACTCGAGTCTATGCATTCACAAGCAGATCTGTTTTAGATTTTCAGTAATAATTCCTCTTTCTAGTTTCTGTTTCTCTGCAACTGAATGGCCTCTCCTTTAAGATAGGAAGTCATCTACGGTATAACTGATTAGATTTAATAGAAGCTGACCTCACTCTGTATTTCATAAACTTTTTTAGCTTGGATGACATCATTCTGGTCGGGCAGGCACGTCCACTGGTGCAGGTAGTTCTTGTAGTCCACATCGCTGACCAAGGCCTGGCACTTTTTGGCCAGCACCACCCCTAGCATGTCCACTGGGCTGGTGTACTTGGTCTTCCACTTCTCAAAGTCCTTTTTGTACTCCCTGTCACTCTGCATTTTGGCTACATTCATGGACAGCACAAGCTTTGGATCATCTTGCAGACTTCGGAATCCAATATGGTGGCCGAGTTGCTTGCGGTAGCCTTGTTTATATTTAAACTGAAATGAGAGGAAACAGTCCTTTTAGTAACATAAACAGAGGTTAAGTTCAGTTTGCTTTGGTTGTATGTTTATTTTAGAAAACTGAAATGAGAGAAGTTATGCCTATGTTAAGGTACCATAGTAAGAAGTATAAAAACTTAAGCAGAGACTTTCAAAGAAATGTAATGTAATTGAATGCCCAGAGAGGTCGCAGTGAGAAATTAATTCCAATACATTGTGTATGCTGACTTTAGGGTAGTGTTTGATAAAGCACTATGATATCCTTTTGGAATAATGGGAAAGTATGGGCTGAATGACAAAATTTAAGAAGATTCATGACTTAATAAATGACCTAATAGTCTAGGTTAATTAAGCACCAGGACTTTTAGTGACTCATCATATGGTTATGTAATATAAATTTGTCTTGTTCAGAATCCATTTCTTAATGCACATATGGCTAAAGACAACTAAATATGTTAGATTAAAAAAATAAATTCTACATGACCTCAACATATTGCCAATGTGGATCAAAATGAACTACATAAAATTAAGAAAGTAAAAGTGAAATCCAGTATTTAGATTCAATTGGGAAAATTGCATTAGTACCAGATGAGGATAACAACAATGATAATAGAGATAATAGCAGTGTTTATATAATACTAGATGTTAAGCGCATATTACACCTTATGGATGTAGATTCTACTCTCTCTCGACACCCAGCTTCATGGTTATGTACATTAAAAATAATCAGAATTCAAGTTGACTCTAAGCTCTATGTGAGCAATCTGACAAAACTGCTTATAAAAAAGTAGCATCACAGATTCTGTAGAGACACAAAGGCAAGTCAGAAGCTCATTTACTTTTGTCTGGCCTCCTGTAACAGGAAGACAACCGAGGTTTAGGCACTCTATTTTGATAGGAGTTTTTAAAAAACAGAGTAAGTCACAAGTAGAATAATCAGGAAATTGAAGGAATTATAAAATTAAAATCAAAGGAGAATAAAGAAACTTCAAATGTTTGAAGAGATATCATGTAGCAGAGGAAATAAGCTACTTTGTGGTGTTTCTAGAACACAGAAATAGAGCTGATGGGTAACATAGTTAAGTTCCATGTAAAATAATGTATAATAACAATTCCAGATGATTCAATAAGGAAATGGCACAAAAATTCTTATATTTTGCAAGTATTCACAGACTGGATGGCCACGTGTTAGAGATGGAGAGAAGGCAAGGCATTGAGTGGGTAGATTGGATTAAATAAACTTTAAGTTATCTTCTAACTCTAAATTCTAAGGTTTTAATTTATTAATTATTTGTAAAAATAGCTTTAATTTTCTTAAATTTTATAGATACAAAACCATTTGAAACCAAAAGGAGATATAATTTCTACAATGTTGGCAAAGTTCACTTATAATTAATTTAATTTTGGGGTAAGATTTCAAGTTTCTAACCATAGGTTCACATGGAAAGAAAACAGGTACTACCAAATGTTGCATTGTTAGAAAATTATTGATGCATTTCTTCAATCTCTAAACTATCTTTACCTTATGAGAAGTACATAACATTAAATGAAAATGAGTTTGTGTTCTGGGGAACATACAATCATCATTATTGCCATTATTGCTCTAGTTTCTTCACCTTATTGATTCATTTTCATGAGGTATTGACCTTTGAGCCAGAAATTAGGTAATAATACATTATCTAATTAGGTTTCCAACACTTCTGAAGTGCCACAAGTTAATTGAACTAGGGAGAATCTTATTTTATATTCCTAGAAATTATTGTTAGATTCTTTCTTTAGAAAATCTTTCTCTACAAACCAATTTTTGTTTTGTCTGATTTTAAAGGTTTAGATTAAGAGGCTGTGCTTCCCTATGAAATTCTGGTAATTTATTCTCTATAGCGAAGGTCCTCTGATTTTTGTGTGATTAATCTTTAGGATTAACAAAATGAAGCATTAATGATAAAAATATATCTTTATAGAAGTCAGAGTAGCACTTACATCACTAGCAATGTCTCTCGAAGATTTGGCCAGCTGTACAGAAATTGCATCAACTGGGAGATCATAGCCTTTCTTCAGAGCTTCTTCCCATCCAAGTTTATAGAGTTTCTGAAAATTAAAGAAATTATTTAATATTCAGTATATATTAAAACCCCAACAGATTCCTGAAATTTACCTAGAGAATAAATAGAGATCTGGGTAAACCTAACATCGTCTACTTTCTCTCTAAAGATAGCGATAAAAACAAAACAAGCTGTTTTATAAAGCCTTGACTAAGCATCACATGGTCTGGCTTCAGTTTTTTTTGGCTCTGTGATACCACACTTCTCCAAGTATAAGTGAGTATGGTGTTTTCTGTTCACACACTTATGGGTATAGATCAGATATATCAGGTAACTTTCTCATGGTTTGTACTCATATTTTGAACACAGATTTTAAAATAATAAAATAAAAAAGGTCAGGTGACAAAATATTAATTATCTAAGTGATAAAACTAATAGATGATGAAATGTCTTTTATAAGGTGCAATAAATGAGTTAACCTTTCTGAATCAAATTCATTGAATGGAGGCATATGTGTGAAAACTGGATAATAACAAAAACAGCTGAAAGCTATCCAGCACTCTGTACCAGGCACCGTGCTGAGAGCCTTACGTGGAATTTCTCACTGGCCATCATAGTAATTCAGCGTCATAGGCACTTTGATGGTCCCAGTTTTAGGGATGAGGAAATTAAGGTTTTGATCTAATATTATACAACTTATAAATGGCAAGACCAAAACTCATACCAGTTCTGTTTGATACAACATTTTCTTTCAATAATTATTTACTGATTTCCTACTCTCTGCCAAACACAGTAAGTACCCAGAAAAGCAAAACAGATACAGCGCTTGCCTCCATGGAGCATACAGTCGTAACTGAAGCTCTTGCTATTACCCACATTTTGCAACATCTTTACGCTAGCCAGTTTGTGTCATCCATTTCCCATGCTTTAGCATTTATTTACATCAGTTATTTACCATTACTTCACTTAATAAGTTTAATTAATTTTGAGCCCAATGTTTAGAGACTTTACCTGACTGTATATTGCTTGATTCTGCTTGGCTTGTAAAAAATCCGGTGTATCGGGCATCAAATGAATCTTGGTTTTATCTTTGTTCCAATCAACAGTGTATAAGTGCTGAGAAGTTAAAAAAAAAGGGGGGGGGGGCATTTGAAATTTGAATAACTTTTAGAACAAACCAGAAAGAAAAAAAAATGTAGCAGAGTATTTGAATTAAATGAAATTAATTTAGTAACTAAAGTAGCATATAATTCAGAGAAGACACCAAACCAAACTCAGATTTTAAAACATAACCTTTTAAATGTTTTCTTCTATGATAAATTAAAAAGTACTTAAGATGCAATAATTTTAAAAATAATTTCTAACTTAATTAGAAGGGCAGGAGAAATAAAAAGAAGGGGTAGGCAGCAGAAGAAAATGGTGTAGGGGCGCGCTCTGGAACTGCCTGCACTGCTCAGCAGTGGTGAACCAGAATCGAACATCCCAAACAGGAACCAGAGACTGCTGGCCCCGCCTCCCTCGGGACTGTGTGGAAGGATGGCTGTTTCGTCTACCTTGTTCATGGTAAGCGCGTTCTGTTTGGCAAGAACCATGTCCATGGAGTCAGTCAGCTTCTTAAACTGGAAAGTGCTAGGGTGCTGGCGGTATTTCTGATCACTGGCATACTCAGTTGCTTTCTTGGCTTTCTCCACTTCTAGGGAACCAGCTGGACTCCAGCCAAGCCCTTTGTACCATTCGTTGTAGTCCTGCTTATATTCATTCTATAAAGACAAGAGGCAGACCTACTTTACCTTACCTATTTAGGTGCAAAGCGTGGCATAGAAGACTGTGATCCCTCCCCAGGTCAGCAATCCATTGCCCAGAAAGGAGAGAGCCTTACGTCACTCTGTATGTGATTCATATTCTTGCTCAGCTGGATGTGCATGGCATCTGGAAGGAGGATGTACTTGTGGATCAGGTGCTTGTAGTTGGTGTTGGTGATGTTGGCTTGGGCATCCTTGGCGGCCATGACACTGAGCATGTTGGGAGGGGTGTGGTAGCTGGTCTTCGTCTTCTCATAGTTTTTCTTGTACTCCCGATCGGATTGCATCTTAGCCACTTGCATGGAATGGACTAACTTGGGATCGTCCTCAAGACTGCGGAAACCAACCATTTTCCCCCTCTCCTTTTCATAGTTATATTTATATTTATACTGTGAAGAAAATTTGATCATTTATTCAGAGCAATTCGAATCGTTCTAGGGTCAGCATGCTGTATTTCATAACAGTAATACTTGTATAGAATTCTACAGTTCATAAAACACATTTTTCACATGTATTTGTATAACTTGGTACAACCCTTCCTTACCAGGTAGATAGCAAAGTTATTGCCCCCATTTTATGGATAAGTAATCTGAGAGCCAGAGGTGAGGGGCTTATAAGGATTAGAAGCCATAGTTTATGATGAAACACCATACTGACTTCCACACATATTCTGCTGTTAGTGTTGAAGAGGTCTACAGTTGGTAGGAGAGTATAACAAATGAGAGGAAAGGAGAGATGGAGAATAGCGGTAGAGAAAGTATAACTGGGGGGTGGCGAAGGAAAGAGTGCTCTGAACTGTGCTTCTCCCACTATCCCCAAATCATTCAGTACTCACTATGGGTGGATTTCTTGGACAAACAACCAAATGAAAGAACTGAGTTTCACAAAACTTATATTATGGCAGTGTGCGCTGGCACACCAGTTCCCCAGGGGGAAAAAACCCTAAGTTGATGTCTTTGTCAATTTCTGTGATGTAAATACTCCCACTGTGGCTGATGTCAAGCTACCAACAGTTTAATATCCGTTTTTGCACAATTCCCGATTGTTTAACAATCAGTTGTCATCAGCACCCCCAGTGCACCACTTCATGAGACATCTTGTTAGGAAGACAGATCCTAAGAGGCAAGAACAGTACAAGCCTTTGGATTTCTACAGGCTATAGCCTTGGTGCCTTAGGGATTTTTTTTTTTTCTTTTCCAGAAATATCAGAGAAAACAAAAGAGCAAAACTAAGAGGCATTCACAGAATAGAATGAGGCTATTGTTAGCAGGCACACCCCCACCCCCCATATTCTATCCACTCAGTTTTTCCAGAACTGAGCTGTTATTATTTTGGTAGATTAGAAACCCCAAACTGCCCCCACTCCCACCCCCACACCCCAGCCAGGTATCTGCTCTCCTTCAAACTTACATCACTTGCAATATCTCTTGAGGCCTTGGCAGCTTTGATAGAAATGGCATCAGTTCTGAGGTCGTAGCCTTTCTTTTTAGACTCTTCCATGGAAAGTTTGTAGAGTTTCTGTAAAGATAGGCAAGGGAATGGTTTTCTTATAAATAGGAAAGTCTAGATTTATTATTTATTTTTTAAAAATAAATCTTTATTGTTCATATTGTTACAAAAGTTCCTCATTTCCCCCCCCTCCACCAGGTTCCCACCTCACCCTCTGCCCTTTTGCCAGCCCCCATTGTCCTAATCCATAGGTGCACAGTTTATGTTCAGTCTCTTCCCACACCCCCCACTTCCCTTTTTCCTGAGAATCGTCACAAATAAAAAAAGCTAAAGGAGTTCATCACCGCCAAACCAGAATTATATGAATTGCTGAAAGGTGTTCTTTAGGAAGAAGAAGAAAATAAAGATAAAAATTATGAACAACAAATATGTAACTATCAACAAGTGAATCTAAAAACCAAGGGAATTAAAAAAACCTGATGAACAATATTAACTGTTGAATATAATAGAATCAGAGGTATGGAAGGGGAGTAGATTTATTTTTTAAAAAGCAAACTAGCATTGTTTTTATTTTTGAACAGAATGTTTCATTGGTGAAACAATGGCTAAATGTTCTCACAAATAACATAACTGTATTTGGAAAAAATCAATTACAAGCTCATACATATCTTCAAGAACCTACCAGAAAAAGAAAAAAGAAAAAAGAAACTACCAGAAAAGGTAAAACTTCTCCATCTCTATTAAGTTATAAAAATGCTTTTTTTTAAAAAATGTGAGGGGGAGGGCAATGAGGAATAAGGACACATATGTAATACCTTAATCAATAAAGAAAAAAATAGGGGGGGGGGAAATTTAGAAAGGAAAAAAAAAGTGAAAGCCCAGTAGATCCTTATTGATGCATTTTATCAGTAAGAGTCCAGGGATGACTACAAAGCAGCCACATTCTTACATTAAATTTTTTTCATTGTTTTGCAGTTGATATTTTTATTTATATAATTGTGTGGACTCTACAACCTAGGAAGAAGTCAGCAATTTCAAAGCCCTATGTAATTCAAACAAAGGAAAGAAAAGGAAAAACCTGGCAGAATTAGAGGATTTTCTAGCAACAATGGTTAGGATGAGAAAGGAAGTGAAATAAGTCACCTTAGGATGAGAAAGAAAGTGAAATAAGTCACCTATGCATTTTCTGACATTAAGTGTTGTACATTTCTTCTTATGAGGCTTGCCCAAATTCTTCAAAATGTGCATCTTCCCTTTCCATTTAACTTTCTCCAGACCCCTTCTTTAGAACCATCTCAAAAGCTTGGTGGATGGATTCTAAGAATGAAGTCCTAGGATTCTCACTTCCTTTTTCTCTTCTCCTGGCCCCCAAGTGCTTCTCTTCTTGCCAAGTACCTTAGTTTGAGAAGGAGGACCTGTCCCCACAAAAAAATGGACCTGCCCTTCAAAGTTCAATTGCTGGGCCTGAGTCCCATCCACAGTTTGCAAAGCAAGACAGAGAAAGATTCTCATTTTTGGATTCCCACTCTTACTTTCAAAACATTTACTCTTATAATTAAGGCATATTAATTAATTCATTTTTACTGCTTCAAATAGGCAGGAAAGAAAGATGACAACAGGGGTAATGACACTTACATCGCTCATGTTAACTGCATTTGCCTTTGCCAAAACAATCTGGGGGATGTCGGGCATGATGTGGACCTTGGTCTTGTCAGCCTCCCATGCTTGTTTGTAGAGGTGCTAGAGAGTAAAAACAAACAAACAAACAAAGAAAACCCAGTCAAAGTCAATATCTTACAAGGAGCCTTGCTTAGTACATGCATACCATTGTACATAAATATGGAAATTTTATGTATTTTTATTAGCAAGATCTTATTTTTATAAAATTTAAATAAAAAGGTGCTCATTGTCAACAAGATAGAAAAGATGGATGTCCTATTCTCTTACTGCAGACTGCATATGCATTCTAAAATTTTCTAGGCATATTAAAGCCCACATATAGTCCTTTTTAAATATAAATGAGGTCATATATACATAATGATCTACATCTCGCCTTTTTTACTTGACAATATAGGTTAGAGATCTTTTAAGCTTCTTAAAATAACTTGCTTTATGTAAAGAGCTTACTATCCCATGAGGAGGTGTAACCCAATTGACTTAACCGGTTCTCTACTGACAGCGTTTGATGTGTTGTTTGCAGTCTTCTACTAGTCATGGCACCATGGTCTTTTGGCGGACTTAGAACATGTTGCCCCAGCTACTGGCAGACAGCCTCCAGTTGTCACTTGCTGCATACTTTGCTGCCTCACTCAAGAGCTAGGAGCTACTGGTGGAGAAAGATTGCTCTCATGATTGCCCAGAGAAGGTTCTGGCTTAGGACACTGCTATTGCCATGTGATCTAGGAGTCTGCTCTGAGCTCATCAAAGCAGCTAGGCAGGAGGATGGGGTGCAAAACCCAGCTGTTATCAGTCAGCCTTCTGATTCAAACTCTCCAACTTTTAGAGGGGACGCTTTTCAAGATTTGCATTACGGGGTAGAACGGTTCATTGAACATTTGGGTGGGGGCATTTATTAAACGTTTTTTTTATTGTTTTTTTTTTTTTTTTTTTACAAGCCCTCTTGCCGAAGCCGGTTTGGCTCAGTGGATAGAGTGTCAGCCTGTGGACTGAAAGGTCCCGGGTTCGATTCCGGTCAAGGGCATGTACCTTGGTTGCGGGCACATCCCCAGTGGGGGGTGTGCAGGAGGCAGCTGACCAATGTTTCTCTCTCATAAATGTTTCTAACTCTCTATCCCTCTCTCTTCCTCTCTGTAAAAAAAAAAATCAATAAAATATATATTTAAAAATAAATTACAGGTCCTCTTTCAAGGTAAACATTAATTATGACGCTCTAACACTGTCAGGAAAATTTGAAGATTAAATATAAGCTATGCCTGGCTTCTTTCTGATACAGATGAAACACTACGTTATTGACTTACCTCATTCATAATTTTGGCATTATTCTGAGCCAAAACCATGTTCATTGAGTCCATCAATGTGGAATACTTCAAAGTGTCCGGGTGTTGGCGGTACTTCTTTTCGCTGATGATCTCCATGGCTTTCTTGTTTTTCTCAGCCTCCAGGGAGCCCAGAGGGAGCCAGCCAACGCCTTTCACGAAGTCATCAAAGTCGGCTTTGTATTGATTCTGCAAAAGAGGAAAAGTTCCAGGAGGAGGAGAAACCAAAACTTCCAGGAACCACATGTGGGTATTTGACATTCCCTAAGTATATTGAACTTCGACTATTTTTATCCCTAAACTTCATCTTTTATACATTTTCTTGCATGAGAAATTAAAAAATAAGCAGTAATATTTTGGTGACTTGTTTTTCTAAATGCCTTCCTGAAGAAAAAGTGCTTAAAAAAAAACCCCAAGTAGATTAATTTACCACATTACTATTATCTCAAGATTGGTGACTATACTGGCCCAACTTTCTTACAAAAATTCTTAAGTTCCCTTTGTTAATAGATGACTTACGGAGCCCATTTCTCTCTTTTGCTATGTCTTTGATCAGTTACCACTATTACAATTCTCTCAGGTATATTGGAAACCTCACTGGTACTTGGCACAAATTTCATATTTCTCCCCTCAACTCTGACATTTTCTTCTACACCTGTGTACTTGGTTACTTTCATTTGGGCACTTAAGTACCTCTTCATATATGTAATATATTTATATGTCACACATACTGTATATATACATATATATATATATTTGTTACATCTATTGGGTATATTACATATACATATATAATATTATACAGATGAGATAATAGTTCAGTTTTTACATTTCCAAAGAGAATTACAGGCTTGGGGCCTGCCTTTGGTCCATAATTTAAATTCACTTTCTCCAGCCACCAGATGTCCTCTATAGCTGAAATCTTGGCTCTCTACTATCTATGCCTTCCTCACACTCATTCTAATAAGCTGCCTCACCCATCAGCTCCTCAAAAGCGGGACATAGTGAACAGAATGCTGCTTGGGAGCGAGAGGCAAGAACTATCACATCATTTGAGGTTCTGCTTTCCCTCGTGCTCCTCTTTCAGGAGCCTTTCATGCTTCTGACTCTTTGTTAGACATACTTCTTTCAACACGTCCTTTCTGAAACCAAATTTCATTTGCCATTGCCAAATCCAGCACCCAACAAGGCTCACAGCCATAATGGTAGAAAATAAGACTTTCATTCCTAGAATCGATCCCTTTTTGTTAAAAATAAATAAATAAATTTAACCTAAGGTAAAAAATGGAACACCTTATTGGGAAATTGCACATGAATTTCTTTCAGGATTTTCAAAATGTCACTACTTATGCTCATTACTGATTTGCTTATTATCCAGAGTAAACGCTCGGCAAATGGCATGGCTGCCACATACATCACTTTGAATCTGCATCATGTTTTTGGCCAATTCGAAGCTCATGGCGTCAGGAAGCAGGTTGTAGGTGTGGATCACGTTCCTGTAGTTGGCGTTGGTGGCCACTTCCTGAGACTTCTTGGCTGCCACCACACTGAACATGTCCACCGGCGTGTGGAAGGAGGTCTTGGATTTCTCATAGCCCTTCCTGTATTCCCGGTCTGACTGCATTTTGGCCACCTGCATGAAGTGCACCAACTTGGGGTCGTCCTCCAGGCTCCGGAAGCCAATGTGCTTCCCTTTGCCTTGTTCATAGGCTTGCTTGTATTTGAACTGTAGAGAGAGAAAAAACAAAACAAAAAACAAACACATGGTGATGAAGCTAGTGGAGAAAAGAGAATATAATAAACCAGGTGCCTTCAGCTTTGTCATAGAGTCTTAGAGCTACCCTAAAATTAGAGAGAAGAGCTCATAGGGGGCAGGGGGCAAAATCTTTTTATTTCAAAGTCCGTGCCAGTCGTAGGTCCGTGGAAAGAAAATGAACTCAGAATTAATGACAGCAACGTGGAAATAAGTTGTCCAGGGCACTTTAGAAAGCAGTTCTTCCCACTCAGCGGTCTGACCAGCAGAAAAGGATGCTGCATCTTTAAATTCTGCATCTTTAAATTCAGGAAAAACCTCGTCAGAGGTCTCCAAGGTAAAATCTGCAGCTGCAGCCCTGTATTTGTTTAGAATTGCCTATAAATGATTAGAATACTTTAAAAGCAACCTATTTTAACAAGACCCAGTCACTTTTTACATTAAATAATGGACAAATGATTAGAGGGTCCTTGGACTGAATGAAGGGATGTGGCTTGTGTGTTACACTGGCTGATGGTCCCACCAACCCTGGGTAGAGCTGACTGCAGCTCCTTGAAAACACACGAACTCTGCTCAGCCTAAGGAAGGCCCAGCGGAAGCACTTACATCACTGGCAATGTCTCTAGAGGCCTTTGCAGCCTTTATTGAGATGGCATCCGGCCTCAAGTCATATCCTTTCTTCTTTTCTTCTTCCCAACCAGCTTTGTACAGTTTCTAAATGATCAAATAGAAAAAAAGAAAGAAAGAAAAGAAAAACATCAGCATCTTTTCATTTGGGTTAGAACGGGGATCCCGATTTCTGGCATGTAAAAGACAGACATTCCATAAGCATTAGCTCACTTCACCTCCCCTACTTTTGTTGTTCATCTACTTACATCACTCATGGTGATTTGGTTCATTTTGGAGAGCAGAATGTCTGGCGTATCGGGCATGACGTGAATGGTGGTCTTGTCTTTGTTCCATTTCTCAATGTAGCGCCTCTGCAACAAGAAGGGCAGGCACGTGACTGAACAGCAGGACCAGTGTGTGGGAGGGAAAGAGACTCACAGCTCCATGGGGAAGAGCATAACTCTGATGTTGGAAAATGGGTGAGATAGCAAGAGGGGCTGATGAGACTAGGCACATGCTGAGGACAAAAATGACCACACAAGGAAGTCCTTTTCCACTGAAACAACAAATACCATCTTGCCTCAACCTCACAAGATGTAGGTTTTGTAGTTTTGTCCCGCCCTCAGCATGGTGTTGACAGTCCCAGGGTCAGTATAACTGAGAATCTCTAGACATGACATAAGTTACAGAATGCCCCTCCTACCACCGCCACCACCAGGACCATCAGAAAGATTAAAATGCAGACAGAGATCATAGAGGCAGTGCCGGGCTCAGGGGCATGAGCACTAGGAGGGTTCTGGGCTGAGGCCAGCAGGTGAGTTCTTACCTTATCCATAGTCAGTTTGTTATTCTTGTTAAGTTCTTGCTCCATTGTGTCCATGGAGTACGTGAACTTCAGCTTCTCAGGGTGCTGGCGATACTTCTTCTCGCTAAGAATCTCTCCTGCTTTCTTTGCCTTCTCCACTTCTAGGGAGTCTATCGGGACCCAGCCAATCCCTTTCATCCAGTTGGTAAAGTCGGATTTGTATAGATTCTTCACAACATAAAAGGAAAATTTGAATTTAGAAAGAGTCAGGGCATGGGTTTCTTTGGCTAGCTGATTCAATTATTATCAAAAACAAGGAAAAAGGGGAGTTGGGGGAGAATAACAGGCTTTTTATTCCCTGTTATCTTCTGGAAAACAATTGATTATAAAAGCTATTACATTCATGGTGGTTTCTAACAGAAAACCCTGACCTAATAATTCCTTAAAAATTTAAATTTCTTGGGGTGAAAGTGTACAGAATTATGCGCTAGAAAACATATTATATAGTACTCATTTGTATCTATTTTTTTAAAGATACATCATATATTGGGTCAATTTAGAACATCCAAAGTTCTAAAATATGTATATAATAACCCCCAAAGGAAGCTACATATAGTTCATACGAGTAAACCCAAATTCTGGAGAGGACCTCTAATTATAGACAGTCTAGCCAGGTTTAGGGTGGAGTGAGCGGAATTGCCTATTTCTTGTTCTTCCCTCCTGCCAACTAGAAGTGAATAATTCTATGCCAACAATCTGTTGATTGTTACATACATCGCTTTGAATCTGCATCGCGTTCTTAGAATGCTCCACGTTCATGGCATCAGGCAGCAGAGTGTAGTTGTGGTAGGGTTGTCTGTAGTTGGTGTTGGTAGCAACCTCCTGAGATTTCTTGGCCGCCGTCACACTGAACATATCCAAGGGCGTGTGGTAGCGGGTCTTGCTGGCTTCGTAGCCCTTTCTGTATTCACGATCTGACTGCATTTTGGCTACATTCATGTAGTGAACCAGTTTAGGATCATCCTGAAGGCTACGAAATCCAATCTGCTTGCCTTTGGCTTTCTCGTGGGCCTCTTTATATTTGAACTATATGAAAAAGAAGGGCAGACAGCAGTTTGACAGGGTATAATGTAGGAAATACTAAAGTATTAAACTGAATTTACCTAACAAATTAAGCAATAGCTGAATCCATTCTGAATCTAGTGTTTGAGCATTGTTAAATAAACAACTAGCAAAGGATTTCTAATGGATGGTCTTGAAATGTGCTCTGAAGATAATCAAGAATGGGATAATTTGTAGTTTATATCCAGGTTATTCATAAATAGATTCTTTGAATATTCTCAAAGGTTCCTGAAAATTTTATTTATGAAGGATTTGGTAGAGAGAGGAAGGGAGAGGGGAAGAGAGAAACATTGATGAGAGAGAACATTGATCTCCTGCTTCCTACATACCCTACAGGAAATTGAGCCTGAAAGCGAGGCATGTGCCCTGACTGGGAATTGAACTGGTGATTTCTTGGTGCACGGGTTGACACTCAACCAGTGAGCCATACTGGATGGTGTATTTTTTTATTATATGTTTCAAGTGTTACTTTGCACTATCTTATAAAGTCTTTGAGTAATTCTGAGTAAATTTCTGCAATGCTCTTATACAAATTAGTGTATTGGACAATAAATGATAGAGTTTTTACTATATCTATGTATTATATTAATTCATATAAAATTATAACTTAATTTGTTAAAATGAATTCATTATATAACTAAAATCCTCTCATTTTAATCTATAATTCTTCCTGGGTTTTTATATTTCATCAATTTTTGTGTGAAAATTATAGTATTTAAAAATTATATTCTTGCCCTGGCCTGTTTTCTCAGTGATTAGAGCATTGGCCCTCATAACAAATGGTCACAGGTTCAATTCCCAGTCAAGGGTACACACCTCAGTTGCAGTTAGTCCCCAGCCCTGATCAGTCATGGCAGGTAAGGGAGGCAACCAATTAATTCTCTCTCTCTCCGTCCCTTCCACTCTCTCTAAAAATCAATAGAAAAAAATATCCTCAGATAAGGATTTAAAAAATAAAATAAAAATTGTATTCTTTTAAAACACTTGGAGACATTTCCAATTTAGTGACATTTTATTATACGAAAGCTTTTTTCCTTGACAAAATAAAAATCAGTTTTCAACTTCATAACAATGAGAGTTCCAAATATTTTACGGTTTTAAAAAAGAATTTTCTTATTTGTAACAACTGTATTGAGTTTTTAAATATTTTAAAGTGGAGCAGTATAAAAGAATCATTGTTATTTAGGATACTAGAAAAGTATTTTAATATCATAACTTTTTTATTTTGCTTCTAATGTAGATCATATAGCCTCTATGTGAAGATTTTGAAAATAAAGAGAAAGTTTACTGCTTTCAAATTAGACTTACATCACTAGCAATGTTTCTTGAACTTTTTGCAGCAACAATTGGAATAGCATCTGTTCTCAAATCATAGCCTTTAGCGAGGGTTTTCTTCCAGTCTGCTTTATAATAAGCCTTGAAGGAAAGACACATTATTTTATTATTTAACAAAATTGAAAGAATGAAACAAGATGCCAAAATCTTTCTTATAAAACATGTCATACTTTACACCTTTCTATTGAGATAATTTGTGGAGTTAGGGCTGTTAGTTCATCTCTTATATATCTGTCAGAGCCTTTTAAAAAACATCACCAACTACACAGTATGATCTCAACTGCTTTAAAAATGCATATGATGGCGTAACAAAGCAACTGAAATGTAACGCTTTAAAAGTGGAATAACAGGAGGATCCAAGATGGCTGCTCGGGTAGACATCTAGCCGCGGCAGCACACAACAATTTCAATGGAATACAACTAAAATGTAGAGTGGACATTGCCCAGAGCTACAGGTAGTCGACTGACTGAAATTTCTACAACAAGAAGGAAAGAGAAAACCAGAAAGAAAATCAGAGGAGCTGAAAAAAAGCCTAAGGTACGGAGACATGCTGCGCGCGCCTGCCCGCCCGCACGCGCGCACGGAGAGGTCGCAGCCGGAGAGGAGGAGAGGGCAGGGAGCCGCCTTTCCTTCCCTAGCAGAAAGGAAATAAAACCTCCAGCCTGGGCTGAACCCCCGAACCGGCAGCGCTGAGCCCCCCCGAACCGGCAGCGCTGAGCCCCAGTTATGGGCCAGACCCTGGGGACCCAGGCTCCGGCGGGAGGAGACAGGGCCGTGAGGCGGAAAAACGGCGAAAGGCAGGGCCCCGGGAGTCGCGCGCAATGCGCGCAGAGGACTGAATGTTGACTCTGATGCTGGGTTGCCCTAGCCGGAAGAAACAAGGCCTCCGGAGGCGCTGAGCCTCAGTCCGGACTGCTCCGAACCCCAGTTCTGGGCCAATCCCTGGGGACCCAGGCTCAGGCAGAGGGAGACGGGGCTGTGAGGTGGAGTCCGGGGAGAGCGGCGAAAGGCCGGGCCCCCGGGACTCGCGCAAACTGCGCGCAGAGGACAGTCTGTGGGACTCGCCCAAACTGCATGCAGAGGACAGTCTGTTGACTCTGATGCTGGACTTCCCTAGCGGGAAGGAGAAAAAAAAAAAAGCTCTAGGCTGGGGGAACGCGGAGGGGAGCGGAAGCCCCTGCCGGACTCCAGCCAACCGGGCACCAGCAAGGAGGCGGGCCACGGGGCCCCTGGGGGCGTGGGTGCCCCTGAGCCTTTGACCACTGAGCTCAGGCAATGGAGCCAAGGCCGGGGGCTGCTTCCTGGGCGGCGCCGTCCCGGCAACAGGCTGAAGCAGCGCAGGAGCCCGCGGAGAACAAAGGGGTGCCACAGGCCAACCTGCTGAGCTCCCAGGACAAGGAGGAAGAAACCAAAGAAGTTCTCAATGTGAAGAAATCAAGTGAGAGCAAAAAATAGTAAAATTACTTAAGAAAGAATACAAAGAAGATCTTGAAAAATCAAAGACTAAGTCAGAACTCAACTCACCAGCCAACATTGCAACATAAATGCGTTTTAAAAAGAAAAAAAAAGGACAGAATGTTATAACAGCGGCAGCCAGGCCTAGAGTGGCCAGGCACAAGGCAGTGGCAGCCAGACCCGGAGCAGCAACGGCCAGGCCCCAGAACAACAGCAGCCAGAACCAGAGCATCAACAGCCAGCACTGGAGTAGCCAGACCTGGGGCAGTGGCAGCCAGGCATGAGGCGGAGGCGGCCAAGCCCAGGGTGGCCAGTCCAGGAACACCCAGACCCGGAGTGGCCGGGCCCGAAGAAGCCGGGCCCAGAGCAGCCGGGGTGGGAGCAGCCAGACCCAGAACAGCAGTAGCCAAGCCCAGAGCATCCAGGTCGGGAGTGGCCAGGCTCGAAGCGGCCGGGCCCGGGGCAGCCGGGCCCAGAGCAGCCGGGTCAGGTGCGGCCAGGCCCGGAGCAGCAGCTGCCAGGCTGGGAGCGGCCAGGCCCAGGGGAGCAGTCGGGTCGGGTGCGGCCAGGCCCGGAGCAGCGGCTGCCAGGCTGGGAGCGGCCAGGCCCGGGGGAGCAGGCGGGTCGGGTGCGGCCAGGCCCGGAGCAGCGGCTGCCAGGCTGGGAGAGGCCAGGCCCGGGGGAGCAGGCGGGTCGGGTGCGGCCAGGCCCGGAGCAGCGGCTGCCAGGCTGGGAGCGGCCAGGCCCGGGGGAGCAGGCGGGGCTGGTGCGGCCAGGCCCGGAGCAGCGGCTGCCAGGCTGGGAGCGGCCAGGCCCGGGGGAGCAGGCGGGGCTGGTGCGGCCAGGCCCGGAGCAGCGGCTGCCAGGCTGGGAGCGGCCAGGCCCGGGGGAGCAGGCGGGTCGGGTGCGGCCAGGCCCGGAGCAGCGGCTGCCAGGCTGGGAGCGGCCAGGCCCGGGGGAGCAGCCGGGTCGGGTGCGGCCAGGCCCGGAGCAGCGGCTGCCAGGCTGGGAGCGGCCAGGCCCGGGGGAGCAGGCGGGTCGGGTGCGGCCAGGCCCGGAGCAGCGGCTGCCAGGCTGGGAGCGGCCAGGCCCGGGGGAGCAGGCGGGTCGGGTGCGGCCAGGCCCGGAGCAGCGGCTGCCAGGCTGGGAGCCGCCAGGCCCGGAGCAGCAGCAGCCAAGTCCAGAGCAACTAGGTCGGGAGAGGCAGTGACCAGACCCGGAGCAGCTGGTTGTGGAATGAACCAGAGCAACAGAGGCCAGGCCCTGAGCAGCCAGGCCCAGAACAGTTCGCTCCTTGCCTGCCCCTGCCCCACGGCTGCTTCTCAGACATGGCTGGAAACTTTCGTGGGAACTTGAGGATCTGCTGAATCAAGTGATGAAGGCTTAGATCTGGATGTGTTGAGTTAGTTTAGGACTGGGTGTTGATCTGTGAGTGCCTTGGGTGGGGCCTGGATGAGGCTGGTTGACCTAGTGGGAAATGTCTTTTGTGTGAAGTATATCATTGGGCATGTGGAGGTATTATTGATATGAGAAAATGCTAAGTAACTGATTTACTATCTGAAAAGGGATTTACTATCGGGGAAATTGAGGGAAGAAGAGACTGAACATAAACTGCACCTATGGATGAGGACAATGGGGGATGGGGGGGGGGGACGGAGGGTGGGGGGGGAACCTGGTGGAGGGGGGAAGAAATGAGGAACCTTTGTAATAATATGAACAATAAAGATTGATTAAAAAAAAAATAAAAGTGGAATAACATATTTAAAATTTTTCATAATTTTTTTATATTTCCAACTTTTCTATAATGAGCATGTAATACTTTGTTTTCTTGTGCTTTTTAATAATAAAGCATTTTAATTTACAGAAAGGCATTTAATACTAAAATTAAAATTTCAGATGTAGTAGCATCCAGTTTTAATTGACCTTCATGTTTAAATATTACTTATAACAGCAGAGAAAAATTCTAAGTAAACCAAAAGCATAGAAATTAGCACCAAAAAAAATGTTTATTTGGAGATACTAGAGAGCCTAAAAATTAGGCTCTTTTAAGAAATCAACACTTTTCTTCAGGTTTGATTATGTTTTTAAATTAGAATTTATCAACAAACAAAAGGAAACAATTCATAAGAGGAAATTTAAACATTACCACCAATTAGGTAACTAGACTACCTGAGAGAATGATTATTACATACAAAAAAGAGTTTCTAAAGAAAATGACAAACTTTTTCAGAAGTTTTAACAAATAACTGAAACAAAAGTTAAAGCAAAATTAACCTTACTACAGACGATGCACTACTGTATTTTTCTATCTTGTCTATTCCATTTCATTCTATTTTTTTTTAATGGAACACAACCTACTAGATTGGTTTTACAACTAACTAATGAATCATAGCCCACAGTTTGGAAAAGTCTGCATTAAATGAAATGTTATGGTAGCCTCTAGTTTCATATTCTGTGATAGGAGTCTGATCCGAGGACTGCTGATTGGCTCCTGCACACGGAGGGCAAGGAGGGACTGAAGAAAGAGGCAGGCCACTCCAGATTGGTAGGTGCAGGTTAATAAGCAAGGGAGCTTACGTATGAGGTCTGTCTTTGGTGGCCTCATAGATCTCTGCACCCACGGCCAGAATCTTAAACATTTATAGAGACTCTAATAGGGTTTAGCACTCATACCATCCAAGTGGTCTCAACAACACAATGCTCTCTCAAGGCTGTGCCCTTGCCAATGGCTCCCGTTGTGGAAACAGGCAGACCGTACATTCCTTGGGTCAGGGGAGGGGGTGAACAGCCTGCAGTTGCCCGGGGCCAGGTAAGGGCCAACTGGCAGTCACATCTTCTCTGTGACCTCCTCTAACAGAAACTCAATAGGGTCCCACTCGGTTTATTCCCCTTAAAATTCTAAGTTCTACAGTTGTGCAGAACCGGAAAGGAAGGGCCCCCATTAGCAATGTTAAACTATCACCAGGAGAAATACTCACATCGCTCATGTTGAGGGCGTTGACCTTGGCTTGAATAAACTGTGGCAATTCGGGGTCTATGGTGTACTTGTGCTTCAGTTTCTCTCCCTCCACCTTGTAGTTCAACTGAAAACAAAGGAGGCAGGATGCAAAGGTCATTAGCTGACAAAATGTAGGTTTCCTTAAGCACATCCTCCCTTAAAAAGCAAGACTGTCACTGGTGTTTTTTCCATATGGAGGCCTACCCGGGAGATATTGTGGGTTAAGTTCCAGACCACTGCCATCAAGTGAGTGTCACAGTAAAGTGAGTCACATGAGTTTTCAGGTTTCCCAGTGAACATAAAAGTTATATGTACCCTATACTATAGTTTAGTAAGTGTGCAATAGCACTATGTCTAAAAACAAAACAAAACAATGTTTATACCTTAATTGAAAAAGACTTTTATTGCTAAAAAAAAAAAAAAATGCTAATCATCATCTGAGACTTCAGTGAGTCATAATCTTTTTGCTGGTGGAGGGTATTACCTTCCATTTGTAGAAAACATAGTATCTCTGAAGCATAAAAAAGTACAATAAAATGAGGTATGCTTATATAAGGAAAATACCTAAACTATCATACGGAGGGGTTATTTGTAGTGTAGCCATAGGCTCATTTCACCAATAATTACTGGACAGCGCTGTGGGCCAAGTAAGGTGGTAGGTTCTGTGTTTAAAGGGTTGAACAGGGCAGACCTGTATTTTTGGAGCTTAGAGACCAGTAGAAGAGACAGAGAATAAACACATGAATTACAAGATAAGAGTTAGAATTTATGATGTGCTATAAATAAAATAACTTTAGGAAAGGAAGAAGGGTGGTCAGCAAAGGCTCTCTAAGGAGGTAATATTTATGCACAAATTTGAAGATAAGGAAGGGGTCCAGGCATAAGAAGAGTCTTCAGGGCCCCGAGTCTGGAAAGGGCGTGGCCTGAGAGGCACTGAAAGCAGCCCTGAGTTACAGGGCTGGAGTGGCCGAGGATGGCCAGAGGTCAGACAGGTTAGGGAACAGGGGCTCCCAGACGAATTAATGTGTTTAGATTTTATTTTCAGTTCAAGAAGTTACTAAGGGGTTTTGAGTATAAGAGAGATGTGATTTGAGCTGAGATGGTCTCTCTGGTTGTAGTGTGTGCCTTGGGCTTGGAGTCCAGATACCAGAGGACTGTAGTTGTCCCCAAGGAGATGGGGAGCAGGAACTCAGTTGGTGGCGGCTGAAAGACAGCACAGCTGAGAGAAATTTAGGAGACTGACTCAGCGGAGGGGTTGAGTGTGGTGTCCACACAATGGTGAAGGCGTCAGTGGTGAAGCCAGGTTTCTGGCATGGGTAACGAGGAAGATATTGATGGCATTTATTGAGGTGGAAGATTATTACCGAGAGCACAGTTTTCCTAGCTAACTGGAAAACAGTGAGAAGTAACACTTCGGTTAGTACAAAAGAAATCAGAGAGTCTCCATTGATTTTAACACTGAAATTGAATTAATCTTGAAACATCCATGGTAGGGTGGGAGCAGGGACTGGCCTGAGAAATGAAATCCACAGATAAGCCTCAAATTTGAGCCAAGCAACGCATTCACCACCTCCCAATATCTGGAGCTAAAAACACAGTCTTCCCTTTTTGCCTTTTACTTTATGCCCCTCTTTCCAGTGGAAGTCTTTTAAGAGAATTGATATTACCAAATGAGGGGAAGCACTGAGTACTGCAAGTAGCCTCTGACTAAGACGAAGGGTCCAGTGAGACCTGGGCTCAGAGAGGCGACCTGATGCTGAAAGCAAACTGCTTATCTCCTTCCCAGAGGCCTCTCTTGCCTCTCACAACATCCAGCTACTGTGCCCAGGGATGAGGACATTATTATCCCCTTTTCCTGTGAAGCTAAGTAGAACTGTTGCAAATCAGAATAAAATAGCTTGGTTTGCAATTAAGACCAAGTGACATATAATAATACTAAGTTCATTCCATATGTCTAATAAATAGCACAGATTCTCCACTTTGGGGAAATAAAGCAGAATGGAAGTCTCCTTCTCTCCTCCCAGTGCTACCTATGTTTAAGTTCCTAGGTGCTTCAAAAAGTACAACCTTTTGATCAGACCTCTGAAAGCCGCTGATCTGCTAGCACAGATGCCGTCTCACGTATCGAATTAAGAAGGATGTGGAGTGGCTTATTAGGGGGTTATTCATCCACAAACCCTCTGAAGGGAAACCACTTACATCACTCAGCTGCTTTGTGTTGTGCTGAGCCAGAACCATGCCCATGGAATCAGGCACGCTTGTGAATTTGATGGTATCTGGGTGCTGTCGATACTTCCTCTCATTTAATGCCTCGCCGGCTTTCTTGGCCTTCTCCACCTCCAGAGAACCAATAGGGATCCATCCAATGCCCTTGAAGAAGGTGTTATAGTCGTCCTTGTACACATTCTGTAAAAGAGCAAGCTCGTATGAGGAGATGTCCCAGAGAACAGTCCAGCACTGGTTCTGACATCCGCAATCCTCTGCGGGGAAATGAATGGCAACCTTTTCAACACGCTCCCATCTGCAGTGGAAGCTAAGCCTATGTCTGTCACAGAGCTTCTCACCCAGAATTTGGTAATAAGAAACAGCGGTGCTGTTGTTTGAGGGCATTATACAACACAGAGAGAATCTGGGCCACATATTTCCAGGGCTACTGCTGAAAAAAAAATATTGTTTCTTTTGACAATAAATTGGCCTTTCCTTTTGATTTCACTGAAAACTCCATAACTTTGAATTTCACCCACACCATCCACCTACGCTCTCCCTGATCTCAGCTGGGGAGAGGCATTTTCATTGAGCCACAATAAATGAACACCATTCCTTCCCTTCACAGAGGACGATTCTTATAGACATCTGGATCCTGCGGAAGGAAAAGCCCTGAATATTAAACACCTCCCTCTGCAGCTCCCTGGGAATCATGCTGCAATCACAAAGCCTTCCTGGCTCATTTGAGATGACTCATCACACAGATTTACATGCATGAGAGTGTGACCTTGAGTTAAAAAAAAAAAGTCAAAAAATAACTTTGCTGAATTCAGAAAGAATAAAGAATGCTCCTATTTTGCCTTATTCGTATCACCATTGAAGCAAGCACCCCAGGAGCCACCGTTTCCTCTTGCTGAGAATTAAGGTGGCTTATCTACTTAGTGGAATATGGCTTTCTCTCTGACCCAGAAGTTAACAAAGGCAATGTCAATGGTGACAGTAGGAGTGCAGAAAACCAGCAAAAGCATAGCTTGTCCATCATGCCTTCAATAATGACTATTTATTTTAAGGTACATCCCCCCCCCCCCCCCCAATATCTTCTTGTATTGTGAAGTCTAGTAAAGTAGGAAGAAAGGATTATCCCTTAAGTAACAGCTTCTCTGGGTCTGCTCTGTTCTACATACTCACATCACTCTGAATTTGATTCGCATTCCTGGTGTGCTGGACACTCATGGCGTCAGGTAGGTATGTGTAATGATGGATCGGTTGTTTATAATTGACGTTGGTCACAACATCCTGGGCCATCTTTGCGGCTGTGATGCTAACCATGTCCCCAGGGGTATGGTAACTGGTTTTGGTGTTCTCATAGTTCTTCCTGTATTCACGATCGGACTGCAGCTTGGCTACGTTCATGTAATGGACCAGCTTGGGATCATCCTGGAGGCTTCTAAAACCCACATGCTTTCCCTTGGCCTTCTCATAAGCTTCCTTGTATTTGTACTGCAGAGACAGAAATTGGTTAGCAAAGACCGAGGCAATGATGCTAGTAGGTGTAGCAACTCTATTCACACACAAAAGCTCTCAGAACATTGTGACTTTCTGGAAGATTGTACAAAAATGCAAACCATACCCTCTCTCCTCCCCCCCCCCCCAAATATTCCCCAGAAAGTTCAGAGTGACAGCATTTATTTCCATCACTTCTGTGCTACAGTGGGTGTCAGGATACACTCAGGACCAGTTTCTTTTTTTTTGTTATCAATCCTATAGATGACTTGCATTTAGATCTTTACTTAAGATCTAAATAAAGCCAACTGAATTTTCACACTTACTCTAAACATGACACATTCCAAATGTAAGACCCATATCTCTTGGTTTTTCAGCAATGTGAATTCACCAAATCTATTATATTATTGCACATCACAGATTATTAGAAACTATTGAGAAAACCTCCCATTCTCTGTTCCATTTGGCCTAATAGGTCCACAACAGGTGCAGAAGAAACTTAAAGATAACTGTGATTTTTGTCTCAGGCTGACCTAAACAAAAAACAAAAAACCTCTTCTTTCTAGGGAGCATCAATTTAGATGCTGCACAGGAAAGGAGCTGGGTCTTCACCCACCCAGTCCTCAGCAGCTCCTCTCCCAGCGCACTGCTGAAGCAGCTAAGATGAGTAAAGGAACTACACTGAGGGCGGGAACCATTGTGAGCTTTCTGCATGAGTAGATATCTAAAAGCTGTGCTGTCCAAAATCTCTCCCTGCTCGGATCGCCAATGTGGTGTAGACTTAGCTACGCTGTATGTAGCAGGTCAAAACCTCAATTTTCACATAAAAGAATCCAAATCCACCTCAACTCTGCAGATATGCAGCTTCTGCTGTTTAAGTACCGATTTATCAACAGGAGTTTGGCAGGCAAAAGGATTGTCAAAGTAATCTCTAGGCATGTTAGGAGCAGCTCTGTGCAAGTGCTTACAAAAAAAGATAATGTCATGCTTTATACTTTCACTTCCTCCTTAACCTAGAAATGCATTTCACAGTGATATGCACATCTTTGAGGAGCTGTTTTCAGTAGCAGCCCTACAAGAAAAAGTTCTAGAATTCTTACTCCCAACTTTCCTGTGGCCTGCACACATGTGTGGCTTCTTCTCTCCTCAAACCAAGATTGTAGCCTCTGGAATGGTGTGTGACAGTGAAGTGTATGGGGTAGGGGTTGGGGGTGGAGATGGGGGTATGCTTTGTGAAAATGTTTTTCAATTATGGGAAGAAGAATAAGTGTCTGCTGTTTCTGTTATAGGTAAAATGGGCATCAATTACATAATTCAAAATTATATTCTAGAGAAGTGGTTCTTTCCCCCACTGGATTTATAAAATGGTGACTGCCAGCAGGGAGAGGCTGGGGGGAAGCAGAAGAAGGTAAAGGGGGGATAAATGGTGATAGAAGGCACTTGACCTTGGTGTGGTGAACACTCAATACAGTGTAAAGACGATGTATTGTGGAATGGTGCACCTGAAACCTGTATAATTTTGTTAACCAGTATCACCCTAATAAATTCAATATAAAAAAAATAAAATGTGTACATTCTATAGAACATCTTTTCAATCATCTTAATGCAATTATAATGCAGGCAGGCACCTGAGTGTAATGTGTTAGTGTCAGTCAGAATGTTCTCACTGAATATAAATGTGGGCTGTCAGGGAAGGTGTCAGGGGGTTGTAATTGGGGGTATGAATCAGGAAGAAAGCCGCTGTCAGGCTTATGACAGCTCTACCAAGTGGGGTCAACTGAAAAGAATTGAAAAACATGGAAAAGTGACAAGTTTCTCAAAACAACATTTTGTGGAGAATTTGAATGTCATGAATTCAACATTTTGTTTTCAATGTGACACCATTTAAACAAGCACACATCTGTTTACTTCTTCAAAAGGCAATCACCCAGATTTCACCCAGAACGTGTACTCACATCACTGGCAATGTTTCTTGACGCTTTGGCTGCAGTGATGGGAATAGCGTCTCCCAGCACATTGTTGCCCTTGGCTATTAGATCATGCCAGTCCCGTTTGTAACAGACCTGGGACAGAAGAAGAAATGGGATGTCAGCATGCTGTGTATTCATCCATTGAAGTGATTCCTCAGCAGCTGGAATTGTTTTATCCCTCTCCAGAAGGAAACTAAAAGAAACTTCTAGAACAGTGGTCTGCAAACTCATTAGTCAACAGAGCCAAATATCAACAGTACAACGATTGAAATTTTTTTGAGAGCTCAATTTTTTAAACTTAAACTTCTTCTAACACCACTATTTCAAAACAGACTCGCCCAGGCCATGGTATTTTGTGGAAGAGCCACACTCAAGGGGCCAAAGAGCCGCATGTGGCTCTTGAGCCACAGTTTGTCGACCACGGTCCTAGAGCAAACCATCACATTTTATATAGCATAGATTTACTGGGCTCCGCACTAATTATTCACCCACATCTGGTTTGGGCACATATTGAAGAGAGATATGAGAAAATGGTGTGGGTCCAAGTTGTGGATCTAATTGAAGGTTCTGGAGGCCAAGGTGTGTGAGGACCAGCTGGAGAAAATGAAGCTGTTCAGTCTTGTGAAAAGGTCAAGGGAAGATCTAGCGGTAAGATCTAGCAATTTTAGGATTGTTGTTTTTTTTAAAAAAAAGAATTTTCTTTATTCTTACTTCTTTGGAAGGTAATAACCTCCTCCACATGCAAAAATTAGAAAAACTAATTGGAGGTTTAGAGAACTAGATGTTAAGTTCTACATAAAGAAGAATCCTTTATGGTGACTGTCAGGGAAGGAGGGGTGGTAGAAGAGGATACGGGAGGGGGGGGGAAATGGTGATGGAAGGAGACTTGACTTGGAATGGTGAACACACGATAACAAATACAGAAACCTATATAATTTTATTAACCAATATCACCCCAATAAATTCAATATGAGAGAGAGAGAGAGAGAGAGAGAGAGAGAGAGAGCGAGCTGTCCTACACTTTAAAAGTCCAACTCATAGGTACAGAGCCATCATCATGGGCTAAGTTTCAATGGAGGCCATGTGGAAAATTGACCTAAGTAATTGTCAAGGCCCCGTCATACCTTAAAATTCTATTATTTTATCACCAGTTCTGTATTTCACACCCCATCGAAGACCCTACTTACATCACTTATGTTGTAAGCATTGCACTTGGCCTGTAGAAACTGAGGAAGATCAGCACTCATCGTGTATTTATGTTTCACATCTTCTCCTTTAGCTTTGTATAAGATCTGCAACACACAGGCACAAAATCAAAGTGCATTACAAATAGCACAAAAAGGAAAATGCATTAGTTGCATGCTTAAAGGAGTTATACCTAGCACAATCCCCACCATTCCTATTGTGCAAAAGTATTAAAGGCATTTTCCTGTTTTTAAGAAACTCAGGCATCTTGTTGTCTTTAGGAAGAGCCAACAACTCGGTGTATTATAATAGAGAAAAAAATCCTTAAGAGAATAGAAATAATTTACTGCCAAAGATAATGAAAAATAGGTTCAAATGTGAAACTCTAACATGAATTACACCAAAGCCAGAAAAGTTCATCCTTTGCGAGTGGAGCTAATAGCTCTTAAAGTCTTGTGTTGTTTTGGTTTTGGTTTGCTATTTTTAGAGAGAAAATGATGATTAGAATGTCTTTCACTTCTGCTTAAAACTTTCCAATTATAATTGTACAAGTAAAAGCATATAATAATTTCCTCATTAAATGAAGTTGCTTATACATAAATCCAGTGTACTCAAAAGATTTACCATTCCAGATTTACCCTAGCTGTCGTTTTAAAGACATCTGTAGACATTATATTATATCCTCCTCTTGGTGATAGAAATGAAAGAAATTGCTTAAGTTCTAAAACTAAACTAGAACAGGAATCACAAGTAGATTTTCAGTCTCTCCATTATTATTTATCATAATATCTCCATTTCCCAGACATGTCTATGTGGAACTTCATATGTAAACTGGTGTGTATGTATCACAAGTAAAGTATGAGATGGCTGATAGCTAAGTGAATCCTCAAATACTAATAAATTCTTCTAAGAATCCCTTATTTCCTCAGTAACTATAGAAACCATTTCTAAGCATTCACACAATCTCATCAATTCTACTTTCTAAACATCTTTCCCATCCCTACTGCCTTCAAGTCCAAGCCTTCTGTTGGGTATCTGTAACAGCTTTCTAATTCATCTTCTTTTTCCAATCTCTCCCTCTCCAATACAGCCTCTGTACTTTTTTTTTAATAATATATTTTATTGATTTTCTTACAGAGAGGAAGAGAGAGAGAGATAGAGAGCTAGAAGCATCGATGAGAGAGAAACATCAACCAGCTGCCTCTTGCACACCACCCACCAGGGATGTGCCCGCAACCAATGTACATGCCCTTGACCGGAATCGAACCTGGGACCTTTCAGTCCGCAGACCAGTGCTCTACAGCTGAGCCAAACCGGTTTCGGCGCCTCTGTACTTTTTGTCAGATTTAACACACAGATGTGATAATGCAACTCCATGAATTAAAAATATTCAATACATCTTGCTACTTACCCCATAATGTCTAGACTATAAGTTGGCATACAAGACCCTCAATGATCAGGTTATAATCCTGAACACTTTACTGTTCTTTCATTCATTACTTCTTCACTGTCACGCTTTTCCTTCCCGGATTTGCTAGGGAAACTCTGGTAGGCAGTTACCTCTTCCCTTGTACTTACTGAGCACATGTGTCTCCTGTAGCATTCATCTCTCTGTGTGGCAATGCTGTTCTACCCACGACTTTCTTATACTCTTGTTATATATTCTTCTTATAGCCTATATCCCACTAATCCTCGTCTTCTTAATCTTTATACCATCATCACATAATACAGTGCCTGGCACTTGGAAGTATTCAAAAACATTCATTCAATGAATTAATAAATATGTGCTTTAATGTCCCTTTAGCTCTTCTATTCATCAGTCTTTCCTTTAGCTTTGACTTTAGCCAGATTATATATATGACTTATGAACAGGCAGGCAAACAATGTACTAATCTCCACTAAGACACAAATAAAAAAAAGTCTCTATAGTAACTATCTATGGTGAAATGAGGTGCAAAGTCATATACTCATGTGTATTATTTCCCTGTATTATATATAAACACTAAATATAAGGAACTTAATGTAGAATTGGATATGATAAATTTGCCACAATAAAGTATCTGGAATTTAAGCTTAAAGTTTGTGTGTGTGTGTGTGTGTGTGTGTGTGTGTGTGTGTGTGTGTGTGTAGTTGTAGTAATAGAAAAGAATTTTTTGCACCATGTCAATTTATCCAATAACACAGTATTTCAAGGTAGTTAAAGAGGAAGAGGTTTCAAGAAGGAAGGTAAAAACCAAGATAAATGAAAAAGAAAACATCAGTGGCCAACCTAAAGAGTATTGTAATTATTAACTTTAAATTAAGGAAAAGATATTAGCTCAGAAGAATTTTTAAAGAAGTGGGCCGATATTTATTTCCTTGAAGCCTCCCTCTGTCTTTTGCACCCTGTTTTGTTGTACTCACATCGCTGACTTGCTGTGTGTTCTGTTTTGCCTGGACCATCACTGGGGAGTCCACGATGCTGGTGAATTTGAGGGTGTCTGGATGCTGCCTGTATTTCTTTTCACTCAGGGCATCACCCGCCTTTTTAACCTTTTCCACATCCAGACTCCCGATGGGTATCCAGCCGATGCCCTTCATCCAGGTGTTGTAGTCTTCCTTATAGACATTCTATGACAAAGGGAAAAATGAGGAGTGAGAGCCCCAGGCAAGAGCTTCTCTCTTGCAGGCTCTGACAGAGAAGGGAGATTGTCTTAGGGAGTAAATGTCACTTACATTGCTCTGTATTTGCATCATGTTCTTAGACAACTCCAGGTCCATGGCATCAGGCAGGTAGGTGTAATGATGGAGTGGATGCTTATAGTTGGTATTGCTGACAATATCCTGAGCTTTCTTAGCTGCCACAACATTGAACATATCATGGGGTATGTTGAACTTCGTCTTTGTCTTCTCATAGTCATTTTTATATATCCGGTCTGATTGTATCTTGGCTACATTCATATAATGAACCAGTTTAGGATCATCTTGGAGACTTTGGAAGCCAACCATTTTCCCTTTGGCTTTTTCATAATCTTTTTTGTACTGAACCTATTAGAAACAAAGGTGGGCATATTTTAAAATGTATCAATGAAGATTTTACTGAGCAATGAGACCATGGTTTGAAGCAACTGGGCAATTTCAGAAATTTCTTCAATAACCAAACAAGTAGATACTCGCTTGTAAGCAGCCAGGAAAAAGGAAAATGTTATTTTGAACCTATTTGATTGTCTATAGCTGCTTCTGCTACCCCAGCAAGATTAGGGTAGGGGTGTTACCACTATTCATATCAATGACAAAGTTATTTTTATAACTTCCTTCCCACTTAGATAATTGAGAGAGACAAATGAAAAGATAAATATTTCACAATCTCTACCAATGACGTTGGGTTGCTAAAGAAGATCCCCAATAGCTGGCTATTTGATTAGTAGAATTGTAGTGGTGGTAGTAGAATTTTAATGAGTCTGCATATTCAAAGGGAGACCCAGAGCCAGTAATGTGTAAACACTAATTGGCTCTGAATGATAGTGAGAACTGAGCTTCCTTGGGGAGACCTGGGAAACCGAGAAGCAGAGAGGCGAGGGAAGGTTTGTGTGTAGGGTGGGGGGTGGGGGGGGGGCAGGAGTTGGGGGCAGGGAGACTAGAGGAAGCAGCCCATAGAGGAAGAGGATCAGTGAGAAATTCTGGATGGCAGGGCCTTTAGGACACAGGCATTTATTACTCAACTGTATTTACCCTGGTGCAACATCAGTTTCATTTCAGTCAGTGACGTTGTGCTTGGGACTTGGGGGAAATCAAAAGCAAGGGGCTATGTTCTGTCCCTGGATCATGCAGAGCAGAAAAAGAAGGAAGTTCTGGGAAGGAGAACCCAGAAAGCAAGCCAGAGCAATACCATGATAAACAAACCAGGAGACAGGGAATCACAAAACAAAAACCTCAGGGCAACTGCAGCAGTACAGGAAGGGTACCCCAGTTCCTACAGGACAGCAAGTGGGGGCCTGAGTCCATTGTATTTAAATTTAAGAGCAAAGGGACTTTAGTCCGCAGCTGGGTAAAAGTAAGACTGCAAAAGGAACCAAGTTCCTAACTGTAATGGAATCTAAAGACTGACAATTGGAGGCTATAAAAATTGAAGCCGGGTCATCATATGCAGAAGCAACAGGGAACTCATATAAATTAAGCAAGTTTTGAGACAAAATTTTACCATTAGGAGGCTGTTATACTTAAATAGTATGCACCTTATCTATTTTCACACGAGAATAAAAGTGCATTTGTAAAGAAATATTGACGAGAATTTTTAATTAGGGTGCTTGATTAGAGCTGATCAGATCTGTTTAAGGAACTTCCTTTTCTAAACAGTTTTCAACCAGACTTGCTTCCAGGTGAGGACAGCAGACCACAGATTCTGGTTACACACAGGTGACCCGCAGCCGGACTTACGTCACTCGCCGCCTGCCTGGCAGCCTTGGCAGCCTTGATGGGAATTGCATCAGTTCTCAGGTCGTACCCCTTCTTGCTCATATCTTTCAAGTCTGCTTTGTACATATTCTGAAAGAAAAATGTCATTGACATATAATTCAGCCCACACTTAGAAAAGACTCATCGGCAGCCCGCACTGAGCCCATGCGCACACCTCACTGATGTTGTAGGCGTTGACTTTGGCCTGGATGAACTGGGGCAGGTCCGCTGGCAGGCTGTATTTGTGGAGCGTTTCCTCTCCTTTGGCTTTGTAGACAATCTGAAAGAGAACAAAAATGCATAAACAAACTAATAAAGAAAAGGGACTTAATGGCACAGGAAAAGAGTTTTAGGGAGAGTTGCATGCACAGAGGTGCTTCTTATGAAAGACTCTTGGTGCTGTCCCCGTATCCACCTGCAAATATTTGAAGGCGTTCAAGGTCTCACATGCAATTACACAGGGTCTTACCTTCGTACTGGTTCAGCCTGGACAAAGGAGTATGTATGCACTACCTACGCACCCGTGGTTTGAATGCACTACAAACCCCTGGACCGAGGTCAGGGCACCTGGTGGAAGTTAGCCCAGAAAGGTGTCCTGATGAAAATGTGAACGTGTAGACACTTTCCTAGCATAAGAGAGGCTAATCCAGTGGGATACACCAACCATCTGCATTATTCTCTGTGGGCTCCTAAAGGGAGTGGTGGGTAGTAGGTTTGACTATTATATGATCTTTGTCTTAGTTCTGACTTAAAATGTAACTCCTCCATGTGATATAATGCCTCTCTGTCTTCCTAGTCTTTCCTAGAAATAGGCGTGTAGTGTTTCTTTTTTATCAAGAGAAGTTCCTCTTACCTTCTCCTTGGAAATCAAGGTCAAAATACTGGAAGGACAGCCCACTGCACATAATACTCTTAAGAAATGAATTAGGTGTGCTTTGTTAATGAAAAGCTGAGGGGATTATGCAGTTGCTCATGTAATTGGGTCTCTTCAGATTCCTTAATAACTACAGGTGATCAGTACAGTTGGCATACAAATGTGTTTGTATTAGTTAGCATTCATGGAGACACGGATACAATTCACACTTACATCACTCCTCTGGGCCTGGTTAATCTTAGATTGTACTGTAATTGGAGCATCTTCAATCGAGGTAAACTTTAAAGTATCTGGATGTTGTCGATATTTTTTCTGTTCAGTGAATTAAAAAAAAGAAAAGAAAAACAATTATATTACTTGCAGTGAAGGCTAATATATGAAAACCTTTGAAATTTATTTTGGAGAGGCATGACTTTTCCTGATTTTAAAATGTGAAAACACTAGATTTTTGGTTGCTTTTTTTTTGGGGGGGGGGGGGGAGAGGAAATGGGGGAGAATGAATACAATGCAAAAGCCATTACTTAAAAATTGACTTAATCTTGGATTTGTAGATACAACTTTCAGGAACCAGACTTTACTCTCTTAATTTCTTGCTTATGACACAAAAGAGGGCACTCTCAGAAAAGCAGAATACAGAAACATTTCAAATGTTTCTAAAGGATTGAGAGAAAACCATGCAGAAAGACAATTTAGGGGGTTCTGTGCACTAACAAGTTCTCAGAGATGCCATTTCCCCATCATACCATTAGCAATTAAAATAAAGAAGCTCTCTAGTTGAGCGAGGAGGAATTGGGGGATTGGGACAGAAACTAGGGATTATTAAAAAAGAGAGGAAGTGCCCTAGCTGGTTTGGCTCAGTGGATTGTGTGTCGGCCTGGGGACTGAAGGGTCCCAGGTTCAATTCTGGGCAAGGGCACATGCCTGGGTTTTGGGGTTGATGCGCAGTCCAGGACATGCAAGAGGCAGCTGATTAATGATTTTCTCTCATCATTGATGTTTCTCTCTCCCTTCCTCTTTGGAATCAATAAAAATGTTTTTGTTGTGCTTTTTTTTTTTTTTTAAGAGAGGAAGTACTTTTGCTCTGCCAGCCTTAATATGGTTAGTACATAGATTGTCACCAAAGTGCTGAGAAGTCACATGAGAAGAAACACTGGAAAGTGTTCAAATTGGGAGCTGACTTCTTGCTACCCTTATCGCTATATTTTTTCTCTACATATTTTCCCACAATTGCATCACTCTTTCAGCTTCAGACTCCTGACAAAGATACAATGGTCTTCACCAAAAACAAACAAAAGCACAAAACAATATGAACAAAATCTTGAGTGTGGAAGACACTGAGCACCTCTGCCCCTTGTGTCTGTAGTCTAATCTCCTTGATGATGGGTTTGCTTGTCAGGAGCGGGATGTTTCACTGTAGGCAGAGAAGGGCAGATCACCTGGCTGCTTTGAGATTGCAAGATCATCGTTGTTTTTTCTTAGACTAAATAATAACTTATATACTATTTCACCGTCATCAAGAATATGACATAAGGTATAATACTTAACACAATTCCTATAATATTCTTTATATACAGTATAAAGTGGGGAAATGCACATGTCCACTAACTAGACAACCAAAATGCAACATAGCCACACAAATGAATGCTACTCAATAACAAAAAGAAAGGAGTTGCAGACACACGTAGGTATATGGATGAACCTGAACAACATTATTCCAAATGAAAGAAGACTGGTATAAAGGAACTTTCTAGAAAAGCAGAACACTAGAGACAGAAAGTAGATGAGGGGTTGCCTGGAACTGAAGATGGGAGCAGGAATTTTACAAGGAATCTTTTTGGAGAACTAGCTGAATTTTAAAATTCGACCGTAAGGATGATTGTACAACTATAGGAACCTTTTCAAACTCATTCAGGCGTCCACTTAACATAGTATTTTATGGTACCTTGATAAAGTTGTTAAAATATTTGTGTCATGAATGGTTCCCATATGTGATTTATCTACCAGAATAATTCATGCATGTGGTTAGTTACCCCCCTCAGCAACAATTGCTAGCGAATGAAGTGGTAAAGGAGACACTCCCCATGGTTTGGGGAATTTCCTCACGGCACACGCACACATCTCTCTGTGACAAATGAATGCGCTGGCTTTACCTCATTCAGGATGTCTGAAGCTCTCTTTGCCTTTTCCACTTCTAAGGACCCATAAGGCACCCAGCCACAGCCTTTCATCCAGCTGTTGTAGTCAGCTTTGTATTCGACCTGGAACACCAAGAGAAAGGTTACATTTCTTTTGCTCAGCATCATGCTTATTCATAAAATCATTAACGTCTTAAGATTTCTGACCAGCTTTCTTACTCCAGACATGAAGATTATTTTAAACATATCCTTGGTGAGAGAATTTAACAGCCCTTAGGTTCTCACTGCTTTCCCAGTGGGCCTATGTTTTATTTCATCTTTATTTCCAACTGAGTGGACCGTTCAACCAGGAAAATGCTAATTTCCAAGCTGCATTTCAAGGAATAAATGAAGTTGTTATATTAAGATAATCAAATGTGAGAGCTTTGCTCATTAGAGTTCTAAGCATTATGTGTAAATGCTCAAATTAGGACTGGAGACAACATTAAAGTTGGATAATTTTGCTCATTTTCTGATAAGAGTTGATAGAAGTTGTTTGATTGCAACGCCCTTCATGTGTAATAGTCACCTTAGGAGTGTTTTTACATTGGCTGACAGTGCACTGTAACACAGTTGTGCTCATTAATTTTTTTATCATTTGGAATTGGTCCTATTTTGAGGACACTTACTTAATATTATTAAAATAATGAGTTACCCTTATTATCGAGCTATGATAGTACCTAAACTTAAACTCTAGATACAAACTTCAAATTGTTGTTCTTTGGTGTGGGCTACTAATTAAAATGAAAAAAAAAAAATCAAGAAACCATATGGTTCCTACCTGTAAGAGGCTTACAATTTATTTGGGAGGAAGAAACATAGCAAAAATTAAACAAATAAATAAGATGGCTATGTATAAAACAGAATTCTTAGTGATGGAAATGCTGGTATCCCATGTTCAAATCGGCATTATTCACACCGCCAAAAGATGGAAGCAACCCAATGTCCACTGACTGGTCAATGGCTAAACAGAATGTGGGGTAGCATAAAATAGAACTATAGTCGCCTCAAAAAGGTAGGAAACTCTGACAAATGCTACAAGACTGATGAACCTTGTGGACATCACACTAAGTGGTTAGGATTAGGTGAAGCCACTCACAAAAAGACAAATGTGGGATTATTGCATTTATAAGAGGTCTCTAGAGCAGTCCAACTCACAGAAACAGGAAGTAGAAGGGTGGTTGCCAGGGGTCGAGAGAGGGAGGAAATGAGAAGTTGTTGTTTGTGTGTGTGGAGTTTCAGTTGTGCAAAGTTCTGGAGACTGATTGCACAACAAGGTGAATATAATTAACTGCTACAGAAGTGTAGACTTAAAATGGTGAAGATGGCACATTTCATGGTAAGTATATTTTGCCACATCTTCAGAAAATAGAATTGTTAGGATAAAGTGCTCAATTGTATAGCTCAGACAAATTCATTTGCCTAAAGAAGTTTTGATCTGCGGAAAAAAGTCCAGCTACTATTACAAAAATTTATGCTGTAATTATATATTTTATTTTTAGACAAGATAGAAATCTAGGTAAAAAATTATTGATAGTGATAATAATCATAGTGAATGTTTTTTGAGAACTCACCAAGGCCTGGCACCCTGCGAAACATTTTTGCAAACATTTAAATCCTCAAAACAGTTGTTTTGTTTTATTCCAATTTTACAAGGAGGGCTGTAGACTCAGCAAAATGGATAACTTTCCCCAAGGCAAACAGTGATGGGTATATCCTAGCCACAGGTCTCTCCAACTCTGAAGGGTGTGTTCTCATAGAACCCAGGGGTAACTGTCCCATTATAGTTCTCACATACAGAAGAGCATGCAGACACCTGTGAGATGTGCCAAAAAACTCACTTTGCCTAGAAATCTTTCTCAGTTCCTACCTTAATTTAGGAGGGACTAGAGGAAATTAGATACTCACGTCGCTCTGCAGTGCATACGCCTTCTTGGCAAGGTCCAGGTTGATGCTATCGGGCGGGTAGCTGTAACTGTGTGGGACATTCCTGTAGTCCATGTCACTGGCAATTGCCTGAGCTTTCTTAGCCTGAGTGACTTGGAGCATATCAAGAGGTGCCGTGTAGATCGTTTTTGACTTTTCGTAGTCTTTATGATATTCACGCTGTGAACAGGAAATTACCATTTAGTACCTTAATGGATTTCCAGAAAAAGCACAGAGTACTCTTATAAACAACACATAGGAGTTCAGAAAAACAGATCCAAACATCGGAGTAGCTATTTTTTTTTTCTAAAATTTGTTCATAAGTTACACATTGTTGAAATGCTCCCCAAAATCATACTTGGACAGATCTTCCCAAATCTCTTTTTAAATCAAAGTACAGCTGTCAGACTTCGGAATGGGCCATGGCTTCTGCTTCAGGCAGGTATTACTTTATTTTAAAACAGGGGTTTTCAAAGACTGCTAACAAACGATATGATCTATGGAGGTAACCTATCCTTTTGAAGAGTAGTCCAATAAGGGTTTTTTTTTTCTTTAAATATATTTTATTGTTTTTTACAGAGAGGAAGGGAGAGGAATAGAGAGTTAGAAACATTAGTGAGAGAGAAACACTGATCAGCTGCCTCCTGCACACCTCCAACTGGGGATGTGCCTACAACTAAGGTACATGCCCTTGACCAGAATCAAACCTGGGATCCTTCAGTCTACAGGCCGATGCTCTATCCACTAAGCCAAACCGGTCAGGACAGGGATTGTTTTTTTGATTGACCAAAATCACATGACAATAATTTCATACTCCTGGTTTTATAAGATGACTGCTTGATAAACAGAAGTGTACACTTGGTTCTTGGAGTTTTTAAAGTCATCTTTAAAGGGATAGTTTCTGATTTTTCAACCCGATTATTCCACATTTGACAGGAGATAACCGGCACTGAGAATCTCAAAGGTTTTTTTCATACCACGTTTACTTTTGGTAACAATTTAAAAGAAACTTCAGACTGCAGTCGCTGTAACATCTCAAAGGAGAAATGTCTGTGGAGTTAAGCCATTAAAGTAACCTTGGCCTCCTGTACAGTGTCCTCATAAAACAAACGTCCTCACTGAACCTCAGAAGGCACTTCCCTTGGCTGTTTTTCTGGAATGGTTAGCCAGGTTACTAATGAGGTCAAAGTCCCAGCTTCATCAACTGCCTTAATGAGAGACAGGTGCCGATAGGAAAATTCTAAACCCATTATATGTCCCCATTGTCATAGAATCATTAAAGACAGTGACCCAAGCTAACAAATATAGATGTGCATTATAAATCTGTAGAAATTCCTTTTGCAAATGATCAGTCCATTAGGGAATGTGATCTTCCTTCTAATATTTTGTGGATATTAACTTTCACTGAATACATTTATCACTTAGTTGTAAAATCTAGATCCTAGTTTATAAAAATAAAATGTGAAAACTTTCTGATGGTATGCAAAAACATTAAAAAATTTAAAGATAGTTTGTCTTTATTACAAATAAACTGATAAAGCAATGTTGCTACAGCAGTTGGTATGTGGGAGTGTTTTTAACTCTTTTGTTTATGTTCATACCAGTTCACACATACATGCACATATAAAATGTTGTCAAAGGGCTTTAAAAGACACTTTTAAAAAGCTATGCATGTTCTATACCTGCAGCTTAGTATTGAGCCTGCATATTAGGTGATAATGGCTCATTAGTGACTTTTCTTTTGGATGCCAACATCAGTCAATTAAGAAGTACTTACTGAACACTATTATGTGCCTAGTGTTCTAATGGGTTCTGTGATAGGATGAAACAAAGATAAATATACATGTGCTCTCAACAGAGAGCTATAACCTTTTTGAGTTAAGAACAGATAAGGAAATAGAGAACAAAACAGTTTCATGTATATAAGCAGGGTATACTGACATAGTTTAGTGTGACGTTATTAGATAAAGTAACTGAATGGGATGTCTTAAAGTTCTTTTTGAGTAAACACAAAATGAATGAGAGAAGGCACATACCTGATCACATGAGCTCATGGATAAAAGGAAAGCAAATAATACAAACATCCTTCTATTTAGTAATGAAAAACTAATATTTGCAAACTATGTTGAACATTCTTAGCACTCTCACGTGATTCTCTAAACATTTTTAAAATACATCAAATGCTGCAATTTGCAATAGTAGATGCTTATTTCTCTATAGTAAGAATTTTAAACAAAAGATAATAGATGGTCCATAGACCAGCCTTAGGAAAGCCATAAATTCTCTGAAAAGTAGGCAAAAGGCATGAAAAAAAGTTTGTTTTTCCAGATGGATAATCCAAATACTTTATTAGATTCTCAAAGGGGACTATGATTAATGAGCATTTTTCTAGGCCAATACTAAATACCAAATTATCATGCTCTGGTTTCTCTTCACACCGCATAAATCTTTCGCCTTTTAAATACCAAATTATCAACAAAGAGCAATGATAGCTATACTAAGATTTTTATCTGTTGACTCAAGATTTTCTTCCAAAATAAAAGCGGTTTTAAAACCATGATTTCAAAGGTTATTTTTCAATTAGAAGAAAATATGACAACACCTACTGATGTTTTCCAAAAGGTTTTAAGAATTACAACCAATATTCTATTAAATATCAACATAATTTTCAAAGTGAATGCACATCAAGTAAAAAGCAATCATTTTCCTCCTCAATCATGATAGGTGTAAGAATCTGGGAGATCATGCCGCTTCTAAAGTTCTCCCCAGTAGTTTGTTGTTTTGAACCTGAAAGGTCCGGGGATAAAGAATCCTTTTACTTGCTACTGCCCTTGGACATGTTAACAGGGATGCCATCTTGAAAGTGAGACAGACTGATAAAAGCACTCACATCACTCTGCATTTTCGCCGTCTTCAAAGAGTGCAGCATCTTGGGGTCATCATTAATGCTGAGGGCTCCGATCATTTTGCCCCTGTTCTTTTCATAGTCCTTCTTGTACATCACCTGCAAAGACATCACACACGTCAGCTCCCTCTCATCAGGGAACAGCACCGAGTCCCCCAGCCCAGGTCCCGGGCCATACTCACCTCACTAGCATTCTTGCTGTTGGCTTTGGCTGCCAGCAGGGGGATGGCATCCACTTTAATGTCAAATTTCTTAGCTTTGGTCTTCTCCCAGTCGTGCTTATAAACATTCTGGACAGGAAAATTTCAGCAAAGGAATTGTCAAAACATCTAACACAGATTCACCCAGTAAAAATAAAAACACTGAAAATGTGCATCTGTGGATTTACTTCCCTATAGATAGTATACTTACCAAATGGTAATATATTACTAATTTACCTATCATCCAGCTTCACTCCCAACTACCAAATAAGTATCACATCCTTGTTCTAATGTCCTCTGAACTTCCTGAAGACTCTGCTATCCTGATGTATAAAGGATAATATAAAATAGAAACCACCAGGAGGTGAAATATGACATTCACGTGGGAGAGATCTTGTAAAACTCTAGGGATTAGCAGAGGGTAACAGAGAATGTTTCTGACAGTAACAGAGACTGTGGTAAATGAAATCTGGTAACTAAGTAAGATCTTTAAGGGTACTTAGGTCTTAACAACTCTGCTTACACTGATAACAACCTCATAGTTGCGTATTTGCATAGCTCTTAATCCCGCCTTTTTGAACACCTGCAGCATTGCCTCTTTTCGTGCACATATAAACACAGGCCTCTGTGGCTTTGGTACTCACGTCACTCAGGTTATAGGCATTGACTCTGTGCTGGATAAACTGCGGAGCGTCTGCTGGCACGTTGCACTTAAACTTCTCGCCTTCGTGTTTTGCTTTGTAATTCAGCTGAAACACAGTAAAGAGTAGCCAAACAGTTCAGGATAGGCACTTCTTTAAATCTATGTAGAAGAATATGAATCGCTAAGTCATCACTACCATTTTGGTGGGTTTTGTTTTGTTTTTGTTTTTGTTTTTTAATGCCTCAAAGAAAGACTCAGTCCCATTGAAGTGCAGCCCAGAGCCCAGATGCTCAGTCCCTCTTTCGGGGCTTGTGGTATAACCAAACTTTGGGTTGTCATTTTGTAAATCCAACATGTACATGGAAAAAGTACTATCTGATCTATACTTCTAGGCTTTACCCTGAAGACACCAATACCCCGAATCTATGGAATTGTGTAAGAGCACTATTAATAACAATAATAATTCTAAATAACATGCTAGCAGAGTTAAAAAGATATATAAATTCTTATTAAAAGTATAAAATATAGGACTTTATTTAAAATTTTAGAAGTTACATTAGGTGGAAGGAAGGGAACATCAAGAGCAAACAGGACTGTTGAATTGTGGAGGTGGAGGTGAATGGACAAGATTAAGACGGATTGTGCAATAAGCATCTTCAAAGTAAAGCCCTCGGCCTAACCAGGCCAAGGAGAGGAGTGTGTGGGGCCTGGGCACTGCGCACAGCATCGTATTCCTTCTTGTTGAGTTCAGTGGGGTCAGTGGTATCAATGATTAGCTGTTCTTTCTGGGGCACAAAATGGTAATATGCCAGGAAGCACTGCATATGAACCAATGTGACTTCTGGGTTATAATGATGCCATTACCTACTTTACCCATGGCACGCGAGCAAATTCATGCCGTTGAAACACGTTTCATAGAAGGGCAATCTGGATGTTTCCATTTACTGTCTTGAGAACAATGAGCAGCTCCTCAGCATTTAGCTGTGTTAGCACCTGGCTGCTCGGTTGGGTCTACCAATCAGCAGGATCGGTGTCACCTAGAGCAGTGGTCGGCAAACTGCGGCTCTTTGGCCCCTTGAGTTTTTAGCAAAGGCCAGCTTAGGAGTACCCTAATTAAGTTAATAACAATGTACCTACCCATATAGTTTAAGTTTAAAAAATTTGGCTCTCAAAAGAAATTTCAATCCTTGTACTGTTGATATTTGACTCTGTTGACTAATGAGTTTGCCGACTGACCTAGAGCTTATCTGAGAATCTGTATTTTAACAGGGGCACTGGGCAACCCACATGACTGAATGTTTTCAGAAAAACGGCAGCTTTCCCCTGATCTTAGTAGGGCAAACCATTATGCCATAGATCTTCCCTGACCACCCAATTTAAAGTGTCCAACCAGTCACTCTACTTCTGTCATTCTATTTTAATTCTTTAACTCCATCCTATATTTGTTTTCTTAAAAATTATTGTCTGATATCTTTCTCATTTCTGTGCTCTTTTTCTCATTGTAAAGTCTTTGATAGGCAACTTAAGAATGGGAAATGCTTGCCTTGTTAGCTACTCAAGTGAATGCTTCTGTTGTTTATTTACGTTACCAGGGAATTTTAGAATGCATTATTTTTGGTATGATCCTGATGAGAAAATTCTCACTAAAAATTAATGAGTAGTTGAATAAAATTACTAGATATTTTAATTATTATCTAACATCATTTTTCCTGAGGCTTCAATTCAATCTAGCTGTTACTTAGTACGGCATCCCCTCCTTTATCTCCTACCATTTCACCTCTTACTACTTATTGCCCCCCTCCTCAGTATGCTTCGGCCACTTCATTCCAAGATTTTAAAGAAATCTTGAAAAATGACATAGTTGGGATGATGGATACACGCATGAAGATTAAGCATGTAAATGCTTATGGTTCAAACAGTCAAGGCATTCTGGGCCACCCACAAGCTCATCAATCAAGGCACTTACATCACTAAGCTGCTTCGTGTTGAGCTGGGCTTGCAGCAGTACCGGAGTATCAGTGACGGCTGTGAACTTGGTCTTATCTGGATGAAGTTTGTAGGCATGCTAGAAGAGATTTTATTTAATGAGATTTTATGATATATTTTGTATTCTTGTACCTATACACACATATAAAACATATATATAAACATAGAAAAAGTTTCCAGCCAAAAATAGCACCCCCCCTTTCTCTCCCTCTCTCTCTCTTCTGAAGTTGCTTCTAAACTGGTTCCCCTGCTACAGTTAGCAATCAGATTCATCTTCCCCATGCTGACGCCCTACATGGCTCTTCACTGGTCTTGATATTCACTCTAAACTGTATCTTGGCTTATAAGTTCTACCCTACAGAAACCACTCTTCCTTCATCTTCTTCCATTTCATCTCATACTATTCAATACACTTCAGCCACCTACCTCATCCCTTCAACCTTTAATGCCAAGCTTGTTCTCTCCTTGGGCTGTTCTCATTGCTGCTCTTACCTTGATCTTGGCATGGCTACCTTGGACTTTCCTTGACTATCCAATCTACAAGTCCATGAATCCCTCTCTTCCACAGACACCTATTTTCATTCTGTAGCATTCACTCTGTGTCAGCTGTCTTAATGCCTGACATCTTTATCTTTTTTGTTCTGTGCTCTTTGTTCATCTGTATCTCCTACACAAATGCACGCTCTATGAGAGGCAGCCAACTTCGTCAGCACTGAGGACAGCATTTGGCACAAATTTGTTGGATGAACACCCATTGCTCACAAATCTCAGAGTCCTCCATTTCCCTTGGGGTCATATATGCATTAATGGAAACAAAGATTTCTGAAACATGAAATTATTTTGTAACTAATAGGCTTCTACACAGTCATTGTTGTGCTCCCTAATTCCACCCACAAGCCAAAATTTAAAATGTAATGCCTCCAAATAGCATTTAAATTCCTGTTTAACTTACCACTAGATGGCACAAGTATTCCAAACCCAACTTCAGAAATTTACTGCAGCACTTACGTCTTTACACTGGTCTAGCTTCTTGATTGCCTCATATTCTTGTGTGATTGTCTGAGGGAAATAGCATTTCCCTCTATCTTCCTCATATTCTGCTTTGTAATTTTTCTGTAATGAGAAAGAACGAAAACGGATGATGACTGCTACTGCTCCCAGTGTCACTACGAGGCACGGACAATTGTCTTCAGGCTTACCTCACTGTTCTGTGCTGAAACTTTCATGCAGTGTGTTTCATATGGGTCTTCAAAACTGCCTATGTAATGTCCCAGAATATTCTGTACATACTTATCTTTATATTTAGTCTGAAAAAGGAAACATGTGTAATTCAAATGGACAGTTATTTGTCAGACAGGGGGAAGCCCCCCAACCCCAGAGGTTGGCACGGCCTTTCGAACCTCACTGAAGCTCTTCAGCAGTGTATCAAGTTGGTACTTAGGGGTCTCACAGTAATTCATGCTCTTTGCCTTTGTCTTCTCATAGTTTTCCTTGTACAATCTCTGTCAAAGGAAAAAGAAAATCAAACAAAGGGAAACACTCCCATGGTGTAAACGCCATTCATTCACATCATTGCTGTATTTTTTTCAGTATAAATTTTGCACAAAGCAAAAAAGCAGGATGAGCATGGGAGAGGCTCGTGTCTTGTATAATCTAGTCTGCTGATAAGGATAAATATGTTTGCTTTACTTATCCTAATATTTCTCAGCTGGGATAAAGCAGTGCACACAAGTGCTGCTATCTAAGCAACTTTTGGTCTTGAAACAATTCTTTCCTCTTGAGTGTATGAAGGACAATTACTTTCTTAAAAGTTGGAAAAATGAGATAAAATGTGTAAAGTGAGCCTTAGATACTGAGGCACAGTCTTTTTTTTTTTTAATATATATTTTTATTGATTTAAGAGAGAGAAAGGGCCGAAACCGGTTTGGCTCAGTGGTAGAGCATCAGTCTGCGGACTGAAAGGTGCCGGGTTCGATTCCGGTCAAGGGCATGTACATTGGTTGAGGGCACATCCCCGGTAGGGGGTGTGCAAGAGGCAGCTGGTCGATGTTTCTCTCTCATCGACGTATCTAGCTCTCTATCTCTCTCCCTTCCTCTCTGTAAAAAATCAATAAAAAATATATTTAAAAAAAAGAGAGAGAGAGAGAAAGGGAGAGGGAGAGATAGAAGCATCAATGATGAGAGAGAATCATTGATTGGCTGCCCTTGACCAGAATCAAATGTGCTGGCCTGCTGAGCCTTGGCCTAGAACTAGGTACAGTCTTAAGAAAGTATTTAGTTCAGCACTTGATGAAAACCTCTGTAAGTTACCTTGTATCATTAAGGACTGTTATTTTACTTTATAGTAATAATACATGAAAAAAATGGGGTTTCTATTTTATTGTATGTATCATATTTCTTCATATTTTTTTGTAATCTTCTCATATAGAAATGGAAAAAAATACTAAAGATAGAACTACTTATAAATGATACAGAATAGGAATTATTTAATTTTTGATATTAATTAGAAAAGCAATTTTATAATAGTTTTATTTTATATGTAATAAGTATTCTAAAGGCTTTCAAATAAGATCAGAAAAGAAATAAAATGAAATCAGTATTTTGTAAAATTCTTAAAATACTTTGCTTTTGAAGTTATGCTTCATCTAGTTATTCCTACTTTGTCCTTAGCCTGATTTCTCACTTTTTGCCTTTTATTTATTTACTTGTCCTTACCTGAGGATATGTTTATTGATTTTTAGAGAGAGGAAGGGAGAGAGAGAAAAAAAAAAAAAACATCCATTTGAGGGAAACATCATCAGTTGTCTCCTATAATTGCCTAACCGGAGATCGAACCCACAACCTTCTGGTGTATGGGACAATGTTCCAACAAACTGAGTCACCCTGCCAAGGCTGCCTTTTACTTTTCTCTGTGTATTTTTGTAAAGTGCCTTTTGTCAGGGCATGGCATGGAATGAACACGTGTTCATACGTCCTGAGACATTAAGCCCATTTCTAGGAAAAGCAATACAGAAAATGATATTGCTGGTAACATTTCCTCCTACTAAAACAGAAGGCAGTAAGGAGATGATGGGGGAATCTTTACAATGTTCACTGATGTCTAAAAATACAGAGACATCATAAAAACGAGGAAGTTAACCATCCTCTACCACGGGGCTTTCCTGTTTGACTCATCATCCTGAATCTGAGATTTCACTTAAGACTAACATCACAGCCAAGGTTACATTAAACAGCAAGTGCGGCCACATCTGAAAATCAGGGGGATTGACGAAAGCACTCACATCGCTCTGCATTTTGCCCGTCTTCAAAGAGTGCAGCATCTTGGGGTCATCATTAATGCTGAGGGCTCCGATCATTTTGCCCCTGTTCTTCTCATAGTCCTTCTTGTACATCACCTGCAAAGACATCACACACGTCAGCTCCCTCTCATCAGGGAACAGCACCGAGTCCCCCAGCCCAGGACCCGGGCCATACTCACCTCACTAGCATTCTTGCTGTTGGCTTTGGCTGCCAGCAGGGGGATGGCATCCACTTTAATGTCAAATTTCTTAGCTTTGGTCTTCTCCCAGTCGTGCTTATAAACATTCTGGACAGGAAAATTTTAATAAAGGAATTGACAAAAGGGATCTATCTGCATGTTATCACACTTTGAAGACTATAAGATAACCCAATACTTTTGTCTTACTATAAAATAAAGAGACTGTTTTCATTGTCCACAAAATCGTGCATGTTTTAGATACTTCTCCTCAAGCTGAAGCTTCTAACTACAAGATTAACCTTTTCTGCTCTCCATTAGAACATTTCATCAAATTAACTTAATTTTAGTAATAATACAAATCTATGATTCCTAAAATTTTAGTAATAATACAAATCTATGATTCCTAACATTGGGTATTTCATAGGATGACACAAATATTTTACAGTTAACTTTTTATGGTATGAAAGCATTGTTTTAATTTGACCTCAAAATCCTCTGCAAAGCTTATTTTATGAATTATTATAGTACTCATTGTTGTTGGATAATATTAGCACTCATTTATAGGATTGTTGAAGAAATGGAAACCCCTAAGGGTAATTGGACTTTCCTGTAAGAACTAAGTCTGGAAATAAAAGATGGCACTGGATACTTGTCCTTATGCCTTTTGAATACCTTATATCTTCCTAAGTGCAAGGACTCCTACATGTAGAAATGAGATCATTCATGTGAAACAAGAAACATTATGGGCTTGGGGAATAAATGAAACAACACTCAATCTTTAAAAAATCAAATCCTGGAAGAAAATTAAACATAGTATAATACAAATGAGTATTTGACTAACAGATCTAACATCAAATTGCAATTAGACACACATGAGTGGTGGCATTTTGAAGGCTGGTTAAAATCTATTAGGACTGTCTGATTGTATGAAGCTACTGATATGATTGCTACACACATTTTATGAGGTAAAGTCAAAGTTACATTGGCAGAGACAGAGGAACAGGGTACAAATGTTACATGTTCATCCCATCTTTAGCATTATGTTTACTTAGTGAAACAGTTAACAAATAAAAGCACAAGTTGTCTGTTTATCGCATGGCATAGCGGTAAGGAACTCACATCGCTCAGGTTATAAGCGTTGACTCTGTGCTGGATAAAGGCAGGGGTATCTGGAGGTATATGGCACTTGAACTTTTCACTTTCATGTTTCGCTTTGTAATTTAGCTGAGAGAGAGAGAGAGAGAGAGAGAGAGAGAGAGAGAGAGAGAGAGAGAGAGAGGATTAGTTTGGAAGAAGAATTCTAAGTACAAAAACCAATTTTCATCAAAGAAAATGTAAAATACATTTTGTTAAATAACACCTGACAAAGTTGTTAAAAGAGCAAGTCGGAGCGAGGGTAGGCCACCTGGCATTATTGACAACCATGTGCTGGACGCATGACTGCTATTGCCACATCTGTTACCCTGGAAGGACCCAAGTGGAGGGGGGTGGCTCTTTCATTCGTGGTCCCCTTTCCATATATCACAATTGGCCCTGTGGATTCTGAGAGCACAGCCCTTTCAAATCTTTTCTTACAGATACAGGGAGGGGCAGAAATAGGTTTGCTTATGTGGAAAATAATACAATACTCAATAAGTAATATTTTGCATACTCACAACTATAAGCTTCCTTTTGCCCTACCCAGTATGATTATGGCCCTGTGCAAATATTATGGTTTGTTGATACTCCAAAGCCTTTCATTTCTGGCCATGTATCTGAGGTTACTTTTATTTTTTAGTTCAATATAAGTTTGGAAATTCAGGCTTAAAACTTAGATGATAAAACTTATTATAAACACTCCATTTTCCAAAAACGCATTTGAGAGAGAAAAATCCCAGGTGTTAAATACCTGCTCTGGGCCAGGATGTGGACTACGCACACATCTCCTCTCACTTAATTTTCAAAACAACCACAAGTTTTGAAAAGGAAATATGAGGCCTGAGAAGTTGTGATTTGCCTAGACAGCTGGAAATTGAATCCAGTTTTGTCTTCAGAACTCATGTTCCCTTCAGGGCATTGAGCTGCACCAGTCTTTGTTATAGAACCATTTTACTAGAATTATTATCTACCCAAGAAGACGGGGAAGATAAAAGGCAACTAAATGGGAAAATATTTTAGGTGATCACACAAATATACAACTTACAAAGCGTTTTTGTGTGGGTTTTCTGTATAGAGTTATGCTACATTTCCCCCCATGACGGCATTGCCTGGGTGGGTAGAGGAACTTACATCACTCAGCTGTTTGGCATTGATCTGGGCTTGCAGCTGAACAGGCGAGTCGGTTACTTGAGTGAATTTTGTCTTATCTGGATGGACTCTGTAGGTGTGCTGTGGGTGAGGAAAGGAATCGAAGTTAGCAATATCACCTGTCAAAACCACGGTGGCCGTTAGGATGGATGAGCAGAACCTGTCGTTAATAAAACATTTTTTTTCCTAATTAGACTGTGGCATCTGTGAGAGACACTTTTACACTTCACAAGAAATCCTCCCATATCTTCAGATGCCCAATAACTCTTCTTAGGGAAAATCAGCTAGAATTAGCTCTTGGAATGTATGGATGATAGAAAAAATAGCACATCTACTATAAGATAAATTTTCTTTCAATTTTTTGAGTTGCATTTCTTAGTAAAAGTGTCCGAATTTTAAACATATCTTGACCTCGAGATGCCATGGAGGGCAGTCACCCCCGCAGTGCACACCACAGACTTACATCCTTACACTGATCCAGTTTCTTCATAGTTTCATATTCCTGAGTTATGGTCTGAGGGAAGAAGCCTTTGCCTCTGTCCTCTTCATAATCTGCTCTGTAGTTTTTCTACAAGGAAAAGAAATCAACATGAGGATGCAACCATTGTGTTCATGTAATTTAGAAAGTGAAGCAATTGTCTTAGCACTTACATCACTGTTTTGAGCCGTGACTTTCATGCAGTGTGCATAATACGGATCTTCATAGCTGCCTACATAATGTCCCAAAATATTCTTTAAGTAGGAATCTCTATATTGAGTCTGAAAAACAAGGCATTTCATTTAGTTATTTGTGAAATGATGGGTCTTTTCTTTAACAGGAGTGGTTGTAGGATTGCTTACATCACTGCTGAATTTCTTGAGAACCGAGTCCAGCTGAAATTTGGGCGTCTCGCAGTAATTTATGCTCCTTGCCTTTGTTTTTTCATAGTTTTCCTTGTACCGTTTCTGTAAAGAAAAAAAAAAATTAGATTCTTGTCACTCTCATGCTGATGATAGCACTCGTATTTTCCAGCACTAAGCCAAAGAAGAAGAAGAAATAGTGCCTATTAACTGCCTTAAAAACTGGCAATTAGATACTAGAGGTGTCATGAATGATGAGCCTTTTCTATCTGTAATTATTGTGAGGCCTATTGTGTGTGTGTGTGTGTGTGTGTGTGTGTGTGTGTGTTTAATATATTTTATTGATTTTTATTTATTTATTTATTTTATTTATTTATTTTTTACAGAGAGGAAGGAAGAGGAAGAGAGAGTCAGAAACATCGATGAGAGAGAAACATCTATCAGCTTCCTCCTGCACACTGGGGATGTGCCCACAACCAAGGTATATGCCCTTGACTGGAATCAAATCTGGGACTCTTGAGTTTCAGGCTGATGATCTACCCACTGAGCCAAATCAGTCAGGGTGAGGCCTAAGTTTTTAACGTTCTTCAAAAAATTAAGAAGCCAAGAAGCTGCCTCTTAGCAAGCCTTTAGTTACAGAGATTCTTGCATATTTCTGAATTGCTGTTCTCTGTCTCCCAACTCACAACCTCACACAGGTGCCACAACAAACAGGAATAGTGAATTTTTCATTTTTTTAAACAACCCTTCATGAAAGACTCAGTAAATGTTGAGAAATACACACTCTCTCTTCCTCCTTCTACCAAGGAAAAATTTTGTACTGTACCATAAAATAAAGTATATTTAAGAACTCATATCACGAATCTACTAAACTCCTCTTCCCCGCTGGGATTCATCTTTTCTCTGTAACAATGACCACAAACAATGATTGGAGTGCAGATGCACAACTGAGTCAGCAGGTTGCTGTCAGTTTTTCACATTTGGATTTGCAATTGTGAATGGTGCTATTTGTTTTTAATATTTTTATATTCCTGCCTTTATCAGCAGAGTGGATGTCAACCTTGGCTTTTATGTGTGTGGTAAAGATGGCCTTTCTGTAGGACGCAGGAGATGGGCATTGATTTCCAGGAGATGGGCACAGAGTTGTGTGGACAGATCCATTTTCTCTCTCTCTCTCTCTCTCTCTCTCTCTCTCTCTCTCTCTCTCTCTCTCTCTCTCTCTCTCTTTCTCTTTCTCTTTCCTGTCACTCACTCACCCCACTTCTCAATATCATGTGTTCATCTCCACAGTGCTGACAACCCAGGGGACAAAGAAAAGATAACAAATTTACCCAGAGAGCCACATATAACACTCAAAAGTTGGGAAAACTTAATATAACCATAAGGGAAAAACTCAACTGATCACGTGGTCAGTCTCTTTAAACATATAGTCAAAGTTGACTGGGGCTGCTAATGCCAGGGCCAGTTCTTACTTATCTAATCTATTTTAATCCAAATGGATTAGTAAAGTTCTTGACAATTCCAAGTAGTAATTCCTGTGAAGAGTTAGGGAGCAGCCTTCTAGGTCCTGCTGTCTGCAGGTGATGGTTTCTGTGACCAAGATCTGAGGAGACAATGGCAGAGCTGGGGGAGCAGCTGCACAATAGGAGCATATCCCTCCTTCTCCCAGCAGCCAGCATGAGGAACCCAAGGGCAGGGCACAGAGCTCTGTCATCTCTCTTCTCTCTCTCTCTCTCTCTCTCTCTCTCTCTCTCTCTCTCTCTCTCTCTCTCTCTCTCTCTCTCTCTCTCTCCTCCTCTTTCAAAATCTCCTGCCAAAAAGCACAGCACGTCTCCTACAATAGACTCTACTCAGGGAGGCCCAAGCACCTGCAGCCTGGAAGCATGTGAGGATTTCCCTGCCCCTTGAACTTGATCCACAGCCCCTCCGCCCCCCCCCAAATGGACACATCATGCTCAGAGGCACCACAGCCTTCCTGTGGTTAGATGGTTCCGGGGGAATGGTTGCACCAGAACCTGAAAGCATTTGCAAAGTTATGTTTGCATTTAGTCACAATAGAAAAGGAGATAGTTTGTCTCTCGTTCAGCTAAGGTTAAAACACACCACACACACACACACACACACACACACACACACACACACACACACACACTTTTTGATAAGAATATGCTTACATCACTTAGCGTATTTCCTGCTGCCATCATCTGCCTCAGCAGTGGGTTCTCTGAAGCAGGAAGTACATTGTAATCTGCTTTTCCTTTATCCTTTTCGTAGTTTTCTTTGTATTTTACCTGTGGGAGTGAAACAAAATGTTAAGCTCTGCAGGTTATTTTTGCTCTCATCTCTATTATGAATATTATGACATAGTTCCACAAATCAATTTTCTCTCTAGAAAAAATGGCAGCTTGACATTTTAGAAACAAAAATACTCATAGAAATTCATAACAGGAGCAGAGAAACCGCATACATTTCCAAAATAGCTTTTCTTCCCACTCATTTATTCATTCAAAAATCTCCATTATGGTATTTTTTCAGTATCAATTACATGTCAGGCTCTGGGACACATACAAGGAAGAATAACTCATGGTCCCTGCCCTAAAAGATACAGGTAGATAAGTACATAAATAATGGCGGAGAGAAAGATACACAATAATGACAGCACATATCCCAGATGCCTACTGCTCCAGAACCCTCATTCAGCTCTTAACGTCCAGCTGCCTATCCATCAACACATTTTTAACGAAAGAAAGAAAGCACCATGAATCTACTCTTTCATGTCTCATCTGTGGCCATGCGTGTGAGCGAGCCTATACTTAATGTCCAGGCAGGAGAGGAGGAAAGGGCTGGGGTTGGGACGAATGGTAGCAACTTCAACTTTTCTCTCTGTCCTTTCCTCTTTGTACTTTGTCCTTTCCAGCCTTAGCAGAGGCTTTACATGAGGCCTCACAAGCCCCTGTCAGAAACATGACCAAAAGAGGAGAAGGACAAAATGGTCCCAGTTCTGGCCATAATCCCTAGGGCTAGCCATTTGTTCAGCCAGTATAACCATGGAATATTGACCAGCTCAAGGAATCCCAGATAATCTATCAATATTTAAGAACCCCATGAAACAAATGCAATCAGCTTGGTATCCAAAGGCAGGAGATACATAACTGAAAACCAGATGCTCCGCCCCCTACAGACCACACAGGGGGCTCACCAGGGGCAGAAGACATAACCTCTCTCTGTCTCATAGTTATGTATTCTTTTGGGGGGGAGGGGCGGTAAAGTCCCCTTATGAATATAAAAAAAAAAAGCTCTTCACACATTCATCTATTTTCTTCTTTTCTTTTTAGCAAAATACTTTGAAAGAGTTGAGTATATTCCTATTTTTCAATTTCTCTCTTCTCATTCACTCAACTGAATTGCTCTCATTAAATTCACCAGGGACCATACACTGATAAATCCATCTCAGAAACATGTGATACAGTTGATCACTGCCTTCTCCCTCCACTTGCTTCCTAAGAAATCACTGTCTGGATTTTGCTCCTACCTCATCTCGCTGATGTCTTCATGGAACACTCCAGAGTTCAGTCCTTAGACATTCCCCACTCATTCCCTTGATGGCCTCCATGCTTATGACATTAAGTACTATCCATATGCTGATAACTCCCAACTTTATACAGCCTTGCTAGACAGCTCCCCTGAAACTTCGGACTCATGTAATCAACTGCCCACTTGACATTTCCACTTGGAAGTCTAAAATGCATCTCTTACACATTTGAAACTAAGCTCACACCTCTCTATCAAAATAAATAAATAAGTAAATAAAAGAAAATTCACTGCTTTCACAGTTTTTCTTATCTGGATAAAGGGAAACCCTATCCATCTAGTTGTGTAGGCCAAATTTTCCTCTCAGACTGCACATCCAACCCAATATCAAATTGAGTCAGCTCAACTTGCAAAATACTTCTCATCACTTGTCCTGCTACCCTCCTGGTTGAAAACCGCACTATGTTTTGTTGTTTTTGTTTTGTTTTGTTTTTTAATATGTTCTTATTGATTTTAGATGCAGAGGAAGGGAGAGAGAGAGATAGAAACATTGATTAGAGAGAAACATCAGGATTGATTGGCTGCCTCCTGCAGACTCCTTACCTGGGATTGAGCCTGCAACCAGGCATGTGCCCTGACTGGGAATTGAACCAGTGATCTCTTGGTGCATAGGTCAATGCTCAACCACTGAGCCACACCAACTGGGTGAAAACCTCACTGTTTTGCACCTGGATACTGAAACAGCCTCTTACATTATGCAATCTTTCTCCTCTCACTCCTCCAGCACAGCCAAAGCCAGCAATAGAATCTAGTCTGTTTGGCTTTGCAGTTTATGCTCTTTCTAGTATCCAGCCTGCCTAGAATTCCAAGGCGTCTGATGATAGACCAAAGTCACTCCATAGCATGCCTGAGCCTATCCATGGATTCATGTATGTTGTCTATGACTAGATTTCCACCAATTCATCAGAATGCAAGAAAAATAATGGTAGTGGTGAGTGTGGAAGGGTCCATATTCAACTTCCTTTTCCTGAGGAGGTCTTAAGACCCCTCTTCTGCATTATATATGAAATTATAGCATTTCTACTTTCTGGGCATCAAAAGACCTCTACTATATGAGATTTGAGGATGGTAACTGGATATTGTCAATGCTCATACACAGTAAAAACATTTTTTAAATCTGGTAGCCCTATTACAATCCAAAAGTACTTTTTTGCCCCTTAAGAACCCTCTTTTTTTTTTTTTCGTATTACATATAAAAACAAGAGTTATAAGAAGTTCACCCACACTGAGATGATCCTGATAAATGAGAGAATTTCCTCATACCTTGCTAGCTGCCACCCCGGCTTGTTTATTCATTTTGTACTCCGGTGTTTCCGTCTGCATGAAGTAGATCTGGTCTTTCATGTTCTCAAATTTTTCATGATATTTCCTCTGTAAGACATGAAACATACTGAAGAACTCCGTGGGGGAAAACTGCGAAAGGCTTTTACATTGGGGAAAGAGGCCATTTAGAGAAGATACCCAATGCTGGCTTACACACGTTCGATTACAAGTACAAAACCTGGTGTCATCACCAAAGCAATTAGCAACTTAACAGACGTTTGGAGAAGTGACAGTAGGTGAAAGACAGACTCCAAAAAGAGACTCTCAAAGACTGGACAAAGACCTTTAGAGGGAGTCTGTTTCCCAGTGAGGAAAATCTGGGAAGAGACTCATCAGTTTCATACATGTACTGTTTAGGTTCCCAGCAAAGGGTAAATTTAAAAGGACTCTTTTGACCGGTACTCACTTTGACACCATATTGTTCCTATGAGAACTGAAGCAAGAATAATGAATGGTATCTGATCAAAAAAATATTTCTCAAAAAAAGAAAAGGGAAGATTGCGGTATTTCTTTTCTTAATAAGAACTCTACACAAGCCTTGACCCCAAGAAGAGGTGCCAGGACATAGGTCTTCCAGTAGCATTTTGGGTGCAGCTGGTGGCTAGAAATATAAAGGAAGGGTCCCCTCTCAGACTAGGGCTATCCAGCCATCCCTGTCTACTTACTGTGCTGAAGTTTTCAGCATTTGTCCTGGCGGCTGCAATTTCAAAGCAAGGTGTCTCACTCCATTTGCCTTTGACTTTGTTTTCATAGTCTTGCTTGTATTTTAGCTGGCAGAAAAGAAGACAAGCAAAATCCAGAATTTAACAAAGAAGAGTGCAAATCAAGTGGTAATGGTTAGCTTTCAAAACTATGCTGATTAGACTTTTTGTGGGTCCTTAAGAGATGTCTTCAAATCTTCCAATACAGTCTCCATTTACCCAATCAGAAAGCTGAACGAGGGAGATGGAGGTATTAATTCCACCTCCTCTCACTGAGTTTGGGGACTTAGTTCATTTCAGAACTCACAGGTGTTCCCTGATGTTTGAAGGAGAGAGACAGAAGTATCTTCCATTTGTAATTAATTGTTATAATAAAACCACTCAAGCCGAAACCGGTTTGGCTCAGTGGTAGAGCGTCAGTCTGCAGACTGAAAAGTCCCAGGTTCGATTCCGGTCAAGGATATGTACATTGGTTGTGGGCACATCCCCGGTAGGGAGTGTGCAAGAGGCAGCTGGTCAATGTTTCTCTCTATCTCTCTCCATTCCTCTCTGTAAAAAATCAATAAAATATATATTTTTAAAAAGAAATAAAAAAAACCCAAAACACAAAACCACTCAACCCCAATTTTCCATGCCAGTGCTCGCTTCGGCAGCACATATACCAATTTTCCATGCCAAATGAACTTAGCCATTACTTTGTAAGCTTTAACAAAACCTCTAGTTATATAGAAAGCAATACAATTAACAAAATTTGGCTTGAAGGCCAATGAATAAGACTCGTTTAGACTTCAAGAAATTTTAGTGAGAACTGGAAAGTAATTAAAAAAAATTAAACTGGGATGTTGGAAACGCCCATTGCCTTCACTAGCAGAGAGGTGTGGACAAGGAACCGGAAGGCTGGTTAACCTTGAAGGCTCTGAAAGCTCTGAGCCTTGCACCGGCACCCACCGTCTAGTTGAGACAAAAGGAGCTGAAGCAACTCCCACCTTTTAGTCTTATGTAAAGCCTTGCTAAGGGCTATCACGGAGCTATTACTGGAACTGCCTGCCTAAGGGCCATGGGTGTATCCCAGACGTGAATAAAAGGGATGGCAAGGCCTGAGCAAAACAGAGTCCTTCCTCTTGAGCTGGGCTCCCGCCTTGCCCCCAATTCCCAAATTTATATTTTCTTGTCTAGTCTCTTTTATTTGTGTGCTGCTTCCTCCAGAACCTGAACCCTGAACCACGCGGGACTTTTTTTTTGGGGGGGGGGAGAGAGCGGGGAGGGGAGACACTCGCTCTGGGATGTATTCATGGGTCCCAGACACCATAGCACCAGAGTTCTAGGCTGTGAAAGCCTTGGAGGGAGGAGTTCTGTCTTCTTCATTTTGCATCCTCAGAATGTGATACAACTGCAGCATGCAGAACTTCCCTTATAAATGTTTATTCAACCGCACTAAATTGAACTGAGTCCATGGTATGTGGTTTCAAACGACCTTGGCTCCAGTGTTATTTGAATTAGCCTAGCCAAGCCCAAACCTGGGCACATGAGCCGGAGTCAGAGCTGGGTTAGAGCAGTTTCCCTTCCTTGGCTCACAGAATGTGTTAACAGACATAACCAATGTGTTTTAAAGAGTTTATATGCCCAACCTCTCCCTCCCCCATTACAAACTTCAAGGAAAAAGAAAGTGGTTTTCTAATACACATTTAGCAGAACAAGTATTAAGAGTAACTGATGTGTAAAGACAGTGAATTTGAGGTAAAGGAATTCCACCCCTCTCTCAAATGCCCTATGTCCTTCCTTCTCAAAAGGTTAATATGCTAATTAATAACCAAGTGGTTTTAATAGCTATACTTTTAAGAGCTCTGGACCTGAATTCAGAAGCTGTGGGCCCACAGCTTCCGCCATCATTTCCAAAGGTGTAACTTAGTCTCTCTAAGCTTCAGTTTTCTTAACCATAGGTACTGACAATAATAAATACACAGAGGATTGTTGGGAATTTTAAATAAGATCAAACATACATTGAAGAATGGTTTATAAACTCTACAGTGATAAACAAATGTGAGGTGTAATGATTGTAACATAACAGAGAGTAAGAAAATCTGAAGAAAAAAAAAGTGTGTGTGTGTGTGTGTGTGAGTGTGTGTGTGTGTGTGTGTGTGTGTGAGTGTGTGTGTGTGTGTGTATTCTTCAATGGAAAGTTTTGCTGAGATAAAATTTGCTTTATACTGCTGATTAGTTTGCCTACTCTTCTTTTTTGAAGCTTTAAAGAACTGAAGTCAATAAAAACTGATTTTTCAATTTGTTAAGACAGCCTACAGAAATGTTTCTAAATGTCTTGGAGAATAGATCTTATCAGGAATTTGAGAAAACTATAAAAGGCCCATAAATACTTACAACCTCAGAGATACTTGATGTGCACACACCAGAGGTTAAGATCTCCTATTGCAGAGATGCTGCCATTCCTCTGCCTGCTGTCAAAGGCAGAAAACTCTAGGGTTGGGGGCTGGGAGCAGTTGGGCCCGATGCACCCCCAAACTGAGATATAGAGAACTTTGTAATAAAATGTAAGATTGAGAAGGCAGCAAATATTCTTAGTGAGGTCCCAAAGTGGGCTATTATTTAGAACTAAGGATCACATATGCATATTTGTTAAGCAAAATCGACTAGGAGATTAATTCTCACAGTAAGAGATGAATGTCCGATGTTTTTAAACATATTAAACCAAGATGCAGAACGAGACTGGAAGACTACCTTATCCAGAGTCCTTCCCTTTTCTCTTCCTTCATGAATCAAAGTTTGTAATTCCCTCCCACCCAGAACCCAAGGGGGTCCAGGTGGAGGCAGGTCTCTCACAATCCATTCCTGAGTTCTCCCAGGTCTGGGAAGACTTTCACTCTGAGAGAGGAGGCTGGCGCTTGTTAACGGCCGAGCAAGGTATGGCCTTCCTTTCTGCAGCCCCATTTAGTCAAGAGACACATCATAAGGGAGTTTGAAAGTGATTTTAGGAATCATTTTCAAATACCCATAGTGCATACTTAATAAGATAAAAGAACGTTTTAGTAAGATATCTTTTAAAATAGGTTTTAAATAAAAAGATTTATTTTTCTTTCTGAATGACTATTTGAAAACAGCTTTTTCTTTCTCTTCCAAAAAGATTAATGGTCTTTGCTCCCCTGATTTTATTTACAATGTCAACCCTTTCAGTAGGCCATCTCTTTATGAACAGTTCTGAAGTTAATTTCTGCTTAGCCCTGGGCAAAATCTCAGATTCATGATATTTCAATTAGTGAAATTCTACTGTACATAAAAATTTAAGAACAAACTGTGATTCAACTCCACAGAGGGCAAAGAAAAGTATTTATTTAAAAGCAGCCATATCCCAGGAGAAAGTGGCCTGATTTGGACCAATTTTTAAAAGGATATTTATCAGGGATTTATTCATCAGCTGAACAGCTGTCTCTGCATTCCTCAGAGCTATTTTACCAGCCTAAATATAGGCTGGCCAGGCTGTTTGCCAGGGCTTTGCAAGTTATGAGGTGCCCTTCCCACAGCTGTCAATCTAAGCTATGTCTGAGAGACCCCTCATACATTCTTATTTTCTCCAAGTCTGACTGAGAGCATAAAACTATATGGGGTCTTCACACCAGGTTAAAACAGATTCCATGTGGTTACTAGGTCATCTGTTCATATCACTTCCATAAGTCAAATGTCAAAGGATATTAGGACATTGCTTCTGTTTTCAAAATATAGCTTTCCTATTTACCAGTCACTAAGTCATCAAGCTGGCTGAACATTTACCAACACAGTTTTATGATGTTCATGGATGTATTGCTTTTGCTGTAGCATTTTTATGGTTATATGCAAAAATACTCAGTGTTTACTTTCTATCTTTTCACCTTAGTTATTTTTTCTGAGGATTGAGGTTTTCTTAAATTTAAAGTTATTGGTTTTAGAGAGGGAGGAAGGGAAAGAGAGAGAGATTTGTTGTTCTATCTATCCACACATTTACTGGTTGCTTTGTGTATGTGAACCCACAATCTTATCCTATCGGGACAATGCTCCAACCAACTAAGCTACCAGCCAGGATGAGGTTGAGATTATTAAGCAGAGTTTTCAAGGGAACCAGTGCTAGTCTTGTTTACTTACCTTGCTCGCTTGATCGTTCACTTTCTTGGCAAATACTATATCTGGAGGATCCGCCAGAGATGTGAAATGCGTTTGCTGTTCAATGTGACCTTTTTTGTAGGAAATCTGACCAAAAGAAAGAGATGTAAATGAGCCATCAATAGTTATTCCATTTCTCATGTTCCATTTGTTGGCATTTAAAAAAGATTATATTTTTATCTTTATTTGAATTTTAAACTTTAGTATACCAATAGCCACAGTTTATCTCTACAGATGTTAAATGTCCTTCCCTCTACATTACTGGTGATTTCTCTCTTTGAGTTTTCTCTCCTCCCCAAGATTATTGGCCTAAAATCTGTTTCCTTCCGCATCATAATCTGCAACTGAACTTATTCTCTTAACCAGCATCCTTAACTCCCAACCTCTTGTCTTTCCGCGTTAGCCTACCGCCAGCTCTTACATCCAGGATGTTGAGTGCTACGGAAGAAAATCTATGGATTGGGTAGTGATAACATGATAAGAAAGGTTAAAAGGGTCACAGAAAGAAGGTACAGAGGAGGAAGAGGGAGCCTCTTGAACCCAAGCCCTTAGCTTGAAATTTGCATGCCTATCCAACGATATATTCTGTGAATAACAGCTTGCTTGGGGCTCTGTGTCCAGGGCTCTGAACTTATCCAATTTCCTCTTTGCCTTTATTGAAGCTTGAACATCTCATGTGTTCCTCTGGTCAGTCTCTACTCCCAAGAGCTGGTCAAAAACTGCAACACTGTCCTTAAGTCCCAAACAACCCTATCTTACCCTCAGCTTCCTCTTTCATAGAGTCAATACAGCCTACACACTTATCTTCCCTGCCTCTCCCACCCCCATGATGGCTCAGAGGAGGAGCACCCTTTGCAGGGCATGAGACCAGCACAATGCAGAACGCGCACAGATCCCCAGACACATGAAGCCCTCTATGTCTCTGGATCCCACACATGCTGCTTCCTTTCTCTGGGATGCCCCAACTCCACCTTCTCTCCATCTGCCTGCAAACTGCTACTTGTTCTCCAGGTCTCAGGACAAGCACAGTTCTCTCTTTTGTGCCCTCCCTGACTCCATGACCTTCTCTGGTGTTTTCACTCAACTTAGCTCTTACCTCCTTTATAGGAATCATCAGATGACACTGTAACTGGCTGTTTACACATCTGTCCCTCCTCAGATTGAGAGCTCTGGGATGGCAAAGAACATAACCTATCATCTGGGAAGTTTTGTGGCCTGCATAGTACCTTACTAGAGTTGAAGGCTCAATGACTAATTACTGAATGTGTGGTTTATGCACTGAGGCCATTGGGGCAAGTCTATAGAGGAGGAACATCCTCCCAACTCATTCACTACTCAACTGTGAGACTTCTACGCCCCTATTTCTTCTTTCACCTGGCAATATCCTTATTTATAAAGTGAAGAGGTTGTATGTAGTTCCAAGGTCCCAATCATTTTCTTCGTTCTTTAACCAAGTCTAACTCTATCTCATTCTAATGATATCCACCTAGTATCTATAACAAAAGCTTTCATGAACATTAAATCAAGTAAGATAAAAAAAGACAGATTTTTAAATGTATTCATTGAATTCCAGTGCATAATTTCTTTTAAATGAATAAAGACCTATGTTGGCATAGGGCAACCTGTATTTCCCATGACTGGCTAAGTCCTTAAGGAGAAAGCAACATTCTTCCAGTAGAAACGCTTATTAAGTATGACATCCTGCCAAGAGCTTTCTGAGAAATCAGTTCTAGAACTCCTAATTTCTCAGGAACCTTTCTCAGAATTCTGTCTATTTATAATTTTGTGCTCTGGATCAGCTGAAGAACTCTCTTAGTGTTTACTTAATCTTTACTGAGATAATAAAGACTTAGATAATAAAGAAATCACGATAATTAGGGTTAAAAGAAACACAAGAGGAAGATACAGGAGAAGAAGAGGGATCCTCTGAACCCAAACCCTTAGCTTGAATTCTACATGCCTACCCAGTGGTATTTTCTGTGAACAACAGCTTGCTTGATGCCCAATAATTATAAAAATTCATGATGCTGACAGCAGTATTAATAGGCATGTCAGTAATCTGATACTTAGTGCATACTTAGTCTGTGATAAAATAAAAGCATACCTTTACTGCCAAGTCTTTCTGAGCAAGGACAGAAAGATTTGATTTCATTATTATAATTCACCTTCATTATGTCTTCTATTGAGCTATCTCAAAAGATGTGGTCAACATTAATTGCTCCAAGTCCATAGCACTAGAGTGGCCTGGAGGCAACAGTTCATCTCTCCACTTTAAGGATAAAGGGAGACATTAGGAAATTAAGTGTCTTCTTGGAAACCTCCCCTTAGGCTTACATTACATACATTTCCTGGTTCCCCTTCAACTTCTCCAACCATCTGTCCCCTCATTCTTTTGCTGGCTCCTTTCCAGATGTCCATGGTGTGGGTGTCCTTTACAACTAGGCCCTTGGTCATACACAGTTTTGCCTTCGTCATACATTTTTATGTATTCAGCTGTCTCTTATATTTTGATGAATCTCAAATATTAATCTCTTTCTTCTCACATTTATGCAACAGTACTAATTTCTAATTTATCCACAGGGTGCCTTGATCTGAATATTCCCTCCATTATTTCAACTCTGTTTCTCTTTAACTAATGCATCTTTACCAGTTATACCACTATCCACCCTGACCGCTATTCTTGGTCATAAATTCATCTGTGGCTCCTTTCTCTCTTTTGTTTCCAATATCCAATATCATTAACACTTTTTAAATACTTATTACCTTAAGATTTTTTCCCTCCTCTTTGTCCCCATCATCCCTCTGATTCATCTATATTACTAAAATAGTTTTATACAACAGTCTCCTATGATCTTGCCTAGTCCTAAATTATCATATTGTCCATCAATATTTCTCCAGATTCTATTTTTATTATATAATAAGATTTTCAAAAAATCTTATGATGCCTCTTACTGCCTACCATATCATATCAAAGCTATTTTGCATGATTTTCAAGGTCCTGGTGCCAGTTTCTTACACATCCCCTTGTAACTTGGCACCCACGGCATTCACTTTCTTAGTCCTCTGATGCCCCAAACTCTTCACCCCTATTTCTTTGCTCGAGAGCTCTCTACTTGAAATGCCCTTCCTGTTCATCACTGCCCATTCTCTTGAAATCACCACTTCCACACGGCCTCCTCTGATTGCTCACATGTGTCTTGTCTTTCTCTTAGCAAGTATTAGACTGTAGAGCTTGTATTTTTTTAAAAAACTTTTTCCTTGTGGTTTAATATATAACAATTTAATCTGGCCAGCTTGGCTATAGGTTTTTCAAGGCAAATGATGAAAACTGCTTATTGTATGCTCCTTTCCTGCCAGGGATGCATGCATATTGGACTTTCAATAACTCATTATTGATCGCTTGGTAAAGGTCACATTATATTACATATTTATGAGATATAGAACCAAAAAACTAATCTTAAAAAGAAAAGCAGAAGGTCCCCACACATTAAAATTGGCACACTAGATGGCCTTATAATTTTTACACCTTCTTTAGTTCTTAGCTTATCATATGCAAGAATAAGAATATAGCTGCTATGTTTTAACCAATTACATGCAACCTGGGATAGAAAATACATTCACTAAATTTGCAGAAAGTATCAAGTGAGAGGCAATAAACATGAGAACTCCAAAGTTGGATACATCAACAAATGAGTATATATAATTTTAGTGCAGGGCAAGATAGAATCATAAGATCCATTAGAAATAAATCCCAATAAGTTTTAAGATGTCAACTGGCTTGTTAAGTTCATATTGAATATAAGAACTTCCAGGGATCTAGCTGACAACTAATTGGAAAACAACTTGGAATTTTATAATAGAGTGCTCTCCTAATGACTTTGAATTTTCAGCGTGGCCTCTAGCAAACCCAGGGGCAAAGAAATAAAGCAACTTCAAACAAGGGGAAGTGCTGGGCCCATGGAAGGCTCTCTGCTGCTGCTGCTTCTGACCCTAAGGACTCTATCAGGGCTTTAAAGTAAACAGCTTACAAGGTCTAAAATTCTAGCCAAAGGGACTGCTAACATTTTTGCTAACTCTGTAAGATCCTCTATGTACACCGAGGGCAAGAGGTCTTCATGGGACAACTACACACACGTTTGCTCAAGTATGTCAAACAAGTCCCAGGAAAACAGGGGACACGTCACAATTCTGATTTTATGATTAGGACAGCAAATCAAAATCTTTCAGTAATACCATTTACTGAATAAACTTGGGAAGGTGGCGGTGATTCCAATGGGTTTTAAAAATGCTACTCTATTATACAGGAAAACCTCAGCTCCAGCCAAAGGAACGGAGAATGCTCTTGTGGGAAGAACATTGGCCTTGGGATCCACAAGACCAGGCTTCCCGTCTGGGTTCTACCTCTAAAATACCTATGTGGCCTTGGATTTATCAATAGATTCCTCACCTGTAAGAAAAAGGGGATTGGACTAAATTCTATCTAAAATAAATTATAAAATCTAATTCCAATTATATATGAAGAATTTTAATGATTCTAGATATATTCCTCCTCTGCAATAAGGCATTTAGTCTGTTCTAACGAACTGCAATGAACTTCTGGCCCGACAATGTAATTTGAGGCGCTCGAGTGCACATTGCAAACGGTGTTGACTGCCGTTCACTTACATCACTGAGAGCTTTCTGGGCTTGGGCAACCCTCCTCAGCTCCGGGCTGTCGTTGTAGGGGTAAAACAAACTTTTGTCTGCATCCCACTCTTCGGTGTATAGTTTCTATATCAGAAAAGAGTGAAAAGTTGTGAGAAAATGAAATCACACAAGAAACATGTAATTCTCAATTCACCCATCAATGGCATGAAGAACTAAGGGCAAGGTGGGAGCAAAGGTAAACAGAACTCACAGATCACCTCCCCCTTTCCATCCAATCCAAGTCATAGTTATTAATAGATTCTCCTGCTTCTCCTGGCAAATCTTACTGACAGAAGGGCAGCTGAGTTTAATTCTGTTTCATCTCCCCTCTGTGGCTTTACTTACCTCCTGCAACAAGTACCAATGCAGGTGTAAGGAGCCAGGATGCTACTTAATATATAGTTTCTGTCACAAAATAGACCCTCCGTAAGAGTGACAGCCAGGAATGTCCAAAGTGTAGCACAGGGTCTAAACTAAAATACTGCTTCGTGGGCCTGCAGAGCTGGATCTCAGGAGCATCTTTCCCCCAGCCTCCTACTCCACCCCCAAATGGCTCAGGTTCCTGAGAGGACCCTCTCCTCTGCTCTGCCCGGGGCTTTCTTCTCAGTTCCTTCTTGCCAAGCCCTATCCCTGCAGCCCCATGGGTCTCAATGGGATTCACGAAAAGACGAGAGAATCGTGTTTCAGATGACCAAGAGTTTAAGAGTATTCCTCTAAATGACATGGTAGGGAAACAAAAGGTAGCGGGGTGACAGAGAAGAGGCCCTTACCTTACTGAACAGGGCTGTGTTCTTAATGGCATGGACAAGTTCAGGGGCATCAGGGGGAAGCAGGTACTTATCCTTGTTGTCTTCCCAGTTCTGCTTGTATAAAACCTAAACAAAAAGAGCAGAGGGCTTGATGTTTCCCATGGACACGAGGATTGAGAACAGTTTTGTAGCATCGATTAGGAAAACATCTACCACACCAACATCCCATAATAGTTTCCTCGCATTTAGTAAGTTTTTTCTTGAAAAACAAAATCTAATTTTTAAAAGTTAATCATTATTCTGATTATCGAATCCTTTTAAATACTGCAACCTATCCATCATTTGCTGAATTTGGATGGTACACGTGTATGTGTGTATGTGTGTGTGTGTGTGTGTATGTGTGTGTGTGTGTGTGTGTTTTACTTACATGGTGTTTTCAAAAAGTGTTTTTAATTAGTTCCCTGCATTTAAAATTTGCAGATTTATTATAAAAATTCAGCTCCAGCTTCCTTAAAAAATAAGAGAGACTGACAACACAGAGACTGCGATCCATGCACCAACTGCAATGGAGTCACACAGGCTCTCCAATCCACCTAGCTCCTTCGGCCACTCGGTCATCGGAGCAATCTCCCTGACACGCGTGCACTTAGAGCTCACAGTGCCTGTGATGCAGTGGGGCTGGCGAGCAGGGTCAGGCCTGTCAGTGCCATCCATCCCAGGACCTTACCTTACTGACTTGCTGCGACACTTTCTTTGCGTGTTCAATGTCCCTTGCTTTTTCATCTACATGACAGATAGTTTTAGCAATATCACCATCCATTCGATATTTAACCTGCAGAAATAATGTCCAGTTAGAATTTAGGACATGCAAGAGCATGTGAATATATTAATATCTTTATCAACAAAGAGCATCCACCCAATCACTCTGTCTGCATCACAAAGCAAAGTTTCTTTTTTTTTTTTTTAAATATATTTTATTGATTTTTCACAGAGAGGAAGAGTGAGGGATAGAGAGTTAGAAACATCGATGAGAGAGAATCATTGATCAGCTGCCTCTTGCATACCCCCTACTGGGGATGTGTCCGAAACCAAGGTACATGCCCTTGCCCGGAATCGAACCCAGGACCTTTCAGTCCACAGGCCAACGCTCTATCCACTGAGCCAAACCGGTCCCAGCCAAAGTTTCTTTATTTCCGGTAGAAAACGATGATCGTTGAAGATCTGCAGAGCCCTGCATTTACTGTGTCTGACTGTATTTATTGAATGTCAGCCTCCCTGTGCTCCAGCAGGGAGGACCATAGTGAGTTGGAACTTCCAAAGCAGATCACCTCTTAAGTTATTTTCTGAACAAACTTTTAGAAGCCTCTTTGGGTTCACATTTAGAGAAGCATCACCCATGGTCAATGTTTCTTCTGGATTCCTGAACTGTCTCACAGTAATTCAACCCCTTAATCTCTCCAGAACTAATTAAAGCCAGGTCCCAGTGGTAGGCATATTTTTATATGTGTCTGTGTTTTATTTCAGCAATGCTGCCCACCTCACTGAGTTGGTCTTGTACTTTCTTGATTCTGCGATGTTCTGGGGTATCGGTTGTGATGGTGGATGGCTGTCCTTTTCCCTTTTCATAGTTTTCCTTGTATTTATTCTGAAAAGAATAGCAGATATTAGCCTCAAATCTTACAATGCAGCATCAGAAATTTCAGGCAATGCATTCATCCCCATCTGATTAAAAAAAAATGCAAGTTATAACAATTATCAGTTTTTACAGCATTTTTTTGTCCTCTACTCTGATTCTCAGCAAACACTAAAATAGATTTGTTAATTGCTCTTCCTAAACATGGTTGTATAATAGAGACAGTAGAAATGGTATTACAGACTATTGTCTTGAAAATGCCCTAAAATGACTCTCTTAATGTTTTTATTGTTTGGGTGCACACATAAAAAGCTTGAAATGCAATAATTTTAGAAAATAAATACAGAAATGGAACCAAATGTGAAAAGATTTAATTGCTAATACAATGCAAAAATATTCAATTCAAAAGTTGCAGCTAAACTCAATAATCTGGATCGTTGACATGCCACCTGAATTAATGGAAAATCTCCATTATGAAGTATTTTCAGAAGAAATGCAATTTTATTGTTTCTGCTAAATATTCAATGAGTTTTTGCCTTATATATAATATGCATAATTTATCATTATTAATGTTTCAAGAGTATTCATAAGTAGAGTAGTCAACAATCTGAATTATATTATTGATTTAGTTACTAACCACTTTTAAAATATTAAAAACCTTTGCCAGCATTCTGTTCAGCCTGCCAGAAATTCTAGGATATCAGGGTCTGAATTAATGAGATTTTCATGGCAATTAGTTGACAAAAATAATTTCTATTTTTATTCAGTACTACAGTGATAAAAAAGGGCAAGGTTATCTTATTTTTAGAAATCTAAATTTTAGATCATTCAAAAATATGAACTAGAAATGCACTTAATAGCCCCCAAAAGTTAACACTCAACCAAAAGTAAATATTTATTGCCCAACCACAACAGGATGTTTTGACATAGTAGTAAACATTAGTCTTATATAAACCAATGTTCCTTGAGATACTTACATTTCTTTTGTGCCTCAAGCGGACATGCAGTCGAGCTACCAAGTGAGACCTTAGCCCACCACAGACAATCAAGAAATTAAATCCATTCAAATGGGTCTGATTCTGCTATCCATCAGTGTAACTTACAGAACTTTAAAGACCAGGAGCCATCAGGAGCAGTGATGCCTAACCTGGACCACCTTTAGAATCACCTGAAAAGCTCTTATAAATCCTTCTTCACTGGCCCCAAACCCAGTCTGATAAAACCAGAATGGCCCAGGCATTAGTAGTTTTAAAGCTCCCAGGGGATTATAACCATACAGCCACAGTTCAAAACCACGGTTCCAGGGCACAGCTGAACCTTTTTATCTGTGCCGGGCCAGCACAGCCAAGGGTTTGGTGAGCCTGAGCGGGAAGGGGGTGGCAAAGGATTAAATAAAAGACAGACAGAGAATATAACTGGGGCTCAGTGGATCTCCTGTGCCTGGATGAGGCCACAGAGAAGGATCCAGCCAGCAAGCTGAGGCTTTATTTTATAGGTAGAGATAATCAAGGTAGCAGTTACCATAGTTACAATGTTCTTGTGAGTTTCACTTGTTGTGGCAGCACTTGCTGCACCTCTCACAGCCCATTAGCTACCTAGGAAGGATCTAGGGAGCATCAGAAGGTCAAGCTTAATTATGCTAAGAGGGCGTGCCCTCTAAACTGGGACTTGTGTCTTTGCCAACAGGTCAGTCTGAGGATTAACCCTACAGCCACTCCCTAAATCGATCCTTAGTTTCTTAATCTGATGCTGGTTTTCTAAGCTCCATGTTCTTAGAGACCTACTTAAGAGGCATCTTGCTCATAATTTAAATAGGTACTATTTACTAGTAGCTTCTGTGAACTGATGTCAACTAAATCTATTTTATGATTTCATTTTTCTAGATTGGCTAACTAATTATCATGAAATACCAATAAGTGCTTCATAAATGGCCTACTGCTTATTTTGCAGGAATAATTTAAACAAAGGATGCTTTTCCTGATGCTGCAATGGTACAAATAAATTACAGGGAAGGAAAACTCAAGACTCACAAGAGCATACACATTTCTTCAAAATAATTTTGTCTCATACAAGGTTAAGGAGCAGAATCCAGCCAGCATCCAAAACAGAGCTGGTTGAGATCAGTAATGTCTCCGCGATAAATCCAAGTTAGCAAAAGTCATGTGAAACTTACTATGCTAAATAGGTCCTGCATTTTCCGACTGTGTGCAATGTAGGGAGTCATGAACTTGGAAGAGTCCACTTTCTTCCTGATAACCTTCTTCCTCTCCGCCGGCTTTCCTGGTTCTGGCAGGGCCAGCCCTGGTTTCGAAGGTTGTGATTGCTCATAGTCAGATATTGTCTTTGTCGTCGTAGTTTCATAGATTTCTGTTATTGTCTGAAAATTTGACATATAGTTCAACATCATTATAAAAGTAAAAACTACGGTAAGCATGATCTTGGTATTCTGACTTATATCCCTGGTATTACTTTTCCATAACTAAAATAGGCCAAAGCAGAAAATTACACACTACGTCCATTTGAAAGCATATTATGTCACATACATCCTGCTGATTGTTCAAGAGTGCATGGAGTGGAACGGTTGCTTCTTATTAATGTACAACATTGCCTTAATTCCACTTGCAGAAAGGAACTCAAACACTTTAAGGTGGGATTTAAAATAAGAAGTAAAGTATTCTTGAACATTTAAAAGTATTTTTAAGTTGGCTGGGTAAAGTAAAAGCAAATTTGGGATCAGAGGACAAAAGATTAAGACAATAAGATAAAGCTCACATTCTTGATATTAACTTTTAAATAAGCCTAAAGAAAAGTTGATTAGCTAATCTGCAGATATTTAAGCATTCTCCCTGTAGTATGAGACAAAGAGTAATGAACTTTAAAAAAATGAATCACATCAATATTACAAGTGATGACCATGCTCTTGGCTTAGTCAGTTAATTCATGTGAACTGGAATGCCATTTGTACTAATAAAGGATAGGAATAATGATGACAACATAATGGAGTAATTATCCTCACAACAGCCCTATGTAGGTGGGAAATTACTGTTTCTTTCAAAAAGCTCTAGTGGAAGAAAGGAGGGCCCTAAGTTCAGGTCTAGTCCAAGGTTAAAAAATATTGTATATAAGAAAAGACAATAAGCAGCCAAGTCTTCAGCCAATCTCATAATGTAATTTTCTTTACAGCTAAAACCACCTGATCAAAAGCGGAGTTCTAGCATCAATTTTGAGAAGAGAAACCTAAGTAATAAGGAAATTGTGTATCTAAGACAACTTTCTCTAGTGTTGTCAGACCATTGCTAATAGGCTGCTTTCTGATCATTATTTATGACTAGAGGCTCGGTGTATGGATTAGTGCACCAGTGGGGTCCCTCAGCCTGGGCTACGCCCTCTCCCAGTCCAGGACCCCTTGATATCAGACTGCCAGCTTTGACACTATCCCTGCTGCCAAGGGGTGTAGCAATGCGTAAAGCAGCAGGCGGCCAGGGAGGAGCCGAGGCCAGGCTCTGTTCGCAGGGCCACTATGGCTCATCCCGGCCCCAAACCACCCTGCTGCACGGCCACTCGGGTAGTGCTGCAGCAGAGGTGGGAGAGGTTTGTGCCACTGCAGCTGCGCTCACCAGCCCTGAGCCTGGCTTCTGCCTGAGCTGCACTCCTGCTGAGGAGCGCACTGACCACCAGAGGGCAGCTCCTGTGTTAAGCATTTGCCCCCTGGTGCTCAGTGTGCATCATAGCGACCAGTTGAGTGGTCATTCGGTCATTGGGTCGCTAAGGCTTTTATATATATAGATGTGTGGTTGGCCATGAGAAACTAACCAGTTTACAGCACCTACAGATGTTAGTTTCCATGAAGTCGCAGGCTCTCTGAGTTAGTCATCTATCATTGTTTGTCATGCTCAAGAGAAACATCTCCAAGTAGAAAAGGAGGCATGAGTGAGATATTTCACCTTGTGGGAAAATGCTTTCATTTGGGATATGGAATTGGCTTTCTCAGAATTCCTTACGTGCGAAAGTCTAAGTAGCATTTTATGACAATGACAAGGACAAAGGGTTAGAGGCACCATCCCTATCGGCAGAGAGGGTGCCCAACAGTTACAACTCTACACAGCACACCTGCTGGTCCCAATGCGAATTACAAGTTCAAGGCCATCCCTTTGCTACAGTCAGAGTGGTGATAACACTGACTTTACTCTAATTAGCATCACCTGCATAAAAAATACCACATGAACGATGCGGGGAACCATCCTCCAGCATCTTGGAGAGGTTAAATGGCAAAAACAGAGATAAAACCTGTCAAACAGGTATCATTCCTTCGTGTACCCCAGCTGCCGAGTACACCTGGGGAAGTGATCCCCCTTCAGATTATTTCTGTCTGCTCTGTGGCTCTTCCTGCTTTAATGAGCGTGCAGTTCATGCAGGTGTGGGCTGGGTCTTACCTCACCCGGCACCTCTTCGTAGACTGTCTCCTCCGTGTAGTACTATAAAGAGAGCACAAAGGTGAGGTCATGAGAATCAAAGCAGAAGTCACCTCTCCTCTGCCTCCACCACGCCACCTGGGCTATTTCACTACCCGCTTTGGTTTGCTACGTGTGGGGAGGGGAGGAAGCAGAAGAGGGAGCCTGTTCATAGTCTGACCCCACTTTAAGTCGGAGAAACTTCAGGGAAGCTGAAGTGGACGCCATCAGATTGGACAAGGAGATGCAGAGTGATGATGAGAAAGGTGTCTGGGGCCAGTTACTAGTCCTGGGAGGCTATTTTACTTGGTACACGTAACGTTTTTTTCTTCTGGTACCCAAGTAGAATTTGCTGGGGAAAGAATATAATAACAATTCCTGGAGTGTGTGAATAATCAGTATCAACACTAACACAATTATAAATTGCCCTTCCCATGATGCTAAAACCAGAGAGAAACACTGATGAAATTCACTGTTGGCCAATTAGTAATGAAACAAAACAGAAATCTCAGTGTGAATAAAATCTTTAAATGGACTGTGTTATGGAAATAACAGATTCAAAGGCATAGACACATCTCAATTATCCCTAGATCACCCTGATTGCTAAGTAATGAGGTTCTTCAGAGTGTCAAGTGAATCCCTTTCCAGTGGTGTGACAATCCTAAAGGGGTATTAAAGGAACATTTACAAATGCCCAGGAGGGAAGGAAAAAATGAGAGATTCCTTATCACAAAATGTGGGAGTTGGGCAGCAATTTGCCACTGATGGCTCAGAGGTGCCTGCAGCCGGGACCTGAAATCGAATCTACTTCTGACATCACCATCAATAAATAGCCACGGATAGGAACTGGCTGACATTTTGTTTCAGATGCGTAAGGAGAGTGGAATCCTGCCCCCAGCTTCAGCCCGCCACGCTGGGGGAACAGGAGGAAGATGGGTTTAGGCCAAGACACACAGGAAGGGAATGAAAATGAAACACTTGGTTCATTTTCTCCGTAAAAAAAAAAAAAAAAAAAGTATAAGTTTTATGCTTCATTTTTTCTTTTCATTGTCACCAAAACATACACTTGGGGAAGTGAAAAACCATTGAACAAAAAATTTCCCTCAGTGGCCTTTTGTCTTTTGCCCTTGGCTCAGTGAACTCTCAGCAAGTTATTGACCCATTGTCATTAGGCCACATGCTCCACTTAACTTGCAGGAAAATTAGTCTACACCTCCCTAATGTCCCTCTCTTGCACTCTCTTTGCTCCTTTACAATTTTTTTTTTAATTTGAAATCTAACTCCATCTCTGTGTCCTTACACAAGGCAACAGAAATCACAAGCATTTACAGGACCGAGAATATCTTCCACATGCCGATGCTTCATCCCTGGGAATATCATTTGGACACTGTGGGAACTATTATTTGAGGCGGATCCAAGGGAACCAGTCCTCTGGCCACACAAAACATCAGTGATTTGAGAAGAAATATTAAACTTAAACGAGTGATTCATAACCAGTTTTTGGATCTTTGCTAGCAGCCAAGTGAAAGCAGTTCTTGGGTAGCCATCCAATTTTACCTTTGCTGGGCTCATGATTGGTAAGTGTATCCCAGAAATAAGCTTATAAAAAAGGCAACATTACCCAAATGGTTGGCACTAACTTGTATGCCAAGTCTCACTTTTTAAAAGAGCTCATATACTAACGGGATAGTATATGGGTGCTTCTTTTCCTTTCTTTCCAAGTTCATGTAAATTTGAGTGGAGAGTGACAGTACGATTTTATTTAGATGTCTGAGGTCCCTAGGAGATGTATTTTTAAAAGCAAATTCCTGCCTGTTTTGTGAACTCTCCCCCGACTGTTTTCTCAAATCTGCCACCGCCCCATTCTCGTGTCATCTTTTTTGAGGTCAGAGAGACCTTGGTTCAACACTCTCTGGCAGGAAGTCTATTAGTTTAGCACCTGCTGGTCAGACCCAGAGCAGTAATGGGGACAAAATGGCAAGGACGAGAGGCCTAAAAATAACCCCCTCCATTTTTATGACATCTCGTTAAATCAATGGAGTCCATTGCTAAGGGCAGTTTTCCGTGACCGATGAGCACAATTATATTAAGAAGGTCAAGGGATGTTTAAGTTGGAAGCTAAAAACTATTCCTGGTTTTAGCATCACAGGAAAGGCAATTTACTTTATAATTGTGTTTGATACTGTGTTTGATACTGATTATCAACCTTTTAGAGACATGTGTGAAATGCATACTAGTGATAACTTTGAATGTTGACAAATGTGGCCTTTGGCATTGAAGCCTGAGAGTTTAAATGTTATATTGGATGAGATTCATTCTGGGATGTGTGTGTGTGTGTGTGTGTGTGTGTGTGTGTGTGTGTGTGTGTGTTTCAGTAATTAAAGCAACGTTATTTGTAGAATAAAGTAAAAATTTCTTCATCTAAATATAGATTAGTCCTTCCCTGGCCAGTGTTTCTAAGTGGTTAGAGCATTGGCCCACACTTAGAAACCCAAAGGTTCATGGGTTCGATTCCTGGTCAAGGGCATGTACCCGGGCTGCAGTTTTGATTGTTGGCTCCAATCAGGGCATGTGCAGAAGGCAACCAGTCAATGTGTCTCCCTCAAATCAATTTTTCTCTCTCTCTTTCCCCTTCACTCCCTCTCTCCCACTTGCTTTAAAATAAAATCAATGGGGAAAAAATCTTCAGGTAAGAATTAACAAAAACAAACAAAGAAATATAGACTGCTCCATAAAATAATCTTCCAAAGACAAATTTTGGCACTTTCATTTGAAATTTGATTCTAGGTAGCTCTTAAAGTTAGTCTCATTTTTTTTTTAAGCACAGATTTTCAAAACTGCCTCCAAGTTCATATATGTGTTTAATCACCATCAATTAGTAATTGTTAACCACTTTTATATTTAATGGCAGTATATTTATATGGATGTGAAACTAAAGGCAAGAGCTGGTGAAGGAAAGCCATAACGAGCTAAAAACAAAATTGTATAATATATATATATATATGAAATAAACAACAACTTTGTAAAATATGTTAGACATCCACCAATAATCTGGAGGGAGTTTTTCAAGATGCCACTGTGGTCTTTGTTCTTTTTCAAAATTCAAATGCAAAGCTAGTTTTGTTCCCTTGGGTAAATGCAATGGAGTTGGTGTGAAACTGGTTTCAACTCTTCCTTGGGAGCATCCTGAGTTAACTTATTTATTTGCTTACTGTTTTGTTTCTTTTTTTAAAGAGAGAAACATCAATTAGTTGCCTCCTATACACACCATGACCGGAGATTGAACTGGCAACCTGAGTATGTGCCTTGACCAGGATTGATCCCATAACCTCTGGTTGAATTGAACCCATGACCTTTTGTTTTTCAGTGGCTGCTCCAACCAACTGAGACACATGGCCAGGGGTGAGTTTATTTTTATATGTGTGTGCATGTACATGTACAGGTATATGAAATCTCACATGTGCATTTAACTCATATCTCCCTATAGATAACCGGCAGACACTAAGAAATAGAATTCTGTTTCCAGAAGTTTTTCTCCATCTTCTCTGTCCCTTCGGGGTTGGGAGGTGGGGGAGAAGGTAATTTTAGTTAGAAGACAAATTAACATCTGCCTTTACCGTACACTCTTTGTTTTGTTTTGTTTTTGAGAGTTTAAAGAAAAGCAAAAGTGGGAAACAGTGATACTTCTTTTCAATTTTAAATCCCACATAATTATAGTGAAACTGAACATAAAATATTCCTTTCTCGTACTTTAATGATGACTGTTGTGAAGTTATAATAGGCATTGTATTTTTCAAGTGATTAATACACCTACATGGTTTTGCTTGTTGCTACATAAAATGCTTTGCTGCCGGAGTCAGTTTTTGTATCTTACCTCCACCACCTCCTCATACTCCTCTTCATCTGCCATTTTCTCGGAGTAGTAGTGGCACCTACACACTGCTCACGTCCCAGACAAATGAAGATACGTTAGCATCTATCCCCAGGACTGAAACCAGCTTACAATGTTACAAAAGCAGAATTTAAAATCTTATCCGATCTACACGATCTACACGTACTTATATGCTTGCAGGCTACGTGAGAAGAGACATTTAAGTGCAGGTTTGAAAGAATGAATCTGCTTATGGCTACAAGATGAACTTAGTCCAAGTAGTAAAACAAAGACGGGGACCCCGGGGCAGGGATGGGAGGGTGGAGAGGGTTGGGGGTGGGTGGGCGCTGTGGTGATAAGGGAGTGAGAGGATTTAAATCAAAGGAACAGAATACTTTAGCTTCCAAATACTTGGAGCGAAACATTTTTCAAACGAAATGTTTCAGGTCAGCTCGGCTTTCGGAAGAAATTGTCATTTCCCCCCAAGATTTAGCACCGAGATTCTCAGAGGGCCACCTCCGGCCTCCATGTGCTCTGATACACGATACACAGCATATCTTAGGTTTCCAATGAGAACATAGCAAAATAAACCTGCCAGTAGATTTTAAAAGGAAAATAGAAACCTCAAGGCAATGGGTTTATTTTCCTCCCGAACACCATTGGCTTGTGCGGGCTTTCCTCTGGCGTTTCTGTAGCTCTCGTTCAAACCTGGAAAAGAACAAATTGTTGATGCCCCGACTGAAGGAGGCGGGAGACTGAGGGTCTCCGACCAAAGCTTCTAATTCGGGATCTCCCCAGGCCTCTGTAGCCGGACGCCAGGGCGTGGGGCTCTCCTGGTAAAAGTGGATGATGACTTGGAGCAGCTGTCCCTTGGCCCAGACATATTTGCCATGTAAGCCTATCCCCGGCTGTGGCTGGTTCTGTTAAGCTAGCGAAACTGCCCCTCCTCAGGCAGAGGAAGCCCAGTAGAAAAGGATAAATATAGGATTCTTTGTCGTACTCACATATTTAGAAAAAAAAAAAAAATCAAAGGCCCAAACGAAAAGATTTTGTTAGACCGGAGAGCCAGCTCGGTGGAGCAATAAAGGGGTTAGTATCAGACTTGATTCTAACCGCACACTACATGTCAGGTATTAGTAGGGCCTGGGTATGGCGATGGCGTTACAGGCTTTCCCGGTCACCGTTTCCATCACCAATCTCCCCAGTTATGACCCTCAACTTTGGAAAATTCTTCAAGGGAAGCTGTGGCACGTCTCCTGAAAGAACATCACAGAAAAAAAGCCATAAAGGGGCCTTACCTTCAATCTATCCAATAAATTTCCTCAGCAGCAAAGCCTCTCCCAACTCTCCCCTCCTGAGAACCCCAAGCAAGAGCCAGCGTGGCGCCTGGGCTCCCGGTTACCATGTCCCAGAGCAGCCAATCGGATCCCGAGTTGCTCAAATTTCAGAAGCTAAATATACTGGGTGATCTTCTGAAAACCACCTGTTCATCAATTTCACTAAAGGATAAAGGGTAACAAAATGCTTGCTTAGAACTATTCAAATGGAGCGAGATTTTGCCTAACTTCCAACATACGGGCTTCAAAATGTACGTGAAATCTCTCATTTGCGGCAGCCCTGTTTAATGACATATTCGTGCAAAAGAATTTGGAAGAAAATGAGCGTGATTTTGAGGGGCTTTGACCCTCTGTCCCTGCTTTCTTCATATTGTGGGTCCAGTCTTCACAGAGGTAAACATGCTCCCTCTCGCATAGCTCACCAGGCAAGCCACAGATATTGATGTGAAAGAAGCAGAGGAATAAGACCCAGAAAGGACCAAGTTGGCAAAAATAATTCTTTTAAATGTAAGATAATGAAACGTTAGGTGAAACTCTTTGATGGTGACATTAGATAAGCTATCCATAGGGTGTAATTAAAGAGGTCAGGCCCCATCATTTTTCTTTTACTAAACCAGGAGGGTATGCCAAGATCACATTCATTATCTTCTCTCTCCCTTGGTAAGGCTGACAGGTAGGAATACAGAGCCTCTCATATGTGATGGTTACTGATTTCATATTTACTCAGATAGCTCCTAGAAAGATGCAAAGTGTGAATGCAGACACAAAAGAGTGCAATTTCTGAACAGCAAGAGCAGATAAAATGAAATCATTAAATTACTGGGAGAAGATAATGCTCTGTTAGGCAAGTCAGAATGTAGGCCACTGACTTTGAAACGATTATCTGAAAACGTTCAACTTAAAGACAATTTTCGCTGATGTAATCCCTCTCCAGTCCTCTGTACTGAGGCAAAAACCCTGTGGGTCGCCCATGTATTGATGTAGATTTGAGACTAAACATACGGTAACAGTTATTTCTGAGTTAAATGTTAGGAAGTAAACTCATATTTTAAACATACTAGTATGTGCTCCTCCCCCTTCGGTGATTCATACGGTCATAAATATAATTGAACATCATTGTCATGTTCACTAATGATACCTGTTCACTTGGTATGTTCTCACAGGCCTTCTGACTGAGGGATGTGTGTTCATATGAGATCATTCACTTGGTAGTTGCCTACTAGAAGAATTGTGATTACTATCTCATTATGTGTTTTAAAAGATGATGTTAAATTAAGAAATAACACAGGCCTCCTTTTTAGAATAACATATGGTATAAAATAATAAATAGATAAACACACATATTCGAATGCTAATCTGGAATTGTGCCCTTAGGGCGGAAAGAGCAGCCCTGTCCACTTTCTCAGCCCGTCTGTATTCTCTCCTGTGGGAGAGTAAACGGTTGGCCTTTAGCGGCAGGTTCTGACCACACGCCTTGCCTATAGCAAGCGCTCAGCAATGTTAGCTGTTATCATTGATGTTATTACCATATTTCACACTTTAATAGAGTCTTTGAGCTTTAATCTGAAACATCAAAATATCACAAGGTATCTGAAATCAGACATTCGTTAAGTCTAAGAATTTATGAATCGGTAGGAGTTTGACTAGAAGCCTGTATTACTGATGACAAAGCAAAGTGCCAATAGCAAAGCTTCGGGAGTTGCTTTCCTAGAGATCGGGGTGCAGACGTGTCCTGTAAGGAGACCAGAAGCGATCCCACGGGGCCGAGAGCATGGCAACAGAGTCTTTGTTGTTGCGGTTTACTTGGCTTTATTAATTATTTTAATAAAATTATATCTGCACATCATTTAAGAACTAAGTCATTTGGCAAGACTAATTATCCTTTGTTATTTATCTCTACACATGTAACAACAGGTCTATATTACTCGATACTGATTTTTTTTTAAATCATAAGCATTATCTGTTAAGTTAGATGAAGTTTCGCTTTTCATATAAACCTCCGTTCTCATGAGACACAAACCTCCTCTCCCATCCCTCCATCCCGGTAATGCCTATGTAATTCAGAATTCAACGTTTGCATTATTATGCTTAGCAAAATGCTCTTGACAGCTGAAACTCATATATTGTGATGATCTTTTGTTTCCTGCACAAAGGTTTGTTTTTATGGGAATTTATCTCTCTCTCTCTCTCTCTCTCTCTCTCTCTCTCTCTCTCTCTCTCTCTCTCTCTCTTTCCTCCCTTGGCTTAATTTTTCTAGACAAGCTCAATCCAGTAGCACCTTCTGCATGATGGAAATGCACTATATAAGCACCATGCAATGTGGCAGCCTCTGGCCACTGCGACTATTGAGCATTCAAAATGTGACGAGAGTGATCACGGGACTGAGGTTTTATGTATTTTTTTACTTAATTTAAATTTAAATAGCCACATGTGGCTGGTGGCCCTAGTGCTGAGCAGCACAATTCTAGACATGCATCACTACCTACCTACCTCCAGCTTTCTGGCTGAATCTGCTCTAGGCATTTTCAAAGACATTAGTTAGCATTCTATAGTTGTATCCATTTCATCTTAAATCTCCCAGGCAGCCTTTTGTCCCCTCTGGACTAATTTCCTCTGGAGCAAGGGCTCGGCTCTTGGCTCTCGATTCACTGTCATCCTGGGAGTTATGCAGATTTAACGTGAAAATCCCAAATTCTTTATCTAACTAATATTTAAGTAAGCATGATGTACCAGGCACCCGTCTAGCTGCTTCCTTCACACAGTAGACACCTCCAGTCGTCTAAGCAATATCTATGCTCCGCTTCTTGCTTATTAACAGAACCACAATTTAGTTTTGAGCAGAAATATGCTCATTTAAAAAATGCATTCCTAAAACACAAACAAACAACAACAACAAAAAACAAATATTCTCTAAATAAATAAATAAGGCTCATCTACACAATGGTGCTAAAAAAAAGAAGGAACTTTTAACATTTGCAACGACATGGATAGAACTGGAGGACATTATGTTAAGAGAAATAAGTCAGTTGGAGAAAGATAAATATCACATGATCTCACTCCTGTTGGGATATAATGATCAACATAATTGGATGAATAAGAATATATTGATCTAGAAACAAATGATATGGGGCAGGTTTAGAGAGCAACCAAAGGACTTATATGTATGCATATTAGCATAACCAATAGACACAAACACTGGGACATTGGGGGCTTGTCTGGGGTGGAAATGGCCGGGGGGAAGGGGGGAGAGGAGGGTCAATTGGGGAAAAAGGAGACCTATGTAAAACTTTAGACAATAAAAACAAACAAACAAACAAACAAATAAATATGCCCCCCTCTAAAAAAACACCAAAAAATGTTCTCTAAATAAATAAATAATAAAACACTCCACCTCAACTCCAATTTGTCAATAAGATTTAAGTGTAAGTCGAGGGAACAAGGCTTCTAGGGAAAGAATAGTATTACTGACCAGCAGGTCAGATTCACTGGCATGTACTGTTTTCCTCTTGCCATTCTTCCCTTCTCCATTGCTGGGACACAGATGTCATGTTTGGGACAGAGCCGTCATCTTGAGTCTCTGAGAGTGTATTCACACACTAAGAATGGTAAAGCTAGAAGAAGCCGTACCTGCAGTGATTGCCTTAATTTTTGTGTTTAGTGATTATTTCATCATTTACTAAGTTTAATATGTAATTGCATAAA